CCCCCAGCCTCATAAGGTGTCGCGCGTTTGCCCTCACCCTCACGCCCACCCCGGCAACACTTCCTTCTAACTCCTAGCCCCGTGCTCGCCCTCCCCCTCTCCTTCTTTCAGCCTGCAATATCGACGAGGAAACTCGCATGGCGCTCGCGCAGTGTCATCGACTGCGGGTTGGCGAACCGACATTCTGACGAGCGGGCAGAGGACAACGAGAAGCGCCGAGAGAAGGTCACTGCTCCGGCAAGGCTGAGTAACGAGGATAGCAAGTTCTTTTGAGTCGAGTATACATTATGGATTACTGAAAATGCTGCTGCCCTGGTATTATACATTATACCTTTTCTTCTTCGACTTCTCTGGTCCTCCGCTTCGTCTGCCCCGCCGCCGCCTTAGTCTGCTCCTCCGCTGCCCTGACGCTCCGCCACTCCATGAACAAGGAGCTCAGAAACGCACAGCCGCAGAGCGGGACGGCGGCGATGAAGACGCCCTGCAGCGCCCTGCTGTACAAGTCAACCAACGCGGGCAGGGCCGACTCCGGCACATGCTGGCGGAACTGGGTGGTGCCCAGCTCGATGACGGCGCGGATGTTGACGCCGGCGATGCGGTTGTCGCCGGCGACCAGGTGGTTCTGCAGCAGGGTGTTGCCCACGGAGATGAAGATGGCGCCGCCGGCGGACTGGCAGGCCACCACGGCGGCGGTGCCGATGGGCACGAGCTCGAGCGGCAGCGCCGTCTGCACGGCCGAGAACCCTTGCTGGATGGCCATGCCGATGCCGGCGGAGGCGAGGATCTCGTAGCCGATCCAGCGGGCGGTGGGGGTGTTGGCGTCGAGCGTGGCGAGGAGGCCGCAGCCGACGGTGCCGATGGCGCAGCCGATGATGGCGGGGGGCGCGAAGAGGCCGCGTTTCGAGACGAAGATGCCGGCGAGCATGGAGAGGACGGCGTTGGCGAGCATGTAGGGGATCATGTTCACGCCGGACCCCAAGGCACTGGACGCCTTGATGGCTTGGAAGTAAATGGGGAGGTAGTAGGAGTGTAGCAGGATGGTTCCGTAGATGAAGAATGCGGCACCGCAGGAGGCGGCCACGGTGCGTTGTGTGACGATGGCCGGCGGAAGGAGTGCAGCGTCACCCTTGTAAATGATCCACCCGACAAAGATGAGAGTGGTGGCGCCAAACCCACACATCAGGCCGATGACGGGCGCGGATGACCATGCTAGGCGTTCTTCGGAAAGCTGAAGTGCGGTGAATAGCTGTACCGCGGCACCAAGGACCAGAAGGTTGCCGACCAGGTCGAGCGACAGGACACGTTTGACGAATGAGGGTTTGGACGTCGATGGCTTAGATGGACGAAAAAAGAGAGAGACGGCAACGAGGGTGACGAGCCCGCATGGAAGGTTGATCCAGAAGCACCAGCGCCAGCCAATCGTATCGGTGAAGGCACCGCCGATGAGTGGACCGCACAGAGCACCCACGGCGTACAAGATGCCGACCCCGGCGAAGACGATAGGGCGGGTCTGCAATCGGACTATGTGGGTTACAACGACGAAGGCTCCGGTGAGGATACCAGCGGACCCGACGCCCTGTACGGCACGGCCGACGATGAGGACGTCAGAGGACGGCGCAAGGGCGCAAATGAGGCTGCCGACCTCAAAGACAACGAGAGTAACGATGAAGGAGGATTTCGTGCTGAACGACATGTAGATGCGGCCGTAAAGGGGCTGGAAGGCCGAGGCTGTGAGCAGGTAGGCCGAACCGTACCAACCAATATCATTGTACGAGTGGAATCTGGAGGTTATGTCGGGGATGGCGGTGATGATGATGTTGCGGTTTAGTGAAATAATAAAGACGGCCAAGCATACGCCTGTCACGATCAAGACCAGCGGAAGTGCAGAAGGATACTGGCTGTCGTCGTCAGCAGCAGGTCCGGCAGCGTTTCCCAGAGCAGCGCGCGACTCTAGCGGGCGGACAGCGGGGTGTTGAGCGAATGTAGGGATCTCCGAGGTGTCTGATGTAGTACTGCTCAGAGTGCTACGCGAGAGCACCTTGTGTGCTGCTTGAGGGGACCGGGAAACCGGGGGCTCATAGCGTTGTCGGGACTTGTCTCCGGATGACAAGGCCGCCTGTTCAGGTCGGACCGGTTGAACAGGTTCAGGCAGACCCTCCGGTTGCATCCGTCTTGACAGACTCGGTGCTTGCGCGCCAGGGCTCCGTGCTAAACTCGAGGTTCTCGGCGCTATGGATGGCGAGGTCATGAAAGCCGAAGTTGGCGATGCTAATGTTGGAGAGCGTGTCGCGGACCTCTCATCACGCCTTTGAGGCACGCCCAAAGACCGCTTTGAAGGCTGCCGACCAAGGTATCGGTATGCTCGCATCTGGGGGCTGCCATGCGATACCGTGCTTGGCTCTTCGTGCTCGTCTGAGGTCGGCAGATGCGCAGGATAAGCTGAAAAGCGCTTGCTGCGAGCTATGCCGCGAGCCACCGAGCCGGGTATGCGCTTACTGTCATTCTTGTCTCCAGAGTGATTGCTCGTCTGATATTTGTTCGCTTTCGCGGACGCGTCTGCTTCATCGCACTCGTAGTCATAGTCATCTGCCAGGTCATCATCAGAATCCCGGCCGTAATCCTTGCAGTTGTACTCAGTCAGATTGCCAAACCTGGCCGACGTATCGTCATGCTGATATGCTGGAGCGAAGCTGTTCATGATTCGGGGCTCGCTGTTCAACAGACGGAAGGAAAGCGTTATTGGGGAGAGGACGGAGAGGGTTAAGAGGGGGGGCGTAGTGCATGTTCACGGAATAGGCACAGAGAACATTTGCTTGCCTGGGGCAGAACTGTCCACCAAACTTGGTTGATTAGATTGGGATCCAGCCACTTACATCTTTACTGGGATCATCGGTGGGATTGTGGAACAAAGAGACCTCTATCAGCGCTGTTGAATAGATTGAGCTAGCAAGGGCGCGTGCTATTAGACGTCTCCGAAAGACGGCTCGAAAGTAGCAGAAGCTGGATAATGCGAAGAGAAAGGCGAGAAGACCCAACAGCGCCATTGGTGGCTCCGACTGGAGGTGTATCTGCAACTAAGCACAAGTTTGGGTACTGCCAACAGGTGTTGGGCATTTGACGTAAGCGGCCATGGGACAAGCTCCATTCGCTGATCGGTGAGTACCAGAGGACGAAGAAAATCCGAAGCTGCTTCGTGGGTATCCAAAAGCAGAGTGGAACAATGGTGGCCAACGATAAACAAGGTATACGACCCAGCGGAGTCTAGCAGGATCCGGTGGAATTGATCGGCAGATATCGTGCTCGGTTACGGACTACTCCTGGCTGACAGGCCTGTTCCCTGAATCACTAATTTTCCGGATCAGATCGATCTGTGATCCTGGCTATCCACATGCTGATTGGGTATGATCCCAGCGCCCCTGTCGTAAGGGGCAGTCGTTTAATGGCTGTGAATTATCGCTCGAAACAAGGGTATTGCTACTTCCACGAGCAAAGATCACAGGCTGTAGCTAATCAGACATTGATTCACTTTTCCACGTCATTACACCAATTGGTACCGGCTTAGGCCACTGAGTTGGGCCAGAGTAGACACCACGCCCTCGACTCCAAAGCCATCGTGGTGCCGGCCCAATGCTGCATCATCCGCAAACTCGCACTCCAGGTCAATCTGCTTGGCTAGAAGCTGCGCCATGGCTTGGCCTCGCTGTCGTTCAACTTCGATCTCCTCTGGCGTCACAGGCCATCCGTATCCGGGGATCCCACCCTTGTTGTCGTTTGCTGAATCCAGTGCCGAGGACTTGGGAGTGTTCTCTTCGCTCGGCAGCAAACCCGACAGCTCTAGCATCTTTGCAGGAGTGATGGTTCTGCGTCCATCCTTGAAGACTATCTTGCTCATCGCCGACGCAGCGATAGGCAGGCGCTCTGGTGAAGATCCTTTGCTAGCCGTACCAACTGAACCTCTTCTCGAACTCAGGGGTGTGCCGGCGGTTGATGAATGACGTCGCTGCTGTTCAGGGTATAAGGTGATCCTACCTGGCGCGACCTTACTTCCCCGTTTAACAAAGTGAGTGACGACGTAAACCCATTTGTCGTCCCATGATAGTAACCGCGTCCACATGTCGTAGGTCTCAAAGGGGAGCAGTTCTTTTCGAAATGTGCAGCTGACGCCTCCGAGAGCGATGCTGAAGTTGGATGTCTTACCATTTAGGCCGTTCATGGTGGTGCTTCCACGACATTTCTCAATCCCCTTGCTGAATATTGTGGTAAGCAGGTGGGTTCTGGCAATATCCACGTCGGAGAAATATGTCGAGTTGCTCTAGTAAACGTCAGTGTCCAGCATTCGGCATCGGACCGTGAGTCGGCATACCTTGTGGCCAAGTACGTCAATGTCCATCAAACATGCCTGGGATGAGGTGATCAGAGGCTGGAATATCTGCTCAGGCTGCAAATCCACACTGGATCGTTGAGAGCGTAGGACGAAGCGCACCGCATTGAGAAGTCGTAGATGGTAGATGAATGGGAATACTTTGAAATTGACCAAGATGTGTAGAACCAGCAAGAATTTCCATGCGTTTGCAAGTGTTACTTGTTGTATGAGGCTGGCCCATAGGAATGTGAAGTCACCAGAACCTCCTGCGGCGCCCGTCATGGCTTCCAAGGAGATATAGGATGTGAAGGACGGGTACATGGCCTCGTAAGTCGAGTTGGACGCTGAGAACATCTTGCGTTGGCGGCTGCAGTGTCGCAAAATACTGACAAAGGAGAGACTTCACAGTTATGGCTCGTCGAGAGAAGTCGCAGCCAGCTCAGAGTCCGGAAATCGATGTACATGACATCGGATACTCGACGTGGAGTTCCAATAGGTATGTTTGGCAAGTCGACAGGAGACAGAGCCTCCTTCAGTAGCACATCCAATTCCATCCCTTACCGACTTCGATAAACAGAGTCGCTAACCCCAACAGCCAATAGTCGCCAAAGATGCAGTTATTCCACAACCTGCTGGTCTTCACGTACGACAAGGATCGAGATCGCTGGGCTCGAATCCACAATTCCTTTCTCAGCCAGACGCGCGGGTCGACGCTAATACCACGAAGACGTATGCTGTGGGGTGAGAGAACCCCGTAGGAACGGAGTGTTTCTGGCTGCTGGGTCCCCAAGAGGCTCGTGGATACACGTGGACCGCATGTATTGAGCTTCTCAACAATTCACACACGAAAAAGAGCTTTTCCGCTGACGAGTGTGATCAACGAGGCTCCGCGTTTGATGCGCGATCGGCGTGTGCAGATCATATCATAGCAAACCCAGGTCAGCGCGCTGCCAGGGTCGAAACTCTATTTTGACATTTCTTTGTTTTCACGTACCGATTGAGTCGAGACATGTGAAACCGAGTTCTTCAATGTGCATAATCTAAGCGACAATATACGTAAAATCTCACGGAGGATCAAAAGGGGAAGACAGGAACCCGTCCCTCCCAAATCCTTGTGCATTAGTTCCGGAACAGGTGCCCCAATCGAAGGCCACGAAGGCGGCATGTTGCACCGCAAACGAGTCCATTGAGGAGCGATCATATTTACAAGGAGATGAGACTCAACGACGTGGCCCAATATTGGCATTATTATCTGGTCGAATGCATTGACTACACAACGACTCATATCTTTCCGCGTAGTAGCCTCTTCCTGTTCGAGAGTATTTTTCGCCTGCAAGGGTTCAAATCAGTCTGGCTCGGCGATGCAAGCCTCGCTGCAACAACCATGAGTTCTCTCTTCACTGATACCGCTTCTTCAAGATAACGGCGGTTGATTTTCCTAAGCGGGAGCCATGTTGTGCAACCCAGCCGATCTGATTCTTCGCTGCAGCTGGTTGTTAGGACCTCTATGAGCTCTTCTTTCCATTATTCATGGCTTCTCCCGATGGTAGGGAGTCCGCAATCGTGTCTTTTGTGTTTCGGATAAGGTCAGCGGTGATCTCGCCGGTCTCCTTGATAGATGGAACGTCGCCTTGAGAAGCCCTCCTCACGGCCTTCTTTATCGACGGCTTCTTGTAGGTTGAGAGGTAGAACATGACGAACAGGAAGAGGTACGAGGTGATAATGCCGCATCCAGTTGCAGCTGCTACCTCAGCCGTAGGCTCGCCGCACCGACCGACGTGAGGCAGCGAAGGCATATACTGTGCGGCGAAATACGTGTAGGTTGCGAAGTAAATGAATCCTGGCGCACAGTTTAGCATCCAAACTTCCATCGCGAAATGAGCGTCTTACCAAGGTCAAGTACAAATTGGGTAATTTGGAACATAGTGATATATTGTTTCCACCACACCTTCACACCGCGAGCCGCTTGAAAGTAGTACCTGGATGAGGTCAGCAGGTTTATTTCGGGCTGGATGAGATCACTTACCAATACATGACAACATGTACGGCCAGGTTCAGCGTGATGGGTACCCAGGACACCGGCGTCTTACCCACTAATTGAGTATAACACAGCAATGCTGTAGCGCCATGGTGGTATGTGTGAAGAAAGGTCAGGGGCTTCTTCTTCAGAACAAGGAATACCGTGTCAATTAGCTCGAGATACTTGGTGAGATAGTTCATATAGTATAGCACCTCCATCTTCTGAGTCCAACCTGTGCCCCCGCAGATCCCGTCAAAGAGACCATGGTTCCAAATGCCCGGAATTAGTTGCTGGGCGAAAAGCACCAAGAGGCCGCCAGAGATCGCCGTGAGATAGAAGTTGTGGATGAGAAAGAGGGTGTTCAGCTTGAAAGCTGGTCGGCTTCGCATCAATTCGCGACCGCCGAAGATGACCACATAGTACAGAGCAATGACCACGGCGGTTTCTTTGATAGTGCTCATTGGGGTCTTTCCCTGAATGAATTCAAAGTTGTGAGGTCGGTATCCCAGAACTGCAGTCCAGGTCTTGTCGAAGAGAGACCAAGGATCGACCGAGAGCAGACGCGGTGAAACCTCAGCGTTCCCGTTGTTCGATAGTTGATATTTTGGAACGCCAGCCGGCAACAGCGTGGCTGCTGCATCGTAGGTGAAGTTCAACATGTCTGCTGCAAAGCAAGAGTTACAAGACTCAGCTGATGTGACCCTGTGAGGACTCTCTAGAGATTTGTGCGACAGAGTAGGATGAGCAAGAGCAACAGACCCTTGATTATAAGGGCATTGCATCGTGCTAGGATCCTCTTAAAACATTTTCGGCATGAGGGCAACGGAATTGACTACTGCAGGACGAAATTTCCCCCGTAGCATTTGATCTGGTTGAGATCGTCTCTGCTCTAGTCGAGATACTCTCCACATGTACCCATACGCTCGCTTCTTCTCGCTCTGTACATAGTCCTCATCAAGCCTTACAGATTCTACGTGTTCTCCATCACGTACACGATCAAATGCACGTCGGTGATAATGCCCTTTCTGATCAGCTGTGCGGGCCCCGAGACCAAAGTGGATGTGTTGAGAACTAACTGTGACCTCAACACCTGCATCAGCGGCTTATAATATCGACAAAACCGCTGATCATCTCGAATGCTTTCGGAATGAGGCCCGGTGGGAATGACAGCGTTCACGTACGTAGGTAAGGAGGCCATTATTGGAACACATATCCGGCAGATGCAGTACTAGTCGGTGGAGACTTCCGGAGCCTGAAAAGACTGGAGACTGAATGTTTCGGTAAGACAAGTGGCTCCCATCTCTAGAGATTGATTGCCGAGCGACGATCATGGTCAAACACCAATGCACAGGTGGATCTGCCAAGGTATTATACTGCTTTCGCTGGCTCGCCGGCTGCGTTCTCCCTTCACGCTGTACGTCAAATTCGTGACTGAGGCTGGGTATGAACTAGGCTGACGAGACATGACCTTACTTCTTGCCTGCAATAGTTCCTGGAGCAGTGACGAATTTCTTCGGCGTACATGCACGCGAAATTATTGGCTACAAAAGTGACAAGATCGGCGGTTGAGATTCTCGCATGTGATATAGTCGTTCTATCAGGTCATATCATCCGATCTGTTCCTGAATCCAAGGTCCATCACGCTTTTGTGATACCTACTTTTCTTTTGCTCTCTCATAGGGACTGCAGTGCTGGACTTGTCGCTATCTCAATCCACCGAGTCCATCGACAACATCACAAACATGCCTGTTCAGATCCCTTTGGCTCCCTACATGGGGGCCGTGGCCATCGCAGCGCTTGTCGGTGCAAAATACACAGGAACCTCAACAGCTGTCGCAGAATCATGGTCATTGAGTATCGGCATACTGCTCTATACCTTCTACTGTAGCTACCTCTATCCTTTCTACATCTCTCCACTACGACATGTACCTACGGTTCCCGGATTCCCTCTCTGGGGCCAATTCTTCACTATCATCACAACAGAATGCGGTGTGCCTGCTCGTGAATGGCATCAGGAACATGGTCCTATCATTCGATACTTCTTCCCCTTTGGATCAGAGAGGCTTTCCATCGCAGACGACGATGCTATCAAACACATGACGGTCAGAAATCCATACAACTATCCAAAGCCTCAACGAGCCAGACTCTGGATGAAACCCATCCTAGGCGAAGGTGTCCTGTTGGCAGAAGGTCACGCTCATGTTACACAACGGAAAGCGCTTGCGCCTGCCTTTTCTATCACATCTATCCGATCTCTCATGCCCATCTTCTGGGCCAAGAGCCTCCACATGGCCAACCTTTGGGACATTGAAATGGCCAACCAGGGCGTAGCCTCCAAATGTTTTGAAGTTCTCGAATGGCTGAACAGGACGACACTCGACATCATTGGCAGCGCAGGTCTTGGAACTGAGATCGATTCCCTGGGCAACCCCGATACGTCGCTCCGAGAAGCTTACAAGCGATGCTTCGACTTTGACCTTCAAGCTCGTGTTCTCAACGGACTAGCGGCGTTCACTCCTCTGATTCGATTACTCCCGATGCGAGCCAACCGAGACATGCACAACTCTCACAAGCTCATCCTCGGTCGGGCTTCGGAGATCATCAAAGAGAAGCAGGGCGACGCTAAAGCGCAGCGCGAGACCAAGCACAAGGATATCATTGGTCTTATTGTCAAAGGCAACAGCACTGCAAGCAAAGCCGGTGAGTAGTTTCGTGCACCTAAGAACCTGACACTAACGCCACACCCTAGATACACTTTCCCAGGAGACCATGCGTGACCAGGTCATGACTTTCCTCGGGGCGGGCCATGATACCACAGCGACATCCGTCGCATGGACCTTGATGATGCTCGCAAAGAATCCCGAGATACAATCCAAGCTTCGCACTGAAATCAGAGAGCACATGCCCTTCCTCTTCAACCAGTATGAACGCGAGGATTCGGACAAGCTGGCCGCACAAGGCGATGTCGACTTACTCCCCTATCTCGACGACGTGTGCCGCGAGTCGCTGCGCTACATTCCATCTATTCCCATGACAGTGCGAACCACCATCGATGATGATGAACTGGGCGGTTACTTCATCCCGTCCGGCACGACTATCTACCTCATGGCCAACACCATCAACCGATTGCCCATGTATTGGGGACCGACGGCCGATAAATTTGACCCAGACCGGTGGCGCAGTCTCCCAGAGACATACACCACCAATGCTTTCATGACGTTCTTACAAGGTACGTGGGGCAGACTTTCATGACACCTTCACAGCGCTGACATGTACTAGGTCCCCGTGGCTGCGTCGGCCGCAAGTTTGCCGAGGTCGAAATGAAGACCATCCTTTGTTCTCTGCTTAGCAAGTTCAGCTTCGAAATGGATACGTCGGTCGATGATCCGGAGGACCTCAAGATGTGGAGACTTGTCCTACGACCGCGAGATGGTGTCAGCTTGAAAGTCAGCGCTCTTTGAGCGAGCAGTACTGGATGTGGGACCAGGGGTCGTGGTGTTTCTGGATGCGCTGATTTGTGGCGTGCACATGTCATACTGCAGTATCAGTGGGCCAGCATGGATACCGTATCTACAGTAACATCGGTCGGTCGACACTAAGTAGAATTCGTCTCCTTGCCATGGGAAAAGTTGATCGTTCCTTGACAGCGGAACTACAATTCCCCGAGGGTTGATAGACTCAAGACTCCCGCAGATGCAGTATGCTGTTGGGAGTGCACACATCCGTATTGCAGGCCTTGGCAGCCCTTGACCAGCTGCGCCGCTATCTACAATCCTTGACTTGGTAGTACAGCGTGGCTGCTATGACCCATGTCAGTGGGTGAGTCTGATCGACCTCTCGCACTAAGTGAGGATCCGGTACGGATGAATGATCCGCTCAGGGCGAGATAGGGGTTTGGACCTAAGCCGTACCCACTGTGACGAGTGCGAGATATTACGAGTTGCTAGCGCGCTGATGGTTGCAGATCAAAAGTTTGTGCAGACAAGCACGAGATCCAGATAGCCGATTGCCTTCAGTCCTGATTGGGAAAGGGCACCAAGAGCAATTCCGAAAGCATACAAGCAGACTCCATTAGGTGCGTTTTGAACCACACGCATCGTGTGGTCTCTCCGACGTGATTGGCAATGTGAGTCAAGCCACTAGTATGAAATATGGAGGCAGCGGACCTTGTGCGGTGGACCTATGGTAAAAGTCTTCCGCAACGACATCAAGTCATGCAGTCAAGACGTGGGTCTACTTCCGGATATCCCAGCTGCATCTCGTTCCCAATCCCGGTTTCGCTCTGCATGGAGAGAAAGATGTTCCAAATGCTGTTGATCGTTTTAGGCGACATCGTCTCCAGATGGATCCCCCGGGAGCCACATGAACACATTGCTGGGTCTCCGCGCATAGGGATACTATCATGCCCAACAGACTTTTCGTGCTCAGAAAGCCATCACATCATCAGCATGTCGGAACCGGGAGCCTGGGTATGAAGAAGTCATCTTACGTAGATCTGTCTCAACAAGATCCAGTTCACAGACAAAGGAGAACCAAGACGCTCCCCACCCTCTCTGTCCACAGTGCCAGATTCGCCCAAATTCTCGTCAGCCTGAATTCCTGCACCAAGGGCTTTGGGCGGGACAGACACTCCCCCACACGACGTTGGAGATAGAGCACTGTACTGTCGACGGCCCACCTGGCAAACTCGCAAGGTCTTCGGCCCTGCCTCTTGGTGGGATCCCCAGCTTAGCACAAATCACAATCTTAGCACGTTGACCCCAACTTACCCATTGCTTTACAGAACGTAGACGCCAGTCCTTGACACTACCGCAGCAGCAACATGAATTTCTTCACGTGGTTCCTATACGCCTTGTCGGCTCTAGTCCTCATCAACGTCGCTGGTGCCATTCGCACGCGCATTCACAACAAAGTTGCAGCCCGCAGCCTTGGCTGCTTACCCCCTCCCACCGCCCGCAACCGTGGATGGGGCGGCTTGAAAACACTGCTGGAGTCCATCAAAGCGACGCGCGACGAGTGGGGTCCGATATGGCTACATCAAGCCATCAACGAGGTCGGAGTCGCGGTGCACACCATCCGTGCGGTGGTTCTAGACTACGAGCTCCTGATCACGCGAGATCCAGAGAACGTCAAAGCCATGTTTGCCTCGCAGGCCGAGGACTTCGACATCGGGAAGCACCGCCAGAAGACATTCAAGAGCCTGCTGGGGCACGGGGTCATGACGAATCGAGGACAAGCCTGGAAGCACTCCCGCGCACTGGTCCGTGGCCAGTTTGCGAGGTACAATGTGGCCGACATGAGTCTTCTGGACACGCACACGGATGCGTTGTTGAAGCGTTTGGGAACCGAGATCGACCCGCAAACTGGCTGGACCGGCAAGCTTGACGTGGCCCCACTGTTTTACGCGCTGACTCTCGACATCTCAACCGAGTTTCTGCTTGGCACGAGCACATCTGTGCTGGACCCGGAAGCCCGGAGCAAGACCCCGCTGGGCTTGGTTGACGGACACGAGCCCGACCTCGAAGGGTTTGGGAGGCATCTTGACGGCGCCAAAAAGATGCTCGATCGTCGCGGAGCGCTGGCAAAGTACGGCTGGCTGCTGCGAGACAAGCGATATCCGATGCACTGCAAGAAGGTGCAGGACTTTGTCGACTACTTTGTGCACCTACGTCTGGAGCGTATGGGTGATGCGGAGAAGTCGGTAGGAAACGTCAACGGGAAGGAGAAGTTCATCCTCTTGGATCATCTGGCTACAGAGACAACTCATCCTCTGCATCTACGGAATGAGCTGCTTAACGTGCTGCACGCCAGTCGCGATACCACGGCCGCGTTGATGGGATGGGTCTTCTACTTCCTCGCGAGACATGGTCGCGTGTTCGATCGACTACGGGAGGATGTGTTGGAAAGGTTCGGCCAACAGGGTGAGAAAGAGCTAACGTTTGAGTCGCTCCACTCGATGGGTTACATGCAGTGCGTCATTAATGAAACCATCCGATCCGTGGGCATCGTACCTATCAACGAGCGTATGGCAATGCGAGACACAACGCTACCCAGAGGCGGTGGTCTAGACGGGCAGAGTCCCATATTCGTGCCAAAGGGACAGCAGGTGCTTATCCCGACGTATAGTATGCAGCATCGCGAGGACATCTGGGGCTCAGACGTGGATGAGTTCCGGCCTGAGCGGTTTGAGAACAGAAAGTCCAGCTGGAGCTTCATTCCCTTCGGTGGAGGGTCAAGACAGTGCCTTGGTCGTGAGTGTGGCCTCTTACCCGTTCAGTGTACCCATCCTAACATTCGAGCAGAGCAATTCGCCCGTACTGAAGCAAGCTACCTGCTGGTCCGGCTGTTGCAGCGGTTTGATAAAATCGAGAACATGGAAAAAGGCGATGGGAAGCTGAAAATGCACCACACCATCGAGAACCGAAGCGGCACTGGCGTTCAGGTCAGATTCAGGGTGGCTGAGAACTACCGGTGAGCAGAGATCCAAAGTTGTTCGGCGCCTTACGCTGGAAGAAGATGCTTTTGCATGCGGCTCCATCCGGGCGCCTCGACCGAAGCTGCCTTTGATCCGGACTTTACAGCCGCGCTTCAACGAATCGACTGAAGATCTTGGCCTTGAGGAGAGAAGATGCGGAAGACTGCCTTATGAAGTTATGATTCCAGAAGTTATGTATTCTTGTATCAAACCATTTTCTCCCAGCGTAGACTATTTCACGACTATTCTTTGGACATGCTAGGGCTAGCTCCATCTCAGGATTAACGATGGCTACTTCCATGAAGTGGCTGGTTTATCTCTGCTTTTGTTTGCCTATAAACTGCCTCAGCACTCAGTTCCATTCTCTAAGAAAGTCATGTGGCACTCAGTGTGAGAGCTAATATCGTCGAGACTGCAATCAAAATGGGGGGACGGCCAAAACTCCATTATACCAGATCAACGCCAACCACACCAGACGAAGGCTGCCTACTATTCCTATTCCCACAACAACTCGACAACAGGATGCACACGACTCCTCCTCAGCCGCTCCCTCACCCTCTCCCCACTCTCCTCCCTCCTCCAAACCCCAACCCACCATCTCCTCACCCCCTTCCCCTTTTTCCTCACCTCCTCCTCCTCCTCCTCCTTCCCCCTCTGCGCCAAAGCACAAACCTTCAAAAACCTACCATACTCAGCCTTGACGTGCCCCCACATCCACGCATCCCCCGGCTTCCACGCCATCCACTTCTTCAACTCCCCCTCCCTCGTCACCCTCTTCAAATCCCGCATCTCATCCCCCCGCACATCCTCCTCCAGCACTCGGAACCTCACCCAACTCGGCGCCGCCAGCCCGTTCAACGCCGTTTTCTTGCTGCCTCCTTGTTGCCGACTAACGCCGTCCTCGACCGCATCAAGCAGCGTCTCGAAATCCACCGCCAGGGCTGAAGCGTCACTTACTCCGCCACTGCTACTGCTACCGCTGCTACTACCACGCCGGTCCCGCCATTCCCGCCAACGAAACGGCGGCAGGAACTCCTGCCCCGCGCCGTCGGCGTCCGTGCGCCGGAACCGGACTTGGATGCGGCCGAGGTGCGCGTCGAGGCGGCGGGTGGCCATGCCATCGGCGCGGATGCGCGAGGGCAGGTCGGAGATGGGTCTGAAGGTTAGGGGGGCGAGGGTGGCGTGTCGGGGGGGGGTTAGTAGGTGAGAAAGGCTGGGTTTCGGTCTCGAAGTGGAAGGTTGCCTTCTTCTTGGCGGGGGTCCATCGGCGGCGGAGGAGGCGGTGGAGTCTTCGAAGGTGAGTCTTGAGGGTGTGGCAGGGGAGGGGCTTAGAGGGGTGGATGGGACGTGGTGGGAGGAGAATGGGCTTTGCTGGCGGTCTTGGTGTAGGTTTAGCGACAGGTCTGAGGCTGTTGACGGGAGTTATTATGGTGGTCAAAGGCCGCCGCCAGCGCTCTGCCGAGCATTCATCGAATTCATCCTCGCAGCGCCTTGGCCCGAGCATCAGCTGGTTCCGCCGCTCGAAGCCTTTAGCAGCTCGGGAAGGGATACTGCTGTCCCTTTCCGACTTGTCAAAGTCAGCCAGCATGTCGTCCAGGCTCTGGAACTGTGCCACCCGGTAAGTATCACCCGAAACTTCAATGCCTACCTGGTCCCTGCGCCGCAGACTGCTCGCCCGCCGCCGCTTTGCTGACGTGCCAGCTTGCGGTTGCGGGCATATCCCCGGATCTCTGCACCTTTCTTCCATGCTCCTGATTGCCAAAATCAACTATACTCTCCTACCGTTGAATATGCCTTGCTGCTACAGGTCTAGCAACCAAATGTCACAAATCCACAGGAAATTGCTGTTCGCTGAATAAATTTGCGTTTCGCGTCTTCGTGCAAATTCGTGCTGCTACGTGCGCCCGTTCTCGTTACAGAGTCTCTTCGAGAGTCCATTCAAGCGTTGCATTCTTTACAATTCAGAGGTCCGTGCTCCTCCCCAAGCAGCAGCATCGATGCTTTTAAGTGAACCAAGAGGTCATCGCCCCTCGAGTGAGCGGTCATTGTTCGACGCAATCGGGTTCGTCTGCTCCTGGGTTACCGGGTCGCGCTGTGACTCTTTGACTGGTCGAGATTCTCACACAAAGAGCGGTGGACAGCGCCTCCCTTGTGGGATTAGGGCAGACCTTTGTCTGTGGGACGTGCTGATCGCGGGAACAAAGTGGCCATGCAGTGTTTGTTGGTCAGCTCGGCATGATGATGCTGGGATGAAACTTGAGCTGCTGCCAAGACTTTTACTGCCTGGGAATGGACCGGCGCGATTCGCTGTTATCTATTGGCGGGTACGCTGTGCACTGGGTAGGCAAAGGGAAATAGTCGTTTGGTAGGATTATGGAAAAGGCCTTTAAACGGGTGGATTCGAGGGTCGCTCGCGGCTCGGAAGCACTCGTTGATCCAGGATCGTTCGGTTTGAATTGAGATTCGCATCTCTGTTCTATATGCTTCGTCCTTGCTTGCCGCCAATGTCACAGGTCAGGGGCAGCAGATTTGAAGAGACTTAGGGGCTCTGAATAGAGCGCATGAGCCAGTCGCGTAGAGGAACGCTTGAGCTTGCGCCTTCTGAACCCGACGCCTCCTTGCAGGTGGTCTCTGCATCCTGCCAAAGACATACACAATTTCCTTCTCACGGCGTAAAGAAACTATTACAATACCTCGGCGCACACGTACGACAACCGATCCAACCATATGCGCGCTCCACCTGCGTGTTCACCGTCGTGAACGGGTTCGCGTTGCCATAACTATAGCTAACATCATTGCCCCACATGCACGTATAGCTGCCACTCTTGAGCTTATAAAGCGCAAACACTAGATACGTGCTCTGGAATCTGGCGAGGCACTGGTTGAAGGCGTCACACAGATTGACAGTGCCTGCGATGGTGAAGCGGTTGGCGTTTGCAGTACCATCAATAGGCGTGCCGACCACTTCGCTCCCGGAGAAGTAGAGCGACCAGTCCGCATAAGGATTGATATTGGGGGCGAAATAGCGAATGGTGGTGCAGGTGGGGATTGGGGCTGGGTAGTTGGGGCATGGTGGGGGCGCGATAGCGGCGACGGTTGTGGTGCGCGTGGGTGTTGTGGAGGTGCTGGCGCTGAGGGCTGAGCGGGAGGAGGTTTGGCTCAAGGATTCGGGGCTCACGAGTGACGCACTCGAGGTTGATCTTGCTAAGGAGGGAGTAGGGGAGGTCGTTGTACTGGAAGACGAATTCTGCGCAGCTCGTGTTGTGGTCGACACACGGGGTGTCGTTGTGCTCGAGGAACGCGCTGTGGTTGCTGGCTTCGGTACCCTGATAATCGTTATTTGGCAGCCCGGGTGGTCATAAGGGGGACTTACCAAGGACCTGAGAAGCAACGATTGCCAAATGGATAGTCCCGCTGAAACAGGGTCTTACTCCCACCATTGAGGGTGCTTGAGTCGAAAACGCTGTCAATCTTGCACTTCATCATAGCCGTCAGCTTCATTGCGCCAACAGGGCAGACGCCAGATGTCGTGACAACTGTTTGCCGCTTCTCTAAGCCACTGTCGAGGCGATTGAACAGCTCTTGATCCTCGCCACGCTTTTTGATAGACGACTGCTGCGAGAGCACTTGGGCATCGAACGCCCAGCTGTACGTCTGCGTAACTTTGGCGGCATTCTGAATCTTTTTGCCGAAAACCTGGACACTCATCTGTAGGGTCGTCTTGAGGAACGGCGTCATGGCGATACGACCAGGATTCTTCAATGCCGGGTATGCCACAACCGCTGAGGGAGTCCAGTCAGAGGCCTTGCCTTGGGCGCTGTACAGCAGGTCGTGCCCGTCGATGCGCGCATTCCTGAGCGTGAATGTTGCTCCGGCCTGCACATCCATTGCTGAGTCGATCGAGTAGGAACCTCCAATACTGACAAGGAACTTCGGCCTGTACGTGGTCAGTCCCGTTTCTTTTGCAAGGCATAGTCACTTACGATAGAACGAAAATATTTGGGACGTTAAGCGCCATTAGGTCCAGCGAGGAAAGGGCGCTCTCCCAAGAGAAGCTCGATGGACCGACGGTCTTGAAGCTGAATATGAGATCTGCACTTTGGGACAGCTTCGTGTTCAGAGTGGCTCCAATGACTGAGCCTGTCTCGACAACTGCGAGAACAGTCCCTTCGATGACGATTGAAGAGATACTGAGACCGCACTTTTGACAGGCGACTCGAAGACCGGCTCCCGATGTTACCAATGCTGTGTCTCCTGGCAGCGTGACAGTGATTCTCGAGTCGACCATTGCATAGGCTTTAACGACAGGCGGCGGCTTCCCCTTGTTGCCTTTGAGCATTTGGTACGCAGCGGTCGCCGCGTCGTATGCATCACTAGCCCTCGTGTTAGCGACTAAGCCTCCAGTAGAGACAAGACACACTCACCTGATGGCGCCAAATGCCTCGCAGAGATCGCACAAGGCACCAAAGAACTCTGAAGTGAGGAAGTCTTTCAGGCCACCGAAAAGGCTGCCCCAAAAGCCACGCGCCACAATGATATGCGCAGGTGCCTTGGCGGACTTGCTCACTGCAACCGGCCGTTCTTTAACCATACGCGGTGGTGATCGATTCGTCTCGTTGAAGAGAACGAAGTCCGGATCCAGAATCTCTTGCACCTCCATATCAGGAGTGATCGCAAATGAAGCATTTGCCGCCAACCGAAGGCCAGCTATGGCCTCCTCATATAGGGTCGTATTCGAGGGGAGACCATCGGCAGCCATGGCGGCAATGACCTCGTTCTTGCATGATGCATTTGTCGTGCAGTCTACTGCCTGTAGCACCGGTCTCAACGTGGCCATTGCGCGGAGCTGCAGCACCAGGGTGTTGTTGCCCTCGAATGTGGCGTTGCCTTCGATTGTGTCCAAGATATTTTGCTGTGATGGTGTCAGTACGGTGTCATTGGTCGTCGATGCAGTTGTCGTGGAAGACATGGCCACAACTTGATTATTCGTAGACCGTGAAGAGGTCACTGGTGATGAAGTTTGCGGATTCGTCGTTGAGACCACGGATGAGGCCGCTCGCGTAGTCGATGATGATGAGCTGATGGAACTGGTTACCGAGGAAGCTGCTGAGGAAGTTGCTGAGGAAGTTGCTGGAGAAATTGCTGAAGAAACTACCGAGGAGACTGGTCGAGAAGTTGAAGTCACGGCTGAGATTAATGGTAATAATGTGGGTGATGATGATAGCAAACTTAGTTGTAAGGTCGACGATGAAGGCGTTAGTGACGATACTCCTGCTGTCGAAATTGAGGTCGTCGTTGAGGACGGGCCAGCTGATGACGATGCCACGGAGAGTGAAGACGATGACGTGTAAGTGCTTCCGTCAATGCTCGTGGAGCTGCTTGAGCGTGCGGATGCCGGAGTCGAAACCGATCCACTGGAAGGCACTGCAGTGCTCGACAACCGTACATTGACGGTTCCTGTCGTGCTAGAGCTGTGCAAGGAGGTTACCGAAGTGGATATATGAGGAGAAGAAGACGAAGGCTCGGGCGTGGATGATACAGAGATTGGATCTGATGGTGTAGAGGTGTGCTCTTCGGAGCTCGAGTGCTGAGTAGACGAGGTCGAGGTTTCAACAGATGGCGTCGAGTCATGACTGGTCGCAGCACTGGTAGTCGTATTAACATCTGCTGAGTCGGTGTCAATGATGGTAGGCTCTATAGACGGCTCGAGAGGTGTTGGAGATAAAGAGACGGCGGGGTCAGTGGTCAACGAGGAAGACGATACGGAGGATGTTGTCGTTCCTGATACCTCTCTCGACGAAGACTGATATTCTTGACCCAATGAGATGCTCGAGTGTGGTTGGCTCGTCTCCGAGAAAGTCGAGGTCCGAGGCAAGGACGAAGCCAGTGCATCGCTGCTCAAGTGAGGTGGAGAAAGCCTAATGGTTGGATCATTGGAGGCCGGTAGGGTCCCCGTATCTCCGACACTTGTCGAGAGTTCGATCGGAATCGGGGTGATGGTAGTCAGATAGCTCGACGAAGCCAAAGTTGAGGACTGCATCCAGTAGGACGTGACGGTTGAGGTGAAAGGCTGGGGCTCCTCTTGGACCACGCTGCCGTAACTAATACTCATGGTCTGCGCTACCGCGCCCCAGGAGGTAGCCGTCACGCGGAGCCGAATGCTGCGGGTATCTTCGTCCGCCAGCCACTCGTTCACCAGGTACACACCTCTTTCTCCCGGTCGATTGAAATCTGGATCTTTGGTAACGATGACGAAATCCGAGCGCGGCCACTGTAGGGCCGTCTGGAATGCTTTGTCATCGGCAAAGATGAGCTTCATGAATTGGGCATCCCACAGATACTCAGAGATGCGGTCTGTGTTCTCCAACACGACCATTGGTAACTTCATATTGAAGTCGATAGCCGCGCCATATGTCTTGTTGCCAGAGGAAGGGCCCTGCTCCGCATAATGCAACGGAATTCCGGACATTCTGGGCACTAGATTGATGAGATCGTTGCGGTTCACGGTGGGATCGACCACAGCTACCAAATCTCGGGTCTCGGTCCCGAAGACGGGAGGAAGTTGGAAATCTGCTGCCCTGAAGGAGTCAGTTTAAGATCCAGTCTCCTGGCCATGAGGCTCACGCGGATGGATAGGCCATTTCGGCGGCTGAGCATGACTCAGATTGCGTTGCGAAGACGACAGCAGTGTCGTTCCTACGACCGATCGGTCAGTGAGTTCACACTATGGTACGTTCAACCTTACCTGCTCTGAGCATGGACGAGAGCGAGCGCCGAGGCTAACAGAGTCAGAGATCGTCTCATTGTGCCTATAGTTGAGAGTGTTTCTTGCTCTTGTGAGTTGTCACACCTCTTTATACAGACTCGTATGAGACACGCGACATAGTACGCGTCTAGTGCGATGCGCAATGGATAGAATGCTCAGCGCGTCAGCGCTCGACCATAGTTGGGCGAGGTGGTGCCCGGGAAGCTATGGACAAGCGGCGGCCCAAGTAGGCGTTGCACTTGTTCCTAGAACCGGCCTGCCGCCACCAGTCGGACTGCGACCACGGTTAGTAAGACAACCGAAGCCCGACAGCAGCTCACACGTCGCGCACGAGTGGTGCTGCTAAGTGGTGACTGATTCAAAATAACGACTGCACTAGAATTAGGATCGGGAGTCAGAAGAAGCTGATTGCAATCGGAAAGTGAAAGGTTCCAACAGGTGGTCTGTGGTCAACGACTGTATCCACCCCGTGCTTGAGCCAACTGCAGCGGCCGAGACATGGCAAGACTTTAGCCGACTCACAGACGCGCTGCTGGGCCGGAGCGCGAACGCCCTTCATCGGTCCAGAAGTTCCAGCGCACGCCCACCATCTCAAACCAGTCGCCATCCGTATGCACAGTCTTTCCCGCAGCGCGGGCACGGTCCAGAATACCCTGCATCTGACTCCTGGTGTCGACGCGGATCGTGATGAAGAGCAGTCCCTCCGAGCGTCCCTCATGGCCACGAGCAAATGACATCTGAGCATTGGTGAAGACGAGATGGGTGTCCCGCACCGGGATATCATACGTCTCTGACCACTGCTGCAGGGCAGCGTTCGCGTTCACTTTCCCGCCCGCGTCGAGGTTCAAAAGACAGCCTCTGAGATGCAGGTGCGCGGTGCTCTTCATCACGCCCAGATAGCGATCATAGTCCGGTCCACACGGATGCCAGGGCGAGAAGCGAGTCGTCAAGGGCCTCGGATTCCTCTCGCAGGCCTTGTGCGAGTCTAGCTCAGGCATCATGCCGCCTGCGATACCCTTTGGATGATATTGAATGCAGAAGCCTTCGTCCTTGGCCCCATTCCAGCTGGGATAGCTGTAGGAGAAAGGGTGTTGGAAGATCACTTTTGACCGGCCACTGGTCACGATGTCTTTGCTGCGCGCATCAGCATCTTCGGTCTGCATGATGATCATGTAGCCGCCCTCGCCGCGCTTGTCCAGGAGACGACCGGCCGTGGTGCCGGAGCGGGTGGGGGCGACGACTTCAATGATGTCTCCTCCGAGCGGGACGAGGAAGTTCTCCAATCCCCATTGTCGAACGGTGGGATCTTCGTAGATGACGGGGGCCCCGAGGATGTCCGTGATTTCTTGGCGGGCGCGTTTGAGGTCATTGGTGACCAGAGCGATTTGCCGAAGCCGTACAGAAGACGATTGTTGTGCCATGGTTCGCTTCGTGTCCTATGCCTCGGTGAGACAGCTGAGTCAACGTTGAATACAAGTAATCATGCACGAAGGACGTCCATCTAAGATTCATCAAGCCAGCCAAGACGGCGTAGTGCGGAGATGGGAGTTGCCGTGCCGAGGCAACCAGGCGGCTCCCAAGTGCTGACTCTGTGAGGGGATGTTGATTACAAGAGAACGCTTGTTGTCGAGCTATCCATCTGGTTCAAATTCGAGGTGGCCGACCATATCTTATTGCAGACTGACAGATACATCAATCAGCATGGCCAACGCGCACAAGTACGAGGATGTGGTCGTGACGGTCTCGGACCGCATCGGCACCATCAAGCTCAACCGCCCCAAATCATTGAATGCGTTTGGCGGCAATCTGATGCTTGATTGTGTCGCCGGCCTGCGTGAGCTCAATGACCACCCGGACACCGTTATCACCGTCATTACCGGTGAGGGTCGATTCGTAAGTGCCCGTGGACTTACCAGCCTCCCACTGGCAATACAGGGGACCCTGTGTGGTAGCTGCGACGGAGCAACATCGCTAACGCCGATCCAGTTCTCCGCCGGCGCCGATGTGCGGGAACAGCGAGCCCCGGAGGACCCCAGCAGCAGCCCCGTTTCGCGCAAGATCGCCTTCATGTCACGCTACACGCTCGCCGTCGAGATGCTGCGAAGCATGATCGACCACAAGAAGGTGCTTGTGGTAGCGTTGAACGGCCCTGCCGTTGGTGGCGGAGCCGCTTGGTTCCCTGGAGTTGGTGAGTGCCTCTGTTCTGCTCCGCTCAGCCCCATTCCCCACACAATCAACTTGAATCAACGGCGCAAAGAACTGTACTGACGCACGACGCTTCCGCGGATTTCCAGCCGACATCCTCCTCGCCTCCGACTCCAGCTACCTGCAAGTCCCCTTCTCGGCCCTCGGCCTCGTCCCCGAATTCGGCTCCGCCATCAACTTCTCCCAATCCCTTGGCGTGCACCGCGCCAACGAGTTCCTGATGTTCGGCCGCAAGCTGAGCGCCGAGGAGCTGGAGCGCTGGGGTCTCGCGAACCGCGTGTTTCCCGCCGCATCGTTCCAGCAGGATGTGCAGAGGTACCTGCAGGAGCAGCTGGCGGTCAACGACGGGAAGAGCATGATGGAGGCGAAGAGGTTGATGAACGCGCCGCTGCGGGACGGGCGCCTGGTCGCGGTGCAGAACGCTATGGATGCCTTGTCGGAGAGGTTCGTCGAGGGTGCGCCGTACGAGCGCTTCGCGCTGAAGAGGAAGGAGATGGAGGAGAAGAGTAAGAAGGCGAAGCTGTGAGGTTTACCTGATAGTGCGACCATTGGTCGCCTAGTTGCAGCTTGGGGATGATTGGACCCGGTCCTTGTGTTCATAGTGGCGAGCGAGATCCATGGCTTTCTACATGGCGTCTTGAATCTCCTCATAAAATGCTTCTATCTTGATCTTGGACCTGGCAATCCAGCTCAAGATGCCCAGGCAGTAAAAGTCTTGGCACGGGTCTCGTACATATCTAGTAAAGTAGGAAAGTAAAGCGCAGATCAAAGATCAAAGATCAAAGCATGTTGTAGGACAACTAGTATAGTTTCCTGTCAAGTATAGCCAAAGAAGCAGCAGAAGAAATCCAATGACCTGTTCCGTTTTTCGGGAGGATAGATCTCACCCTCCTACGCCAGCCAAAGATGCGCCAACGCTCAATGCTTCTCAAAAATGAATATCAAAACACACACAAAGGCCCGGGAAAGCACTTTTGCAAAGCGCTATACCCACGTTGTAGGCTGTTGACTGACACCACCACCGACGCTCCCGCTACCTCCCAGGCTTGACCTCCCTCGTCGGTGAGCTCTACCGCTAGTCTGGTGCTCCGACGGCTGCAAAGGTGCGCCCGGCTGCGAGGAGCTAGAGCCGCTGCCGAGGCCTCGGCGCATCATCCGCCCTAGGCTATTTGTGTGTCAGTGATTGGGTCTCCCCATGTCCTAAGGGATTTGAGTCATGTAGGAGGACTAGGCTCTGGGCGTGGCGAGAAAGGGCACTGGTATCGAATATCCAGTACCACGGTGCCCGTTTGAGACGGGGTGTACTCACATGCTCACCAGCTCGCTCGCGTCGACAAAGCTCTCGTCATCCATGCCTTCCTGCGCCTCGTACACGGCACGCACGGCGGCTTTTGCTCTTCGTCTGCTTTGATCCGCTTCATGTAAGCAGTCGTAAATGTATGCTACGTATTCGACCTCCACGCTCAGTCGGATGGGATGACTGCCAGGGAGTAGTTCAGCCGCGATCTTGTGGGCGTCCCTGAACGCGGCTGTTGCGATGGCTGCGAGTGTCAGTATGCAAATGTGCCGTTCGACAGCAGAAATACATACGTCTGTAGTCTTGCAATGGTAGCAGAAAAGTCGCAGTGCCATTGCTACGACTGCCGTTCATGTACACCTGATTGCCGCCGGACGGAAGTGGTAGGCCAGGTGGTGTCTTGCCTGTCCCGAGACTTATGGCTGGGGATCGTTGGCGGGCCGTAGGCGATTCTGACGACGACTTCGATTTTGGCGATAAAGGCTGGGGAAAAAGTGAGCCGGAACCAGAGCGGCGGCGGTTGATGCGGTCGTTGACCGCAGGGTCATTGTGGAAAAGTACAAAGATGTGGTATAACGAGGCTTTCAGCTTGAATGCGAGGACGCGAAGCTCATTAGGTGATTTTCCGACTGGGACCGGTCAGCTATTCGCAAAAAGCAATTTCAGGTGGCACGTACGCATGGGCAGGACGTATTGCTCCTGATGCAGATTGTCAGCACGCCAAATCAGAGCAGGACATGGCCTTACCATCATTACCTGAAGGGGAGTCAGCATCTGAAAAACGGTCATCAGAGAAAGAAACTCACCAAGCCCTCCCTTGCCAGCCATAGTATGTGGTGCACAAGTCGTCGATGTGTTGAGTCGCGGACGGGATCTAAACGTTTGGCTCTTCGCGCTGACTTTGACTTGAGTTAGCGGTGCGAAGCTACGGGCATTGAGGGCATACCAGCAGATCCTCACTCAAAACGACCGATAACCCCAATATTCGAAACAAAAAACTTGGGTCGGGTCAGCAACGTGCTCGCGCCCAATAAAGTCGTCGTACCTTGAGAGGTAGCCATGCTCATGAAGGGTGGTCTTTGCGAAATGCTACCATGTATCAGCCGGTTGTCACTCGTCCTTTGCGACCACATTATCCTGGTGTCCGAAAGACTATGCAATGCTGCGCGCATAAAGAACTCGTAGACTTACCCCTAGAAATTTTCTGCGACACATCAGTATGAAGCGCACTCCTCTTTCAAACCGAAGACATACCTGTCGACCTCTGAACTCGCCATAAGCCCTCCGTACAACGGCGGAGGATCCTCAGGTGACTTCCACTGCCGCGCCATATATGTCAGCTCCAATCCAGCCATTCTGTGCGTCATTCGTTGTGATTGTGTCAGCGGCCCACTGCAAATCACGATTCATAGGCAAGCCAAGCGCTTCTTTACTGGATTCGAATGATTGATCCAAACTTGCCCATAAACTGCCCACGGTGGTGCTCCGGCAGCTGAATCGCGATCGTGTCTCCCAGCCTCGTTCTGTGCTATCTGCGTAGACTTTGCGCCGAGCATGTGTATGGTGTAAGGAAACGCTAGTGGTTCCAAATTACCTGTTTCAGGAGCCGCCCGAAGTGTCCCAGCGCTCGTGACCTGGGCTTCCCCGGTACTTGTTCTGATCACAGACGCCTCTTTCTTTAGATGCAAGCGAGATTGTTGTGGTACAGTGGGTATAATGCGCTTTTCGTGGTGTTACACTTTTGGTACACAAGAATGCGACCGGTCGATGGACGCGCAGGACGAGGCTAAACGAATGTGGGTGCGGAAAGCTGTACAGAAAATCGAAAGGAATGAACAGCGGATGTTGCGCTATTATGTACAGCCGTCGCAGAATGAAGCGAAGGTAGTGGAAAAGGAGCGTTCAGTACCCAGTGCTGCGTTGGCAGGTCAGCTTTGGCTCTGCGATTTCGAGAAATGACGTGAAGCTATAGGAACCAGACGACGTACGATTGGATACCGAGAGTCAGAGCCCGAAAATCGGAAGCCGTCAGTGGTCCAACCTCTCGTGCTTTTTGCGCGGCCTCAGCGAATAGGCACCCCAATCAGAGTCGGCCAAAGGAGCGGTCGCGGGCCTTGGGGTAGGAAAGTGAGCCTATGGACTCGCCCACCACATGATGCTGCTCTCCCGTGACCCCCGAGCTGACCGTGGTCTTGACTCGAGTCCCTGCGAATGGCGGCAGTCGGACCTTTGCTCTAGGCCTTAATTCGATGCTAGCCACAGTACTCGGCAGCGGTCCGCTGCAGAGCTCGTGAAGTGGGCTTTGCGGCCAATAATTCCACAGACAAACACAACCGGAGGCGTGCCGTTGTGCAGAGCGAGCCAAAGTAGCTCCAGTGGACTGTCGTGCAGTAGGCTCAAGCGAAGGTGTGAGCTGCAAGAGCTAGAGTAGCCGGTGGACAGCAAAGGAAGGGCGGTGCGAAGTTAGGGCGGATCCGCAGGAAGACAGCAAATGAACGGAGTGCTGACACGTAGCAGCGAGCGGTGGAGGAGGAGTGTTGTAGTCGGTGACTTGATGCGTTGGCACTTGATGCAGGTCAAGACAAGCCGCGAACGCAGACGCGCCGAGCTAAACTCATTTGGTGACTACCGCGCGGCTGAGCCATGTCAATACTCAGGGCATAAACTCACGAGATCGGTCTGGTAGAGTAGAACACGATTTCAACGAGAGGATAGACTGAGATGCCTCTTTGGTCTGTCAATACACTTGATCAGGCAGTGAATGAAGCGTCTGCACGTCCCATTCCAGGGCGCCGTACGGAAGTCATGGTATTGGCTAATCTGAATTTCCAGCTTGGCCAATCACGACCGGAAAAACCCTCTTGGCCCAGTACGTGCCTCTTGGTACACAATACTGCGATGATCAGTAGATGTAGTTTCTGCTCGTCGCAACACAACATTGCCTCAGTGCGTACAGGCCTTGAAGAGCGCCACACGGGACAAGAGCTCTTGTGAGATATTTGGCTTGGCAATAGCACTACCACTACCGCTACCGCTACCGCTACCTATGCAAGGTGCTCAGGTTCCGATATTGCCCACCACCCGGCTCCCTGACCCCGGCACGCTCATCTTCATTGTGTATCCCTCATACTTGCATTCATCGCGCCCTCTGCGTTCATCTGTCCCGTTTCCAGGCCTGTCATTGACATGCCGAAGCCTCTCCTCCGTCAGTTGCCTTTGAACATGACTGAATCACATTCGTATCTTCTTCGAGCTCTCTGCACACGTGCAACCGGGGTCTGCTTCGCAGCACCTATCCCAACGGCGTCCACTCCTTGTATTGGATTGGCACACGCCTCGTCACGTACATCCATGAATCATGGGCGGTGATCGAATCGAGTCCGCCCGAATTGTGCGGCTGGCGTTGCAGCCCCCGGATTCGAGAGCTGTAGCATGTGGTACTATCGGCGCCGGTGTCGTCCATGAGTATCTGGCCTGATGGAGATCCTCTTCATGTGATCGATACATAATTCGAATGGGTAAGAGCTATCACACAGACAGCAGCTGACTCAATGCGCTTCATTTACCTTCTTCGCTTTGGTTCATATCCACTTGCCCGTAATTTTGGGGTTGGTGAGGAACGTGTCCGGGCTGCATGTGCATCATCTTAGGAATTTGCCCATAGCTGCCGCTCATGGCTCGCTGTTGTTGACCGGGGTAGGGCTGCTGCGGACTCGTCCCGTACTGGGAGTAGCCTTGTCGGTACATGTTCATCTGCCCTTGTTGACCATACCCCATAGGGCCACCTTGAGCCGAGTTAGTCCACATCATGGGTTGAGCATGATGGTGTCCCTGTTGCGATCCCTGCTGCATCATCATCGGTGCCCGTGACGGGCTACCGTATCCGTTCTGCTGGGGGTAAGCGTGGCTGGGGCTGGGCGAATACATCGGAACTTGCCCGCTGAACTGCTGCGGCATGCCCATGTATGGTCCATTGGATTGCTGCGTCATCATCACCGGCGCAGCCATCTGACCTTGCCCGTGCGGGGTTCCCGGGTACGGACGCATCTGCATGGGCATCTGGCCGCCGAAATATGGCGGCTGTCCGTATGTCAACTGCGCAGCATTTCCCATTGGTGATGCGTATGCCGATGGCTGCCGTGATTGAACACTGGGGGAAGAGAACATGGGCTGTCCCGGCTGCATCATCGGCATCCTGTGTTGATCGTCGAACTGGTGACCATAACCAGCAGGAACGCCTTGGGGCATCTGGTGCGGCCCTTGCATGTGAGCCATGTTCGGCCCAGCTGGCATGGTGGGGAGCTGTTGATGGTATGGCATATGGGGAGCGGATCCGGTTCTACCGGCGCCGGGCGACACAATCGAGGGTCGCTCGAAGGGCGTCAAGTATGTCTTCTCCTCATTCTCAGCTGCGACCTGCCATCTCGGAGGCGTCAGGAAAGCATTGGGAATGCCACCATTGGAAGCGTAGTCCTTTGGTGCCGGCTGACCGTCTTCTGATTTACCTGCTTGATGTTTCGCCACTGCATCGACCACATCCTGCTTCAGTTTCTTTATCGAATTGAAGTTGGCAGCAATGGAAGGTCGCTCAGATGCCGGCTTTGGTTTGCGCGCACCGAAGAAAGTAGAAGGACTGGCCGCACGTGACACTGATCCGGCTCGCTGCACCGAGGACGGACTTGATGGTGCATTCGAAGGCGTAGGGTTGAAGGACGGAGCAGCGACGTTGGGCTTGAACTCGGACGCCTTCACATTGAGGTTGAATCTGGATGCCGATGTCGCCGACAGAGGAGTCTGCAGGCTAGATCGCGAAGGGCTTGCAGGGCCTTGGTCCGCCATTGGACCAGTTGGTGGCAGACGAGCATCAGGTAAGGGAATAGGCGCCGGCAGCTGCTGAGCCTGCACCGGCTTGCCCGGCTTGGGACCGGTAGGGCCTTTAGCTGGCAAACCACCAAGCAGAGGGGACACCTTATCCAATCGCATACTGGCAGAGGTAGGAAGTCCGCGACCACGGCCGCCTTGAAATGGCGGTATTTGCGCAATGTCCTTCGCGCGAATAGGTGTGTCCTTGGGAGTGGAGGTGGGAGTTGCATGAGTGCTTGTAGACTCGTCCTGAGCCTTCTGAACGATCTCCTCCTGCTTGACTGGATCTTTGGCTAGGATACCAACCAAATCCTGGGGGACAGGGGTTTTGAGTTTGAATGATTTTGAAAAGCGCATGAGCTCATTCAACTTGGCGGTTCTTTCGTGATTGGACTGAATCCGTTTCTTCTCCGCCACTCTCTGCTTCTCTGTTACGGCAAATTGGCGGAAGTGTTGAAGGACTCTGGCCTCGACACCTTCGGTCTGTCCACCAGCGGGCTGAGCATGCTGGAGCTGACCTGGCGGGGTCGGTACCGTTGCAGTCGAGGCGGATTCCGTTGACACGTGGTTGTCACTCTCGGGAGCGGCTGAGTCGGCTTCTTGCGCTGGTGACTTCTGTCGGTGTTCGGGCTGGCCAGCAGGTGTCTTGTTGTCAGACTTGGACAGCTGTGCTGAAACAATTGCACTGTCGAAGGGTGCTCCTGGGACAGTTGGCTGGCCAGTCGGTGCGCGACGAGCTGGAGGTGTGTACTTGTTCAGACCACCAGTTGGGAGGAGAGGGAAACCATTCTCGTCGCGACGCACACCAGAGTATTTGGCTTCTTCATCATCGATCTCGTGCTGTGCAGATTGACCACGCTCTTCTCTGACATGCTGGTTCGTGGATTGTGAGCCCTCAATTTCCTTGGCAAGCTTTGTGGCCTTTGCTTCTCTTGCTCGGTAGGATTCTGAGCTGCGATCGAGGTGGGTAGTGTAATAGCTTTCGTCGTATGTGCTCTGCGCTCCAAAGAGCTGCTTGTTCGCGGCGAACTGATCCCAACTTCCAGTATTTCCAGATTCAAGAGAGAAATCGGTCGCGTCAGAGGCATCCGGGACCCATTTCTGAAGCATTCGTTCACCACGCGATTGGTTCCCAGAGATGTCGGTATCTGTTTGAAATTTGGAGGCACCTGGCTACGTCAGATTGATGGCATGTGTTCGTAGGCATGCGAACTTACCATTGGACATCTTGGTAGGCTCGGGGATACTGAAGTCCGGAATTTGAGCGTCAGCCAGATCTTTGAACTCAAAGGTCATTGCATGATCGGGACTCGCGCCAGCTAAGGCCGCTTCACGATTTGCAACACCATTAGTATTGTGACCGTCCCCTGCTAATTTCTTGGTCATTTTCAGGCTGATCTTCGCGTTGGCTGATGGGAGGGTTGAGCCAGCGAGAAGGCCTTCGAAGCGCTCTCCATTCTTCAATGTGAGCAGCACGATGCATCCCTGCTTGTGTTAGTGGAGTGCAAGAACATCCGGTCAGGTTGACGTACAACAGCTCCTCCCAGAAAGTATGTTGTGCGGTCGTGTGCATGCTTGTCCGACAGCCCTGCATCTTTCTGAGAGTTCATCCTGGCGCCGGACGCCTTTGAACTGGGCGCGACGCCGTTCGACTGTGCAAAAGCGCTAGGTCGTTGAGTAATAGGGTTCGAGCCGCCTGTCCAGGCCTTTTGTGGGGGAGGTCGCCTGTGGTACGAAATGTCAGAGATGAGGGTCAACAACACTCAAAGTCAAAGAACAAGAGGCTGACTAAACGACCTCAGCGCGAGGGATATGCTTGGTGTCAGTGGGAAGGTATTCTAACGCACCTAGCATTGGGGTCGTTGGGACTTTGTTTCCTCGTGGCCTCGTTGGTCTTGACTGTATTGTTCGACCTCATCGTCGATCTTCCCGCAGCATTGTGCCCACTCGGCGGGATAGGCGACTGCGAAGGAGTGGTTCCGCTCGAGGCCACACCAGCAGAGGACATGGTCTGTTGAAAGGGGGGAAAGGCAGGGTCGCACAGGGGTCTCAGGAACGGGGCTGGTGGAACGTTGAAATTGGGAATGACATGCAGCAGCCAACTCGCAAAGGCGGGTCAAAGTTAAAGAAGAACAAACGGCGGTCGAACGGTTGCGCAAACGAAGCCTGACCAGGCGAAGGCAGGTTGCAGGTCAGGTCGTGGCAGGCGGGCAGGAGCGAGGCAGCCCTGCTCGGACAGCAAAGGAAGAAGAAAAGAGGGGCAATTAAGGACGGTAAAATCACAGAACACCGTTCCTTGGTCCCAATCAAAGCAGTAAAGAAACTGCAGGCGATGAAGGGAGGGAGTATAAGGGGTTTCAACGATGAAAGTTGAGCTGCTGGCAAGAGGAAAGATTATGGGCAATGGGTTGTCGAGACAAGCCCCAGCCGTGGTGGAGAGGCGCTTTCCCCGACCCGGGCTAGCCCTTCCGCTCCGGCTGCTTCCTGTGCTCCTAGGGCGTCTGTTTCCCTCCGCTGGGCTGCGGCTCAGTGAGGCGACAAGTCGATCACCTTGACCTTGATGCCTGCGGCTCATCAACTCCGTGGGCGGATTTACGACATTTACCGCGCGGCCTCGCTGCGTGAACTCTGAGCCGGCTGGCACATCTGTGACACCATTGCAGATATTATGGTGCGTATCGTACTTGTTACAGATTACCGCTGTCACAGATTCACGGCGTGGGTTCCGGGATCCAAGCTTGGCCTGGTGGCCCCTCCACCCAAACCAGGATCTACGGACAAAGTCAACGACGGCGTGCACCACAAAAACATCAACAATAAACATCGACTCTAGCGTGGGTCCTACTACACACCCAAAAAGCAAATCATGTCGTTGATTATTACTCCTGCTGATTCTGAACCTGGGGTGAGCCAGGTCCTGCCATTCGCTGCAGCATGGATATGCTTTCCGTCTGCCCCGCTGCTCGTGTGCTCGTTCGACCCAACCTACAGCCTAAGAGAACTCAGAATCGTGCCGGTCATTGACCTGTACTGATTCATGCCACCTTGGACCTTCTTGAACTGAATGCCGTGTAGAGATAGAAGAGGGATCTTGACAATCGCAATCTCGAACCTCAGGACCAGCCTTTCTCCAGTGTCATCCTGGACCCGAGTTGTGGTGGCACCAGCGTCACGACCAGTCTCGTCCCTGCGTTGATGCAGATACTCTTCCGATCCCTCGGAATTGGTGACGAAGCTCTGATCCGGATGGCGACGTCGACTTGAGCCCTGACGGTGAGCCTTGTCGTCTCGAATTTCCTCACGGTCCTTGCCCCTGAAGGCTCCGCCAAAAGAAATGCGTCGCTGATGCCCACTAAACACGCGTCCACTCTTCTCTTCATCGGCCGGCTCTCTCACATCGTCCAAATTGATGCTAGGTGCATGTCGACACGAGAACCCGCCCCGAATCGCTGTATACTCTACGCCCAATTGCTTGAGGACCCTGACAAGATCCTGTCGGATGAATTCGGGGGGCTTACTGCTTGTCGTGGCTGTGGAGAACAAGCCCTTGAGGCCAGCAGGCCTTGCGACCTCCGTAGAGGGTGTGTCCGGCAAAGCTGGCGTATCGAGTCCCTCTGCGTCATCCCGAAGCTCGGCGTCCGTTTCTTCTGGAACGTTTGCATGGCGGTCTTTGCGGCTCTCTTCCCACCTCCGTCGCCGAGCCTGTATGCTTTCTTGACGAGCATGACCCAACGACTTCGTTCTTGCCGCGTTTGGCGCGCGAGGAGCATTAGAGGCTGGTGTAGGCGGCGTTTGGTCCGCAGGCACAGCGGGTACGGTTGGCACCGCAGGTCCCGCTGAGTCTAGGGCCTTGTTGAGTTTGCGCTGACTGCTGGTTGAATGATCCGAGCCACTTGTTGCAGGCGCCTCGGCAGTCGAATGAGGAGAGTCAAGCTCATTTCCTGCGCGGTGCAGCAGCCGACGGGGTCGATAGTCTGCGGAATTGACACTAGTGGACCGTCCAAGAAAGTTTCGTGCCTTGTGAGTTCCCGCACTCAGAAGACCCTCATGCTGTGGCTGGCTACCACCAGGGTGATGGGTCGCCGTCGTTGGCGATGGATCACGTCGGCGAGAACGACGAACCGAGAACGACTTGCGAGGAGCAGTCGCGCTATCTTGGGGAGGTTGGATATTGAGAGTGGGTGGCTGTGGTCGCTCCTCAGGGTTTCGGACTCGTCGTGTGCTGAGTCGACGAAGCAACCCCATCGCTGTGCCCTCCCTTTTTGCAGGTTGATCAGTCGGTGATTGGATGGTTGCGGAAGGCGGTGGTCGAGGTGAAGTCCCTGGAGGCTCGAGGCTTTTGCCATCATCCTCGCCATTTGTCCGAGCCCGCGGTCGTGAACGACCACCTGTGGCCTTCTCGCCTGGCATTTCCGGCGAGTAGGCATTGGTGTGGGCGGCTTCCGGCGAAGTCAATGGTGCTGGCCCCATTGAACTCTCTGGGACAGTTGAGGTAATTCCCAAGGCGCCCGGATTTGGATCTCTCCGTTCCGCCTCGAGCTTTTCTCGAGCTAGATAATAGATCGAAATAAGAGGACTATACCCGTTAATGGGATCAAGCCCACGAATGGCTTCGGTTGAAGGCGTAGTGAGACCTTCTCTGCTGATGGAGTTCCGACGCTTGTAAAAGTCGAACATGCCACGCTTCTTTTCTCCAGAAGGCACATTTGATGGCTCATCGCGGTAGTAGCGTCTCACAGCTGCTTGATAATCGTCCGACGTCAGCACGCTCGTCAGCTGTTCTGTAATGAATGATGCAGGTCCAAAATCAAAGCCCTGCATTTTCTCGACCACCTGCTCGTCGAGGGGTAGCTGCAACGGCTCTCTCTGAGGCAGAAAATTCTCTGGAGGACTGTTGAACCCCTTGGTCATCCAGGGATGGTTCATGATCTCGTGTAAGGTGGCACGTTCCCTGGGGTCGACCACCAGCATGCGGGAAATAATGCTCTTACATTCTAGCACAAGTTAGCTGTTGCCACGCAGCAGGGTCAAGTAAGATGCTTACCAGCAGTGAGCCATTGGGGATAGTCAACGACACCGCGCTTGATCTTTGCGTGAAGTTGGGGCATGCTTTGATCGTCGAATGGAACTTTGCCACAAACGAGAACATACAGAACGATACCGAAACTCCAGACATCAACTTCCGGCCCCGTGTATTGACGGGCTTGAAGTAATTCAGGCGCGGCAAAATAAAGGCTGCCGCAAAAGGTTTTGAGCAAAGACCTTGGCGAGAACAAGTTGCTCAAACCAAAATCAATGATTTTGATGTCGCCAGTCTTGCTGATCAGTATATTTTCAATCTTCAGATCTCTGTGCGCCACATTGTTCCGATGGCAGTAATCTAGAGCGCTCGCGATCTGTCGGCCAAACTTTCTGGCTTGCTTTTCCTTGAGCCGACCGTGGGCAATGATATAATCGAGCATTTGACCGCCGTTAACGTATTCAAAAAGCATGTACCAGTGATAGTTCGTTTTCTGAACGTCAACCATCTTGCAGATGTATGGGTGGTGAAGCAGCGACACCAAGGCAGCTTCCCTTGCGGTACGTATCTCCTTGGATCGGTCAGAGCGTTCCTCCCTGCTATTGCCTTGGTCATCGAGTGTCTGTCGAGGTACAATCTTGATGGCGGCTGTTTCTCCAGTCTCAAGGTTCTTAGCCAGTTTGACTTTCCCCATGCTGCCCTGTCCAATTGTCTTCCCCAGCGACCACGTTCCAGTGGAGGTGCTGATGGAGGTGCGTCGGCGGCCCGTTCCCTGATATTGCGCAGAGGGGCTTGCTCCTGGAGGCCGATTTGAGGACTGGCCTGCGTAAGCAGGGCTGTATGGAGGCGGAGCTGGTGTCGAACTAGAGGTCTGCCCATGGGTTGATGTGCCATTGGCAGTCATAGGATGAGCTGCAAGATCTTGACTGTTCCTCCGCGAACTCGGTCTGGAAGAAGTGCGCCCATGCCTGGAACTGCTCCCCTCCTGATCACCACGTCCATCTCGAGAGCTGCGGCGGGATGACTGCGGTCGGGCCAGGTTCGTTTCTTCGACATCGCGTCGTGCGACATTTGCTAGGGTGGCAGGGTTGGAGGTTGGGGGAACGTCTTGTGAATGTATTCTGGACCCAGAACGGTGATGGTGGCTGCTCGAAGATGTTGTACTTCTATGGTTCGTGGAGCGGGCCCGGCCGAGCTGTGCAGGAGAGCCCGGTCCGTAGGACGTGGGAGGTTGACGGGAAGAGGAGTGGCTGCGGACGACCGCTGGCGAGGCATTTGATGCGGCGGTAGCCATTGCGGCCACAAAGTCTCAAAGACCAGTGCGGAAGAAGCCTGATTGCGATATTTTGATATGACTTATTCTGATTGATGGAGTACGAATACTCTTTTTCGTGGTGCCGCTTGCACTCTTGGGCAGGTGTCTGCCGATGCGGGTCGAACGTGCCGCAAGGATAGGATCGCGTACAGGGCGAGGGAGCGAGGACAGATAGCGACGGTAGGGACGACAGCGGTATGCAGCTACCACCGTGGCCGAAGGTGGATGGCTGGCAGGAAGACTTGTGCGTCTGTCATCGAGGATACCGGTGACTTGGTCTCACGCTGGATCTAAAGGACGATGGGCTCAAGGTTCAAGGAGCAGGATGACGACAGCTGGTGCGACCAAATCTCCGGGAAATAAGGGTGACACGGAGTATAGTCCACGACAGCAGGGAATTGATGTGCAAGATGGCTGGGAATTGCAGGATGAAATAACGGATAGCAGGCCTTCACTTCAGGCTTCGCGGGGACAACAATGCTGTGCAGTAGTGCAGTAGTGCAGTAGTGCAGTGCACACGAGGCGAGGGTGAGCGAGGGAGAAAAGGCTGGCCCGCCGTGTAAGGCGCCAAAGTTTACCGAGAGGGCTGGTACGCGCCCCCAAAACAGCTGTCCCCATTACCTGCACCGGCCAATAGTTAGAGGCACATCTGGTCGCAGTTCCCCGCCTGCGTCGCGGCCCGTTACTATGCGTCAACTGCCCAGGATTCAGCATAAATTATCTTTCTAGTTCCTTGCCGCTCACCGTCGACTGACGGTCTCTGCTAACTTAAATCAGACGCCATGATCGCTCACTAGATGGCCTTCAAGCGATCTCGACAGGCCTTTGAGGCCGACCTGCAGAGGCAGGAATCTCCTTACGTCTTGTACGGAACACCGCTTCCGCCTTCAGATGAAATGGTCCGAGATGATGGCTCCTTTGTTCCTGTTTGGAAACAAGAAGTCACCGATGACCGGGGAAGGAAACGCCTTCATGGTGCCTTCACCGGTGGCTACAGTGCCGGGTGAGCTTCCGAGCCCATTCGCGACGAGCATCAAGACTAAAACGGTGAGTGCAGATACTTCAATACCGTCGGATCGAAAGAAGGATGGACACCCTCAAACTTCGTTTCCTCCAGAAACAAAGGCAACAATAGCCTACCTGCCCGTCAACAACGTGCCGAGGATTTCATGGACGAGGAGGATCTACGCGAGGCCGAGGAGGCTCGCTCACTCCAGACATCTGACCAATTCGCGGGTCTTGGTACTACTGGAAACGCACAGCGCGGTGACGCTGTAACGGAGATCTTCAGACCGGCCGGTGAGACAGTCGGTGAGAAGCTTCTCAAACGCATGGGCTGGAAGGAGGGTCAAGGCATTGGGCCTCGCATCCGGCGTGAGGCGAATCTAGGTGAAGGCCAGTTCTCGACAGGTCAAACTCATACCTTCGCTCCACCAGATGTACCTGTACTCGCCTTTACGCAGAAGAATGATCTGAAGGGGCTTGGTTGTGGAGACGCCGATAGCTCGGTCTCGAGGAAATTCAATCTGGCCTCAAATTACAACAAAGCCGTTAAGAAAGCGGACGAGGATGACGGAGAAGTTCCTCCCCAATTGTCCATGTCGCAGTTCAAGTCGCTGGCGCCAACCAAGCCGCGTAAGGGAGGTTTTGGTGTGGGTGTACTCAACGATACCGGATCAGACGACGAAGATCCGTATTCAATGGGCCCGAAAATTTCCTACAACAGGACCATTGGTGGAGATAAACCTGTGAAGAAGAGAAAGCCGCCCGCCGCAAACCCAACTTTGCGTAGCAAGCCACTACTTGCGCCCAAGAAGTTGTCTGGTCAGCAAAGCATTTTGAGGAGATGCCACGACGGTCGGCTCCCCCTTGATGGCTTCATGCTGGGTGATAGTCTGGATGCTATGGCTTCTTTATCCTTGAAGTCTGATAAGTACAAACCTCCCGATGTCCCCGCTGGCTGGGTGTCGAACATAGCACCGCCAGCTGATGATAACGGCACAGACGACTACGTTTCTACAGCCGATGCAGCCAAAGCGTCTAACCAGACTTCCAAAAGTCGGGCAACAGCACTGGGGGAAACGCAGCTGCCCGGGAAATCCGTATTTGATTACTTAAGCGCTGCGGCTCGAGACCGCCTGGCAGCGGCCAGCGGCAAGACGAATCTTCCTCCAGGTCTAGGCGAGGTACCTGAAGGCTATCAGCTGCCGAGAAGTAGCCATGCAAGCCTCCAAGATCTCGTCCCTGTGCTTGACCAGGATGTGGCGCTTCAGGCTCTGAACAGAAGTTCAGACTCCGGTGGCGGCTGGATGCCATACGCCGAGGATCCTTTGAAGCGGGAGCGATACAGGACATTTCTGGAGATCAGAGCCGGTCTAAGACCAACAGGTACAGGCGATGAGATCCCTCCCCGAGCCGAAGGGATGAGTATGGACGATTGGGTCCACGAGTTGAACGAGTTTGCCCGCGCCGCCGAGGTTTTCAAACCTGTCAGTGGACTAATGGCGAGCCGTTTCACCTCTTCCAGCTCCAACTCAAAACAAGCAGATGGAGGCAACCCAGCTGATCCCGATTCCCTTCTCACCTTCAAACGCCAAAAGCCCGAGGACCCAGCAGAAGCTGCAGCCAAGATGGGCATGTTCGGACACATGACCCGATCAATGTCCAACTTCTACCCTCCTCGACTCTTATGCAAGAGATTTGGCGTCCCCATGCCCGATATCAGCAACAGACCACCAGCCAACGAGCAACCTTCCACATCTCTGGGTACGGAGGACGCAGTCCAGACGAATGCAAGTCCATTTTCATCCGCTCGTTACCAGGACGACGAGAAGGCAGAGCGTGCACCTCATGCACCTGAATCTGCAGCCAGGCGAGACCAGGACATCAGCGGTGCGACTGCCGCCGACCAGGTCACGCGTGCTAGCGTGGTAGATCCGGAGAAGAACGACGCGTTGGAGCAGGAGAAGCCGAGCATGGCGCTTTTCAAGGCTGTCTTTGGTAGTGACGACGAGGATGAGGACGAGTAGCATGTACTGCAAGACTAATAGATAACCACAGTTTACGATTCACCACGGGTGGGCGCTTACCGGCCTTCTTTCCTTTTGGTATTGAGTCCGCTTAAGGGTGGGATCTGCTGCTGATGCTGCTGCTGCTGCTGCTGCTGTTGAGGTACTAATCATCGAAGACAAACAAGTTTGATGGCATGAGCAGTGCCCCCGTGCCAGGATGTTGCAGTCAATAACTTCAAAGACGAATGTAGTCACCGAATTCCGATCGAGACTTCTCAAGGGCCCAAGCTGGTATACAAGCGGTGACGTGGAACTCTGCATATAATTGTCGTGCAAGGATCGACTTGTCAGTGCAGCAGGAATCTAACGCTCGAGAAACCCTGTCTGTGGGAATATGGACCATAATCTGTACAATTATATTCTTCTTCTAGTTACTATACTATACAGCAGCCGCCCCTATATGCTCCAAAGGCTAAAGCTACCACAACACGCACGCACTCACAATTCCTTCTTCGCCACCACCCCTTTCGCGCGCGCCTTGGCCTTCTTCTCCTGCGCCGAGATGTAGGCCTCGGTGCCAATGCCACCAAAAACTAGACCGACGCCCGCCCACTGGCCGTGCGTGAGGCTCTTGCCGTACCACACGACACTGAGCACCATGGTGAGCATCTTGCGCGTGACGGTGACGGTGACGAGCAGCAGGCTGCTGAAGCGCTCGAGGGTGGCGAAGATGAAGAGCTGGCCGATGGCGCCGCAGAGCGCGAAGCCCAGGACGTCGTAGAGGACGGAGGGGTGGCGCTGCAGGAAGGAGAGCGCGCTGGAGAACTCGTGGATGTTGCTGGTTTGGGCGAAGGTGGGGAGGAGTTGTGGAGGGATGTGGGGCGTGACGAGGAGGTAGAGGGACATCAGGAGGGTGGCGTAGAAGTTGGTGATGGCCATCATCTGGGAGGAGGTGACTCGGCCGTAGCGGGCGGGCGAGGAGAAGATGTGGTCTTGGGTCGTGTTGGTGAGGCCGTCGAAGAGGAGGTTGATGGCTAAGAGGGTGAGACCGTAGTATGAGGACTTGGCTGGGGCTTTGGAGGATTTGCCTGGCTTCGGTGGGTGGTAGAGCGTGAAGATGGCCACGCCGGCGGTCACAGCAGCCACTATGAGGTATTTGGACAGCGGGTATCGCTTGCGGTAAAACGTCACGTGGAGGAACATGACGGGGAGTAGTTTGCAAGACTTGGCGAGGACAAAGGTGAGGTAGTCGACATGGGCAAGTGAAGCGTAGCCAAAGGGAGACGCCAGCGTCTGCGTTATGGCGATTAGGAGTAAGGGTAAGAAGGCCGCTCGTGATGGCAGAACGTTGTTGGAGGTCGCGGTCAGGATGAGGTAACAACTTCCAGAGACAAATGCAAAGAGTGATTGTACGGTATTCAGGAATATTGGGAAGCGAAAGTACTCTTGTGCGGGTGGTAACTGTAGCGCTGAAGGCTGTGGCTCAAATGCCGTGGTTGTGATACGCTCTTGAAGGAGGCCCCAGGTGAGGAAGGAGGCGTAGATGCCGCCGACGCAGACAAGCAACTGTACCACCCCAGCACCTGGTTGTGGTTGCTGAGACGTTTTCTCGATCCGGTTTTTGGGCCGCGAAGGACTTCCGGCGTGGCCATTCGTGTATATAGCCGGCTTCTCTGCTTGTTCGGGGAGGGCCTGCATGACTTCGCCGGAGTCAATGCGCTGCATTGGGGCAACCTGCTTCCGACGAGCCATGCTGTAAACCAAGAATCTGAAGGAGGGACTAGGGTCAGAAAGGAACAATGGTGCAAGCAAACAATACCCGCCTACGATGGTCCAGAGTGTAAGATGCACATATGGCTTGCAGTCGTGCCCGAGGCAGTGAATGTCAGATGTGTTTTGACGAGGCTGCCATTCAGCCTTGCGTGTCGCCGGTCTTCATCATCGTCTCTCTACCCTGGTCAAGTCGTCGATTCATTCGGCGCCTTGCCTTCTGAACACGAACGCGAGCCGCTGCGGCGTCGGGCAGGTCAAAGATGCTTCGTTGTTCAGATTGCTTGGTGCACACGGTGGACGCCTCTCAAACCTGATGGTAAGTGTGGCTGACTAACCTTGATCGGCCTCCCGTTCAACGACTCGTGATTGATCCTTTATACGAAGCATATGACAGGTGACGCAGCTTCCAACTTTCAAGCTTCCTTCTGGCGACGCAAGGCTTCCCGCCGTTCGCACTTGGTTTGCTTGTAGACCCTTCGAAGCTATCGTGCCGTGTTAAGCCCATGATGACTGTGCTGACCCGAACGAGCTATAAGTGTCCTCGTGCCGTGTGCTCACCCTTGCAACGGCCGCTGTTTGCTCTGCCCTCGCTCCCAGATATGCGTCTAACCCTATCCAAGCTGCCACTCTTTGTAGTGGCTACGTCTTTATTCACGGTAGTTATAGCTGCACCCGGTTCCTCCGGTTCCTTGAACTGGAGTAAGTGTCCGAGCGATGTTCCCCTCGCCTCACCTGCACTGCAGTGTGCTCAGCTGCAGGCCCCATTGAACTGGAGTGACCCAGATGGCGAGAAAATCATGCTCGGCTTGACTCGTGTGCAAGCCAATAACACCGACAACCGCATCGGCAGCTTGCTGATCAATCCAGGTGGCCCTGGACAAGCCGCCTCCACGCTCATCGCTGGTCAAGCTCTAGGCTTTCCTTTATTCAGCGAGGCGCTTTCAAGTCAATTCGACATAGTTGGTCTGGATCCTCGTGGTGTCGGGCTCAGTACGCCTGTGATGTGTGACCCAGAAATCTGGAACGAAAGAATTACAAGCTTTCCAACGTCCGAGGAAGAATTCAACAACATGGTAGATCAGAACAAAGCTGTGTGGCGAAGCTGCGCCAACATGACTGGGTCCCTACTTTACAACGTTGACACCCTTTCAGTGGCTCGCGACTTCGAAGCTCTGCGGCAAGCATTGGACGAAGAACAAATCACCTTCCTCGGAATATCATACGGCTCGCAAATCGGACAATCCTATGCCCAGCTGTATCCTGGGAAATACAGGGCAATGGCACTGGATGGCATTGTGGATCACAACCAGTCAGACACCGATGTCTTTGCCACACAAGCAGCTGCATACGAGTATGGCTTTGCGCGGTTCGCAAAATGGTCCGACAATACCACTGGAAGCGCTCTACATGGGGAAGACGTGGATGAGGTCTTTACCCAACTGGTCAACAATGCCACATCGGAGCCAATTCCTGCCCCAGGTTGCGGCTCCAACGGCATGTGCCGTCCAAACATCACTGGCGAGGAAATTCTTTTTCTGGTACAAGAACTCCTGATGTTTAAAGATCCGTTCCCACCACAATCATCCGGGTGGGTAGGCCTCGCCGAGGCACTCGCTGCTGCAGCCGGCGGCAACGCCACAGCTTTGTCTACAGCTTATGCCGTTCAATACCTTGCCAGTAGCAACCAGTCTACTGTCTTCGCCGGTCTAGCCACTCTCTGTCTGGATCTGGGCGATAGCATTGCCAATTACTCTGATCTGCAGTACCGTCTAGAGCTTGGATCGTATGTGGCACCTGTGACACGCGGTGCCTCTGAGAGATGGCAGGCTCAGACACGGTGCATCGGTTTTGGACACGAGCCTACGAATCCTCAAACCGACATGACAGTGGTGAACAACGGCTCTCTGCCAGTATTGCTGGCGCAGTCAAAATACGACCCTTCTACTTCATACATTTGGGCCGAGGATGTCCGCAACCAGATTGATAGCAGCGTTCTCGCCCTTCGAGATGGCGATGGGCATACATCTTACTTTTTGCATGGGGAGCTCGCGGACATTATCGACAGCTACCTGACTAATGAGACCCTACCAAAGCCGAACACGATCGTGGATACTTGAGAGTGGTACATGATCTACTCGATACTGCCGGATCGGCACAGGCACAATTGTAATACGCTTGTTACTCGGTGTTAATATATGACATAATTCCCTGCTTCGGCCTTATATCTATGGCCTCCTAGTATCAAGTATATGCGGGCAGATGATCGCAACTCTGAACCCCTACACTTTTGCGGGGAAAGGCCCTTAGGATGCTACCTTGGTCATCATGCTTGACACAAACTTGGAGGCTTCCCGGCATCTTTCCGGGGCCTTCGTCGAAGAGGCATCACGACGATCTGCGGCCGAAGATCCGTAGTGGCTACCTGGACCGGCTATCCTGCATAGATCAGTTAGCTCACTGGCTCGCTAGGGCCCTACACAGGACCCAAGCATTGCTAGACTACGCTCTAAGTAGCTTCGAGTAACTACCAGCCTGCTACAACCCGGCTAAACAAACGACGTCGCAATGTCGATGATGCGCGCCCGAGCAAGCCGTAGCTACTCCGCAACTTGAGTAAATATGAACGGTCCGATGTTGCTTGCAGGACTCTCGATCACACAGATCTTCTCGCCATGCTGCAGCGTACATTACTCTGGCTGCTATCTGCCGCTGTCGCGCGTGCGGTGGACACCCTCGTGGAACTTGAGTATGCGAGATACGATGGTGTTCAGAACGACACGGGCGTGACACATTGGCTTGGGATGAGGTTTGCTGCTCCACCTGTGGGCGACCTTCGCTTTGCGCCGCCGCAGGACCCAGAAGACACTGGCGACAAGGTCATGTCCGCAGATGAGGTAGGCAAAAGGGGCGATCTTGGTCTACGACTTGGGTCTAACAGAGGCAGCACGGTCCGATCTGCCGTTCAACACCCGGGGAGCCTGACTCCAACACCACTGACGAGGATTGCCTGTTCATTGATGTCTACGCCCCGTCGGATGCTACTACGGACAATCTCTTGCCGGTATATGTGAGTAGCTTCACCATTGGAAACGTTGCGTCGGCCACCAGGAGCCTATGAGTTTGCCTCGCAGTCTCAGGAGCAAGTCCTCTTCTGTATGAAACATGACCCTTGGACAGCCACATGACTGGAATGTCCTCGCCCTGATGTTGATCCCAACCTTGTGTATTGATACTGATCCACATTGTCCACCATCTATAGTTCTACATCTCCGGTGGCGGTTTCAACAGCATCTCGGACGCAAACCTAAACGGCACCTCGCTCATCCAAGCCTCAAACCACTCCATCGTCACGGTGACATTCAACTACCGCGTTGGCCTTTTCGGCTTCCTCGCCTCCGCCGAGGTCCGCGACGACCCTACAGCCTCAGTCAACAATGGCTTGCACGACCAGCGGAAAGCTCTGGAGTGGGTGCAGAAGTACATCCACCACTTCGGCGGGGATCCAAAGCACGTCACCATTGGCGGCGCGAGTGCTGGGGCCGCGAGCGTTTTCTACCATCTGACGGCGTATAATGGGCGTGACGATGGCTTGTTCCATGCCGCTGCTGCAGAGTCGCAGTCTTTTGCGACGGTGTTGACTATTGAAGAATCCCAATATCAGGTAAGTCTAGCAAGATAGAACTAAGCTCTGCCAGGTCCTTCTCGAGTTCAAAGTGCAAGGGTGCGGCCGTTCCCAAGGTCCAGAGGCGTCCATGGACTCCAGGCTCTTCACCCTCACATAGCCTTTTTCCGTTACTGACAACCTCTCTCCCACAGTACGACTACATCATCAACGCCACGAACTGCAGCACCGCCGGCGACACTCTCTCATGCCTCCGCTCCGTCCCCGCCCCCGACATCCAACGCGTTAACAAGAACATCCCCTTCCCCGGCTCCCCCGGCCCTCCCCAATACATGTACAACGTCGTGATCGACTCCACCCTGGTCCCCGACCTGACCTACCGCCTCTTCGCCACCGACCAATTCCTGCGCGTCCCCGTCATCTTCGGCGACGACACCAACGGCGGCACCGTCTTCGTGCCCCGCAACACCAGCACGCGCGCCGACCAAGACGCCTACCTACTCAACCAATTCCCCTACCTGACGCGCGACATGCTCGACGCCCTCGACGCCCTCTACGCCAACCCCAACGCCACCTGTCCCAACACGGGCTGCCTCTGGCGCAAGACCAGCGACATCTATGGTGACTTGCGCTACATGTGCCCCGGCCTGTATATCAGCGAGGCCTACGCGGCCGCCGGCCTCCCCAGCTGGAATTATCGGTATGACGTCGAGGACCCGGCGCAGATCGAGGAGGGACTGGGCGTGCCGCATACGGTGGAGCGCAGCGTCATTTGGGGGTATGGGTATCCCGAGAGCTATGGGCCCGGAGGGGTGAATGCGTGGGCGGTGCCGCTGATTCAGGGGTATTGGACGAGTTTCATCAGGGCCTATGATCCAAATAGGTATCGGGTCGAGGGGGCGCCGGCGTGGGAGGAGTGGAGGGCTGGGGGGTGGGATAGGTTATTGTTTGGGACGGAAGGGGGGACGGGCATGGAGAGTGTGGATGAGGTGCACAGGGGGCAGTGTGGGTTTGCGTTTGGGGTGGGGGTGGACATTAGGCAGAGGTAAGGGCAGAGGGCGGAGGGCGGAGGGCGGAGGGCAGGGGAAGGGGAGTGGGATGGGGTGGATGGTAGGTAGGCTGACCGAATGGTAGATTACTGGGACGACAAGAGAGGGGGATGTGAATCGACTCGCCTCGCCTACGTTTCTCCCAACGATAGCATTGAGGCTCGCATGACTTGCTGAAGAGATCTTGTAGACCGACAAGGATCAGCGTGACTCGAGATTACCGGGCTCGTGTGCTTGTATGCACGACATTTCTTACATCACGCAGGACTTCGGTACGAGATTGCACGCAATACAAATCGCCTTGCAGTAAGCACTTTGATCTGGTAGCGGCAGCATCTGTGGCAAACCAGGCAACGATGTGCAGTCTGGGCTTCGGTACGGAGTACGAGAGCGCAAAAGAAACCCGTCTTTGGTAGTGCTTGGGTACGATCGACATCCAATGATGAGTATTGACTTGACTCTGCTGCAATTCAGGTCCATTTATGGAGCAACGTACTGCCAGGCTACAGTGCGTCGGCGTAGATATATCATCCGTCCTCTGTATATCAACACGATCTCCGTTTCTTGGCCACTCCTCAAATCAGACTTCCTATGTATGAGACCTATCTCCTCTTCAACAACGACATTATTCCGCCAACAAATCGTCTTGTACTCGTGACCGACATGCTATGCAACCCGAGCAGGAGCTCTCAAAAAAATGTACGAACATATCCCAACGGAACGGCGGATAGATAGGTGGATGGGAGCGTGGTGAAAGGTAGGCGTTTGGGGTATCTCAAAAAGGTTTGCTTGTCCAAAACATAGATCCAAAGTTTCAGGCGATGGCATCTATAGCAGTGCAGCGGCGGCCGCAACAGCGATGACCACGCTGCCGATCTGGACGCTCGAAGCACCACTGTCGCTGCTGTCGGTGCCCTTGGCGGAACCGCTGGTCCCGCTGCTGCTGGATGCCTTCTCATCGATGAACTCGGCGCCGCCGTCGCCGCTGCAGATCTCGCCCTCAGGGCAACAGCCGTACTCATCGTTCTCGCCCATCTGGCACTCCTCGTCGGCCTGGCAGCCACCGAGCTTGTCGGGGCAGCAGGTGTAGGACTCAGGGATGCAGGTGTCGCCGCAAGCTACGTCGCCGGATTCGCACGTCACGTCAGCGCGGGCGAAGAGCTTGTTGAAGGGAATGCTGCCGAGTTCGACATTGGCGGAGGCGATAGTGAGGAGGGACAGAGTGGAGAGAGCGATTGCGAAGCGCATTTTGGCGGTTTGGTTGGTGGTGATGTTGGAGGTTGGCTTGGTGGATTGAAGGACTGATGTTGCGAGGCTAGAGACGTCGAACTGGCGTTCGGTCTGCTCTGTTTTTGATGGCCGGGGACTGTTTTTCGTTTGGACGATCCGACAGAAATGCTAAGACGCGCTTGAGGGTATCGATTGGCCGAAAAGAGTCGGAATGTGGGATCTGGTTGAGTTTGGTATGTCTTGGGTCAAAGTGAATGGACGTCCGGTTTGGTTGAAAGATCGAGAGGACAGGGCTCGATAAAAGAGGGTGGTGGTTGGAAAAGGACTGTCAAAAGAGCGACTGTTACACACGGGGTAGGGAGAAGAAAAGGAAGAGAGGCAGGCTATACGAGACGAGGGCGGTCGCAGATATTCAAGGACGCTAGACTGTTAGCACTCGGGAGGCAACTTGCAAGTCAGGTGGTTTTTGGGGGCGGAGGAAGCGACAAGCACGCCATGCTTGCGCTGTCGAGCCTGTTTTTGCTCAGTACAGGCCTTGAACCAGTCATGTTGGTGGTTTGATAAGAAGGATGAGGACGGCTTAGGACCAGAAGGCTGGACGCGGTGGCAGCGAAATTAGCGGGCGGGCGTTTGGGGAGGAAGCCCTCGGAGCCAATAAGCGGCCCCTATTCGCTTGCCTTCAATTTCCCCTTTTCCAACGGCGGGGCTTGGCAAGACAAGAAAAGAGGCGCTCAACCACACCACGGTCTCGCCCTGCGAGATTACGAACAGGCCTCGCCGGCACCTCGTCCCGACAATCTGCCCTCCGCTCCTCAAAATGGAAACGTGCGGGTTGCATCCAATTAACGAAGGCTCGGGTAGGCCACTGTTCGCCGGGTTGGCGAAACGAACAAACGACGAGACCCGTGTCATGTGGGCTCTGGGGGGTAACACCTCATCTATCATTCTTTATTACTGCCTCGAATCTCCACTGCCAACACCAAACTGCCCCTGAAAAGCTCTCTAACACACCACCATAGTCTTACAAGTTGCATGTCTCATCAGGTTCAATTGTCCTCATAGCCGGAATCGCTGGCGGCGTCGAGAGCACGATTGACGAGAGCATCCGCTTCAGTGTTCCACTGACGATCCACTCTCCAGAAGCGAATTGCCATGCGCTGCTCCATACTCGTGATGAGTTCATGAATGCTCTGGATCAGGTCCTGATGTTTGACCGGCTTGCCATCCGACTTGCGAAAGCCGTTGATCTCCCACTCCCAGATGTACTGACAGAAGCTCTTGGTCACATAATCACTATCTGTCTTGATGATGACCTCGCGCCAACCGTCAAACTCGCCCTGTGCCCGACGAGTAAGCACAATCTGGAGGGCTTGGCGAACTGCCTCAAGCTCGGCACGGGAACTGGTCTGAGGATCCGAGGCTTTCAGTACGCTGCAGCTGTTCCACGTACATCCAGGACCGAAAGAGACACCGTATGCTGCACGAGAATTGGGCTTGGATGAGTCGTTTCCACGTGAGCCGCCATCAACTGAGACGATGATGGACTTCATGCGGGGTCGCCAGTGAGAGCCACGATAGGGGAAGTTCATCAACCGACCATATTGCCACTTGGACGAGTATTTGATGAGCTTGTCTGGAGTAAAGGTAGGTCGACCGAAACGGGCCGTCATCTCGGGATTGAAGCTGCGGCGTGGATGAGCCTGGTCTGGCGGTCAGCAGGAACTGTGTCTCCGCGAAGTTGTTCACTTACGTGTACCGGCACTGGCATTGGCATAGGCATGTTCATCGGTATGGCTATGGGTACTTCGATGAGGGCACCAGCTTGTTGGTGAGGAAGAGCCATGGTTTCTGCTGAGCTATCACTCGGAAGCTCAGGTAAATCGGCCGAGCTATTCCCCTAATATGAAGAGAGCTGGACAAAAAAGTCATTAGGAACATGGGCAGCTACGACAAACAACATATAGCTCTTGGGACATGCAGCAAACAATCTGTCTGTTACAGGTCATCTCTGATGCGGAGCTCAGACCCATAGCTGCTGCCTCGGAACGTGGCTATCCGCTGGCACGGAGCAACAACTCTGAGGCTGAGGGATGACTCGTCATGCCCAGCCAGGGGACCGATCACACCGGAAACCCTTATCCTTAGCTGTCCTGAGACGCACGCGATCAGCCTAGGAATTGTGGAGGGTGTTTTCGTGTATGAAAGATATTCGTAGAACAAGGCGAGAAGGGTAGTGGTGCGAAGTAGCTGGAGACACGTACCGCCGCACCAATCACCTAGCTGCATCATTTCTGTATTGGTACTAGCTGCACAGCCTCGCCACTCAGCCTTGTCCGCGTTCTCCTGCTCGTTTCCAAGATTTCAAAAAAGTGCATGATGCCTGCGGTCGTTGCTTCAAACGCTGTCCCAGGTTGCTGACATGATCCTCAGGCAATTCTGCCTCCGGCATGGTGTGTACTCACCGTCCGCACTCGGGGAACTCGTGCTAACAAGTGTTCTCAGGCCGAACATGTGTAGGCAGATCATCAAGGTATCAATCGGCCACCTACGCTACCTCCATCTCAATAGACGACAGAAAGCTGCGCCCATCTACTGGTGACAAGACTCCTACTAGCCACATTGTGGGTCACCCCGATGAATCATCTAGTCTGCTCGACGCATCCCCATTACCACCTACACCGCGCACGCGATCAATAAACGAGACCCTTGACAGTTTCGAGGCCTCAATACAAGCAATACAGCATGATATCAATTCTCGGGTAGCTGCTCGCACAGGGGCCACGATCGCGAATCTTACTGCCCTCCGCTCTTCTGAATCTGCAGAGCCCCGTCTCTCGAACGAGGAATCGCCCGACGACAACTACAGAGACTTTGACTCCCGGCGACGCAAGATCAAGAAGCAAGGCTTCACCGGGTCGACTCTCTCGAGTATCTACTCACCACATCACATGTGGAAGGAGCCTCCCAACCCCGAAAAAGTCACTCTCCCAATGCTCCTCGCCGAACAAACACATCTCGGCCACCACACCTCACTCTGGAACCCAGCCAACAGCGCCTACATCTACGGCATCCGCGAAGGCATCCACATCATTTCCCTCGACATCACCTACGCCTACCTCATGCGCGCCGTCAAGGTCATCCGCGAGGTCGCGCGCCGCGGGGGCCTGATCCTCTACATCGGCACACGCAAGGGCCACGAGAACATCATCGTGCGCGCCGCCAAGCGCGCCAGCGGCTACCACATCTTCGACCGCTGGGTGCCCGGCACGCTCACCAACGGGCAACAGCTGCTGGCCAAGTGCGGCGTCAAGATCGTCGACATGCGCGACAACGAGCTCAAGAGCTACTCGGAGATGCTGGAGCAGGGGAAACACAGCGTCATCAAGCCCGACCTGGTCGTGTGCATGAACCCGCAGGAGAACGAAGTCTGCTTGCACGAGTGTGGCCTGAACGACGTGCCCACCATTGGCATCATCGACACGGACGTGAACCCCTCGTGGGTCACCTATCCCATCCCCGCCAACGACGACAGCTTGCGGAGCGTGGGCCTCATCGCTGGCGTCTTGAGTCGGGCCGCAGAGCAGGGCCAGGAGTTGCGCCTGGCGGCTGCCGAGGAGGGCAGTACCACGTACGACACGTCCGCGGTCCAGCAGTGGATAGAGCGGACGGAAGAGCTCGTGGACCTGGATGTGGAGGAGACGAGCGCCGAGGATGGCGACGAGGCTGCCGCGAAGGGCTCCAAGAAGAACGCACAGGCAGCATGATTCGAGAGTGAGAGAAAGAGACAAAGAGAAAATTTTTGTAGATAATCTACTGGTTGTACAACAAGTAAAGGAAAAGAAAACGCTTTAAAAAGCCCCAAGAGGATGCATTACTTTTTGAGAAGAGGGAGAAGAGAAGTTTGTTGCGCGGTTTTGTTTCGGATTGATTCGCAGAAGCTGGCCTGGCCTGGCCTGGCGGCCCGGTCTCCAAGGCCAAACAAATGGGCATATGATTGATTGTCCCCCGGAAAACCCCCCCAGGCACCCACCCCTCAGAGAAACATTGTCGCTTGCTTATGGTATCTCAAATCGAAGTGTACATCGCCCCTCAAATTCCTCGAGTTGAAAGGGGGCAAAGGGCGTGTCGACGACGCGCATGTCCCCCCCGGCGTCCGTGATACCTATGGAAGCGTGTAAAGATCAAAGTCGACCCAAAGAGGACATGCGCGAAAGCTTGATCCAGCCCCAGTCGTCCAGATTCCCATGTTGTGAACGCCAGGGCCCTCGCGGAGAGCTTCGGTCTGGTGTCGGAAGTCTCCCCGGTCGGAGTCGCAGGGATGGCAGCGGCGTGACCAGATCAGCGACTCCCATATACGCCATGCCATGCATTCGGGATGCGTTTGTGTGATTGCTCCGCGTTTGCACAAAAGCGAATTCGCGTCTCCGTGAGGCACATACTACTCAGGCCTCAAACCTCGCTCATAGCAGAGAGTCAAGGCGAGTGAAGACGCTCAAACAAGCAGCGACGACCTGTAGTATGTTAGCCAGCGTGAACGATTACTTCGCGACGGGAAGGGCTGACCTCGAGCTGCAACTCCTTGTCCTTGTTCCTATCGACCTCGTCCTGAATGGCTTGCCCAATGTTGGCACCGATACCCTGCTGGCCACCAGCCCTCTTGCCGAATGGCCACTGGCTGTATTCAGCCAGGAGTTCGTCGACTTGGGCGAAGGCTCTCTCTCGAGCTTCGTGACTCATAGTGATCAGAGCGTTCTCGAGGACATTGGCAGCGTACGCAGCACAGACCATGCTAATGGTCCTCAGATACCGAAACTCCATATCGGCAGGTAGAAATTGTGAGGCAGGCAGTACGACCGTGCGGTTCGAGCAGACATTTCGGACCCGTTTTCGTATCTCATCTTTGGCGCCCGAGTCTACCACAGGGTGGGTGGCCATATCAAATAGGAGGAAATTCTTCTTTTCTGTGCGGAGGATGCCCTTGTCGACCAGGCCTTTTGCCAACCGTTCGCGGACTTGTTTGAGTTGATAGCCAATTTTCATCAAGTTCCAGGTCTCGCCTAAAAGTATGTCAGAATCGTGGCCTTTGAATTGTGTCTGTTGTGCTTACCGCTCATTAGATCGATCCAAGAGCTTACGCTCATCTTCTCACTGGACTTCATCATCTTCAAAGCCTCGTCGAGCAGGACTTCACCGGTGAGTGTGTCGTCTATAACCTCGATAATGCGGTCGGAGAGAGGGAACCGTCGCCGGGCCGAGTCGTTTTGCATGCTTATTCTGCCGCGGAAAGCCAGCTCGATGACAATGCAACCGCGAAGGGCGTATGAGATGTTGTCATTCCAGAACGAAAGGTATCCCTGCTCGTTGATTAGCCCCGGGCTGGCTGAGATTTCTCTGAGTATACCTGCTTATCCTTGAGTCCCAGCAGTAGAACGTCTTCCATCAGAGTAAGCTTCGGACCCTTAGACCGCTCCTCGTTCTCGCTAATATCTCGAGGATCGTACGCGATCTTGTGTCCATTCTCTCCACTCTCGTAGGCTGTCTCGGGAGTCCTATCTAGGTACGAGTTTCCCCGCCCTGGGCCGGGCGAAGTGACACGGCTGGACGACTCGTCATCTCCATTAACGGGAGCAGCAGGAGCGCCAGCCCCACGTCGACGCGTGAGACCCTCTTGTGAGGCCATTCTCTAGCGTCTGTTGTCTGCTATTGTAAAGAGTGGGTGTAGGAAACCCAGGGACGCGGTCGGTGGGCCGCAGTGGGCAAGGTGTCTCGTGCTCGAGGTCAGGAAGACAGTGTACCAAATAGGGAGTTCGGTAATCGACAAAGTAGATAGAGGCTCCGTTCGGTTTCTAAAAGACCACGTTCTGGGCTACGCGCAACGGATTTCACATGCAAAGGGATGTGGTGAGCGCATGCTAGAGTGTTAACAACTTTACTCCGTCCTTAATCGTCTCCAGGCGCCGGAGGGGGTCCAACACGCCAAGACTCCTACCAAGTTATGGATCCAGGCAGGCGGCACCAGCAAGGTCCACCCTGTAGGAACGCAGCAGATATCCCTTTATTGCTCGCTGTTCATTACACTTCACTTCATTGACCAGGAACTGGTCCCATCGGAGTCGAGTGTGGCATCAATATGTAAGCGGCCTGGCTGGCTACACTTGCCTTCTACAATGTTGGCGTTCCATGAGGTGGGAATACTCTATTTGATCAGTCTAGAAGGAATTAGCGCGTACGTCGCAAGATCGTTGACGAAGATGCATCAATATTCTAGCAGTTGGAAATATCAATATGTGTTATTGGATGTCTAACCAGCGCCCACTCATCCAACGCCTGCTTTAGGATCGTCATGTCATGAATCTGTGAGGGTCCTTCTATCGTTGCTCTTACAAGAGCACCAAACCACCACCGAGCACCATACCAAGCATGACGACGCTCGAGATTGCCCAACTCTGCCACTCAAAAGGCATAGGACGCAGGTTGCTGCTCGCCACGCCACTAGAGGTAGCGCTAGAACCGCCCGAGCCAGTCGCTGACAGTTGGAAGGTGGCGCTGAATGAAGTTTGCCCGCTGCCAATATCACCCGTGGCCGTGGCAGTCACCTCGTCGCTCTCGCGTGGGATGCCGGAGAAGCTCTGTGCCACAGATGCGGCTGTGGCCGTGGCAGTGACGCCAGGGATGCCACTAGAGGACCCGATAGCCTGCACTTTGCCGTTGCTGCCCGAGGCATTGAAGTTGGTCTGCGCAAGCCCAATGTTCTGGTTCTCAAGATCATACACAACATACGCGCTGCGGAGGAAAGAGTCTCCAAACAGGATTGGGTTCTGGCCGGCCTGTTCGATAGCGAACTGGCAAGCATCTTTGCCATCGTGAAACTTAGGTGAGCGGCCACTCTGAGTAATGATGGGAACTACAAACTCCGAAAGCGGGACTTCCACTGTTGGACCACCATCTCCGCCGAAGCTGAAGGCGAACTTGAGGTCATCGTTGGCGAGCTCACAGGGGACAACGGCTCCAAGCTCATTGCTCATTGTGACACCGACGCCGTTGTAGATGGCCGTGGCAATATCATCGGGTAAGAGGGTGTCAGTGGTTCCAGAGTCAAGGATCGCAGGGACAGGAGCGGAAGGCGACATGTCAGCGTTGTTGCCGCTACCTGTTACCTTGAGGCCAGTCCAGGCGACAGTAAAAGAGGTGATTCTGTTCGATTGGCTGTCAAGCTGGATGGGCAGCGCAACGAGGTCACCGGTGAACTTATCGGAGTCCACGCCACCAAAGAGAATAGAGCCAGTCGAGGAGTCCAAATCGTCTAGCCAGAGCGAGTATGACCTCGACTCAATAAAGCCCTCGCTTTGCAAAACGTCAACGATGTTTGGGTACGAAGATCCCCCCTGCGCAGCGAGCGACTCATCAGCGCTGAAGCCTACGCCCATGATGCCAAGGCCAAGGCTGTTCAGACTCGTCGCCGCCGCCATGGTCAGGTTGGTTAATTTTGTGTTGCCGATATTGAGAACATCTGTAATATAGGTTCCGCCAATTTTTGTACCGTCAACGTACTCGATCTGAAACTCAGGCAGGTCGGGCTCCGAGAAGGTGCTAGATGCAGAAGCATCATATGTTCCGGCTGGACAATCTTGCCCTCCGTCCTGCTGACAGATTTGAGCGTTATTAGAGGGAAACCATATGTCGGAGGAGCCCGTATCCAGTTGTAGCGAGAAAGGCTGTGGAGGAGTGCCAACGGTGACGTTGATGAGGTATAATGCGAGCTCATTATCAAGGCCAGCCAGCACAGTGTTCTGTTGTCTGCGGCGCAACGGCGAATCGACCGCACTGACTCGTCGTTTGTCAAACTTCATGCCCAAAGTGTTGGGCCCGGGCACCGCAACTGCCACAGGCAGGAGGGATAGTAGGCAACTCGCTGCAACGACCGTCGAAAGAGACCGCATGGTTGGCGAAGAGGGTGTTGAAATGCCGATGGGTGAATTGTACAACTTGGTACAGCTTGCGAGTGCTATGGCAACAATCAATGTTGCGGAAAGTGTTTCGGATAGAATCACGGTGGAGAGGTGCTGACAGTAGCTGAACCAAGAGAAGAGCCGGATCGGCGAGCTCACAATGCGACCCAAGATTGCTAGGGAAAAAGCGAGAGAAAAGAAGACGAGTTGCGCCGGCGGAATGAAGCTACATACTTAAGTTAAGGTGTTGCTGCGGCCATGTATTGTGTCACCCACCCTCCGTGCCTGCCGCGTAAATTGAAGTGATCGTGACGCAGTGACGAAGCCCACTAGCCTACGAGTGACAAGGCCTGTGGAGCCCCCACGGCAAAAAGCTTCAAAATGTCTTGTTTGCTGTACGCGAATGCTTGACTGCGTACGGGGCATGCACCGAGGCTGTGCTAAACGCCACACATCGGGGTCCACAGCAGGCAATGATTACAGCATAGAGAAGGATGTGCAGAGCCGCAGCGACTCATCTTGCGTATCTGCGACGAACATGCTACAGGACACCCGTCTCAGTATGCAGAAAGGGGGTAGAGCGTGCGCGTAAGACCACGTCGCTGGGCGTGAGAAGCGGAAGACCAATCGGTGGCTGTCGGGCCAATTGTTTCAGCCGTCTACCATTACAGCTGTGTCGCGTTCAGGCTTCGGGTAGCGCTGTTGGTGGTGGCTAATTCCGTGGCAGAAGACGCTTGTGGCGGCTAATCGTACAACCTTGCAGTTCACCTCACAACGTTTCATGACCTCTTGTTTAGGTCTCCGTTCCGACATACGGGAGGAAGTCTCTTTGCGATGGACACCGTCCTAGTAGGACCCGCTACAGGCGTGGACGTCGATTTGAATTACGACAGCGATACTTGTGGGGTCCGTATCATCAGATGTTCCAATGCACTCGTGGCTCGTGGCCGATTAGTCATTCGCAGCACGTGATGCCAGATTCTTGGCCGGGATGAAATGTCGAAAACAACAACCGCCCTCTCCATCTACATGATTGCGTTGCCTCTCTGACGGTCAATCAGACTGAGGTTCCCATTGCACAGACAATTATCGTGTTGCTTTTGATGAAGACGTACAGCATGGATAAGGAACAGTCCCTGATGCGCCTGACTAGGCTTCTCAGGTAGGAGGGTTATCGTAAAGTGTTGCAAATTCCTCTCGATAGCTTGATTTTACACACGATGCCGAAAAAGCAACGACATACCGGTCAACCGGCACCGACTACGGCCTCTGCCTTCGACAATGAGAGTGGCCAGGTATACGTCAAGGCACAGGTTCGAATAAATTCCCGCCACCATTCGGATTGGATTGGCGAGCTGAAGACTCCAGCTCTTGCCCGCCGTTCTAATCCAGCCTCGGGTACTGGTACTCGGACACTGGCCGAGATTGCGGCCTTCCAAATCGCACAGCAATTCAGAGATCTCACGGCCGACCATTTTGCCGCTCTTCCATGGTCACTGGTGAGAAACGTTTGGGAGCAGGTCTTGTCAAGCCACAGGGAAAGCCTGCATACTTGGAGGGTACTTGTGGCTGCGTATCCCGTGGAAATGGCTGTGTCAACACACAGATATCATCTACACATTCGACAGCCTTCGCTGCCGCTAGAGTCGTATTTTGGTGGACTTTCCTCACAACCGGTGAACTGGTTGACATGTCTTCGTATATCGCCAAAGGAGACACGGACGGCAGATCTGGTGGCTGTCGCAAACATCAAAAACCTTGCCATTCTGGATCTTTCGGACGGTCAGAATGCCATTGACATCAAGACCTCATCTTTTAATGAACGAGTGATGAGATCTTGGGCAGAAATTACCCAGGCCCGCCAGGGCTTTTGCTACCTAAGAGTTCTGATGCTCGGATGGCAAGACGTGGACATGTGGCTATTCAAGTATCTACCATGCTTCCCGTCCCTGTCGAAAGTCATCATCACCGACAGTCAGCACCTGACCCAGCGCAATCGCAGGGAATGGGAGGCCGACGCCTTGTCAGCCGGCTACGAGGCACGGCACGCCAAAAGGAGCGTCAAAAGCCTTCGATCAGTACTGGACGAGCCGCATTACTATCGCTGCGCCGTATCCGGTCTACTCTATGAGGACCAAGGGCAAGCTTCGACATCAGCCAGTACCTCGCAACCCAGTGCCAAGCCTCAATTGCCCGTCCTTGAATGCTGGCTGGGAAATCCCAGGAAATGGACGCATATTCTGGAAGACTTTCCTGGCACAAGGACCATATATTTTGATCGTATAGCGGAACGTCAAACGAGTTCTGCCGGTTTGGACACCGTCATCCATCCTCGGATCACAGATGTTACAAAACGGAATCGACAGGTTGAGAGTGGTGCATCATCTCCACCCTACAAGCGCGTTCCCAAGGCTGCGCCGAAACCAGGGAAGATTCCAGGACTTGCTGACATGCTCAGTGGGCTAGCTTAAGCGGAACGTGTCTAGCTGGGTCTTTGCACTGGTCGGGGATCAACCAGCGAACGTCCATGCAGAAGAAATGGCAATTTAGGATGGCTACAGACGGCCCGCATTGTCGGGCACCGCTGGAAATTGAGGCATTAGCATCAGAAGGTAGATGCATTTACGTACGTATCGAGTGAACGACTTGCCAGGACTTGCATCTAGCTGCCTGGCTGGTGCCTGTACAAAACAGCTTTCTATTCATGTTGAAAGCGTCAGTATTCTCGAGGAGCCTACCGAGGTCCATTGTAAACACATCGTAGGCCAGCATCACGGCCACTTATGTTATCAAGCACAGTACTATAGCTTTGGTGGCTACGAATTTGAATACGTCTTTGGTGGAGCTGATGATGTATCTGCAGGCCACGGAGCCGCAAGTGCCCGCAGTCCCCACAAACGTTGGACCCTGCCTTGTGGAATTCCTGCCTCCGAGATCAACGACACCCCTCCTCCGCCACGCGATTTCGTGATCTCTTCTGCACGTGTCCTTGGCCAAAGCCGCCCCCCGATAACAAGTTAGACGACTTTGCCATGCTATTGTACTGATTGCAGCTCTGCGCAGGCTCACGGCGAACTCTTTGCCTCGCCGACAGCTTGCGATAGTCCCTCCGGAGCCTCCGCTCTCACACCACTTGCCCAGCTTGACACTGCGACTCTACTGCGAAACGCCGATAACGAGCTATGTCCTCTCCGAAGCCCATACCAATTTCTCCTGCCAGTTCGTCAGACTCCTCGCGTGCAAGAGTCGAATCACATTCCCCTCCGAGGCGCAACCCGTCACTAAGGATATCGCACATGCCGAGTGCTGCGTCCCAACACAGACAGTCCTTCAACGAGCTTAGAGGCGCACCGCCCAGCCCAAGATCCCAGAGGCAGCCCTCACTCTCACAACTCGCAGTGCAAGAACTCATAGACAATCCTCCAAGCAGAAATGCCCCAGATCCGCGGTTTGCAGGGCGGGATTGGCGGACAGTCAAAATTCAGGAACTGACCAGCCCTGAAGACCTGAAGTTCGTTGAGACCGACACACCAGTTGAGACTGCTACGAATGTATGCGTCACCTTGAATCTTCGGGGCATTGCTGACAAGTTTAGCTTCTAATTTCATCTGGAGCTCCTGTACTCCTCATACGCAATGGGCCAGACACACCAGTCATCGGCACTTTCGACTACAGAGACCTCAATGCATACCTCCTCATAGTCATCGGCCTTGCACAGCCGGACGAGGATCACATCGCCGACTTTGCGGAGCTCGCCCAGAAAGCCCGGGAGGGCAAAGCTATCCCCCTACGAAGCATCAAAGACTGGGGAAAGAAAGAGCCGCTAACGTTTCTACCTGGCAACTCTGACTTGGTGCGTGCCATCGATACATTTGGAAAAGGATTACACCGGATAGTCGCAACGGATACGGCCGGCAATGTCACTGGCCTTTTGAGTCAGACTCGCTTGATTAGATTCTTGTGGGAGCATGGCAGACACTTCCCCGTCATTGAGCAGCTCCACTCTCAATATCTACGCGATTTGAAGATCGGCTCCAATTCTGTCATTGCTATCAAGTAAGTCATGATTGTTTCGTGGGAAGACCGTGACCTGACCGAGCTACAGCGGAGACAAGCCTTTAGCAGACGCCTTGACACTACTTCTGAACGAAGGAGTATCGTCACTGGCTGTTCTCGACAATTCATCGAACGTGGTCGGCAACATTTCAGTGGTTGATGTGAAGCTTCTTACAACATCGTCCTCTCTGCCACTCCTCAGGAATACGTGTATCCATTTCGTTTCCTATATCCTCTCCAATCGGGGCATGGAGAATGGCAAGGATTCTTTCCCAGTCTTCCACGTTACCCCGATGAACACGCTTGCGCACATTGTGGCCAAGCTAGTCGCAACAAGGAGCCACCGTTTGTGGGTCACGGAGCCGATATCGCCTTCGTCATCTGGACCACCGACGCCGTCTCTCAATACCGCGACACTGGTGCCTACATCATCGCATTCATCCTCGCTATCAGCAGGATCTGGACAACATCATGCCGTTCCACCGCCCGCACTCGCGGCTGATCCTGGTAACGTTGCTGATGCTTCTCCGAAAACACCATTCATTGCACCCAGTGGACCATCGATCTCGGCAAATTCGATGCCGGGCGCGCGAATCAGTGGCCGGCTTGTGGGCGTGGTCAGTCTGACCGACATTCTCATCTTATTCGCACGTGCCGGTGGCCTTGATGCTGTCGATCCACACGAGATCCGAGCACGGCGGAGGAGGTCAAGCTCAAGCAGCGCGCGACCCAGTATCGATTTAGGTGTGCGACCGAGGCCATCAATTGACCTGCAGCGCAAACCTTCTGGGGGCGGATGAGTGGGCTCACAAGCCGCCTACATGACTTTGAAACGACACCATGGCCGAGGCGAGTGAAGATGAAAGACAAGGAGTCAGGGTTCGGAAGCGTAGAGCTATTTGCAGTTCAAGTGTCTCTTTGGCGTCACAGATACCTAAAGGCAAAAATTCCACTCAGAAATGCCCTTCCAAGTTGTAGTATCCAATGCAGGTAGGTACAGAACTACAGTAGAGATGCGGGCAAAGTAGCCAATCATGATTGAGAAGACGCTCCATTCTTTCGCCAAGTTCGAACCTCGACTTCAAAACTTCCGTCGTCAGCGATGTTTGGCCATCTCCTTATTCATGGACACTTCCGATTCCGTCCATGTGGCCTTCGCGGCCTCCGTGGCCGCATCAAGTGGCTGCTGGCAACCACTAGCGTCTGCAATCCGGAGTCTCAAATTGCAATAATCGACCGCCGACCGTTGTGCCAGCCCCAATAAGCGCCGGTGCCCGGACCAAAGAAGTGCAAGTAACAACCTGATTGTCTGCTCTAGTTCTCAGCATGTGTTTTGATTCCTGACTACTCCCGTTTCCCCGTTTCTCCAAAGTCAGCAACCGCACCGTGACCTGCATGTATTGCAAAAAGTGAATCAATGCGGCCGTACTGAGCCCTAGCTGCGCGCCACCACCGTGAGCAGAACACTAGATGGCAGGACCAACTGCTGAAATCATTTTCTGGTGCGATGGGCTCACGGATGGGAATTTACTCAGAGCCCATGACTTCTTGGCTCTCACCAAGAGCAGCAGCTCGCAAGAAGAGAAATGTGTACGTGTCTCAACGGTGGGTTGGGAGGCTTGGTCGGAATCAGGGATTGCGGGCGAGAGGACAAGAACGGGAGTAATCGAGAGAAGACTGCTGCACTAAGGGCGACCAGCCCGAGCAACTCGTTGGCAAAGTGGTTGTTACCATCGTCCCCCATACCGAAGATCCTCACACACCAGCTCACGATAGAATTGACCAGCAACCATCCTCATATAGGTGAAAAGTCTGATGAGCACCCGCCAGCTGGCCTCAGACGTGACACGCAGCAACCGCGAAACACCAGGGAGGAGGCCAGCGGAAGGTATCCGCAGCCACCTGATTTAATGCCCAGCGGCCCTCAAATCTCACAACTAGTCAGATGCCCACTGGAATCGGACTCGCAACTCTGTCTGCTGCCACCCTCGGTGGACACAGAAAAGATCTTCCTCGGTGCAGTACGTCTGCAAGCATCTTCCTCGCCCACATCGCGGGACGCTAGTTGGCACTCCGTGCGGCCTTGTAGCCTGGCGACGCGAGTGAAGGCGACGCCTTCATTTCGGTTTCCTCCAATAGAGCTGCCCGGATCTCTGCTTCTGCCCAGCCAAGGTTTCCCTCCTCCTCCAGCGACACCCTCCAAGCTGATTCGACGTGCGACAGACGAGTCGACCTCGTTGCCTTCTCTTACCACATGCAAGACTACATCTTCTGAATCATCGGCCACAATGGGAATCTGGAAGCATAGGCATGCGCCGTGTGGCTCTCCTGAGCTTGAAGACTTGAGACCAGCCAGCACTCAGAGTGACGCCATGTCTTCGGTGAATTCGGCCATCAGCAAGCCGTTCAACCTCATGACCATCGATGAACTTCTGGAAGCCCTTCCTGAATGCAATCCAGCTGCAGTCCAAGAAATATGGATGCCCGAGATGCGGAAGAAGTTCGAGGCCACCAGAGCCATTGTTCAGAACGCCGAGGGCCGTAATTTCCAGTCCCATGAATCACTTGTCTCGATGGAAACGGTATGTACGCGCCTTTCACAAGCTGCTACCAAACTAATTCGCTCATGTAGGATCTCAAGAACATCAACGCGCAAGCCCAGAATGTTTCAGCTCTGTATGAGAAAGTTATCAAGTCCGCCGAGCGCTTGGCCGAGATGAATGTCGACACCCTGACCCAGCTCCTTGAGGAGGCCAACGACAAAGTCAACATTACCAATGCTGGTTGTCAAAAGCTTCGCTCAGAACTCGAACTGAAGGTTAAGGAAGTCGCGGCTGCACAATACAACGTCCAGGCGGTCGTCGATTCCATTCGCGACGTCTTGAACAAGGCACTGCAGTATCCACAGAACTGGGACCGTGTACAGTGTCAGAACATACAGCAAGTTCTTCAAGACTACCCACATGATCCTGATCAGAAAGGCCCTTCAGCACTACGCATCCGGCAGCAGAGCTTCCTCCAGCTTGTGGCAGATTTGAGAGAAGCTGAGGGCTGCGTGGCTGACCTTCGCGCGCTTACCCAAGCGCAGGGTCGGCTCGTCGAAGAGCAGTCTACCGAACGTGAGAAAGCAATGGCTCGACAAGAGGAGAGTATGCAGACTATCGACACTCGTGACCACGAGATTTTGTTGCTGGACCAGCGCAACCGTGAAATGGAGGCGAAGCTCGAAAAGTACCAGGTCGCATTGCGCCTTGCTGACAAGGATGTTGCTCACAACGTAAGCCTCCCTTGTCAATTCGACCCTACAATATTCCAATGCTGACAGCTGTAGCGATCGTTGCAACAGCAGCTACACCGTGTGTCTCAAGAATGCGACAAACGCCTAGAAGAGAAAGATGCAGCATTACTGCAGATGCGCCAGGATTTTGAGTGTGTGCAGGAGCAACTGAAGACTGCTCAGGTCGACCTCCGGAACGCCAACACCACTCGAGCTCTCATCGCAGGCCAAGCCGGTCTCAACAAGCCTCGACCATCTCTGCCAAGTAGCTACAGCTCGTTCACCCTCAATGTTCGACATCTGTCGGAGCACACAGAGGCCCCGCGACCCCAGCAAACCTACAAGATCCTCGGTCCCCACCCTAAGCTTGTGGAGCCGCAGCAGGCGGATGTGGTGGTTTCTCAGCCTCCCAGAGATTTACGCAGCCTGGCTCAGCCAGTGCGTAGCCGACACCTGAGTGGCCCTTCCGAAGAATCGATTACAAGACCTCGCCGGGCGAGCCTCGACAGTGGGAAGGTAATTTTCGCTCGACCACACAACGAAACAAAGCCGCTACCTAGCCCGCCAACAATTGTCGCCAGCATTTCTCTTGGTAACCGCTCTCATCAGACAGAATGCTCCGTCCCTTCGGTCAGTCCGGAGATGGTCCCAAATATTTCAGCTCCGATGCACGATCAAGGTCACGGGCACTCACCTCGATACCACATGCGTGATTACCACTGGGACGAGACCCCACCATCCGGGAAGCGCATGCTCAGCTTGATTGCGGAGGCCTCCCATGAGGGCAGCAGTTCGCCCGAAAGCAACAGCGCAACCAGCAGTGAGAAGAACGCTTACCGTGGCAGCATACACGCCTTGGAACTACTCAACAGCCAGAGTAGCCCAGCTGAAGATAGCCCGGAGGAGCCTGTCATGCATGCGTCGTGGTCTGAGCCTCATAGGCGTCGAGGTCTGCGCAAGGTTGCCTCGGCCGAGATGGATGTGTCACAGCTGTATCATCAACACCTTTGATGGCTTGATCGAGGTCGGTGTAAGCTTCTGCCTTGTCAGAACGAATATGTGAGGTGGGCTTTCCGAAATGAATCATGTCTACTGCGCAAGTGGTGTGATTAGGAGCCTGTAAAGGCGCTCTACTTGACCTATGGTGTCACCACTGAAACTCTCCCACAGTTGAGATAGACGAGACAGACAAGAAAGCAATTTGTACTTCCCTTACTTTGGTTCGCTGGCATCAGTTCAAGTTGCTGGCTTGACCGTGGGGGTATCGGGTACTGGAGCGTCCGGGGAATAGCAGCACGGTATCGCCTAGCGGGATCCACTCTAAACAATCCCGTTGTCCAGTCGCGGCGGCTGTGCGCTACGTTCCTCTTAAGATACCTGCACACGTCCATCGCTGCCTGTGCCAAACCACTAGTCTAGCGCTCAACGAGACTGAGCCATAAACAAAATCAGATTACGTTTCAATGAGGTTACAGCAGTTGAGAGCATAATGTTGGACGGCTCCCGAGCGATCACTGTCAGACCATGGGACCGCTCGTTTCCTTACTTCCCAACAGCCTAAGTCAGGTGAGCATTGACCGCAGCCGATGACACCAAAACCTTCGGTCACTGTGTAATTGACCTGCGCGACCTTTGAACCACGCTCTATTGAATAGTCCGGGTGACATCTGCCTCTGCTATATCCGCACCACACCCCTCCGCCTCACACCATGTCGACCCTCGACAGTGCCCCTCGAAAGAGCGGCAGTCGCAAATTGCAGAAGCGGAACAGGCCGAACCGAATGCCTTCATCCAGAATGCCTGCCAGACTCAAATTGGGCGACGATGCTCAGGACGATGTCACCGCCCCAGATCGAGGCTCTCAAGCCGCCTCGCAGTACATGAACATGAACCAGTCTATATTCTCCATGATCGCAGCCGCGGGTTCCAAAACAGATTTCAACACTCGCTTTGATGACTCCAGTGACAGTGAGGAGGACATACAAGAAGAAGATGAGGTCGCATACGAACAGCACGAGACCCAGGACTCGACTACGGCCGCGCCCTCAAAGTCTCAGGACGCAGGCAGTGAAAGTACTGCACTAAAAAAGAAGAAACGGCTGTCAGACAATAAATTGATGCAGTCGCTGCCTAAATTGTCCTTGAGGCCTCACTCACGGAGAAAGCCATCCTCTCACAACAGCCCCTCCCCTTCGAGCGATGGAACTACCAAAAGCTCCAAGAGCAATCCCCGAGAAGCCCCTGTTATGAGCCGGCTGCTCACCGCCGAGGCCGCGCTTGAGGCCGCTGATGAAGAAGAAATGCTCGCATCCGGCCAGAAGTCGACTCGAGCCCGCGGCGACTCGTCACCCGCGACTCTCCTGGCCAGCAGATTGATGGACATTTTCGGTTTCGAAAAGCCCGAGACTGTGGTTGCCGAGTATCAAGCCTGGTTGCTGCAGAGTGTGCTCTTGCAGGGATATCTCTACATCACCAAATACCACATCTGTTTCTACGCTTATCTACCCAAGAAGTCCAACTCTGTTGCGAAGAACGGCTATCTGTCGAAGCGAGGGAAATCCAATCTGAAGTACAATCGGTATTGGTTCATTCTTAAAGGCGATGTGCTATCCTACTACGCAGATCCGTCAGCCCAGTACTTCCCCCAGGGAAATATCGACCTACGTTACGGCATATCTGCTGCACTCTCCGCCGACAAGGACAAGCAGAAGGACTGCAAAGATTTTTCTATCACAACTGATCACCGTACCTACGACTTCCGCGCCGACACCGCAGAGAGCGCCAAAGAATGGGTCAAGTCTCTTCAGAGAACCATTTTCCGCTCTCACAATGACGGTGATAGCGTCAAGATCTCCTTGCCAATTCAGAATGTCATAGATGTCGAGGAGAGCCCGGTCGTGCAATTGGCTCATACCATCAAGGTCCGGGTGATCGAGAACGATGCCTCCTACGCAATCGACGACTACTATTTCTCATTCTTCAACAACGGCCCTGACGTGCTCAATGTTTTGGCCGGCCTTGTTCCGGATATGTCCATACCTGACGGGCAAGATCCGGGATCTCATTTGGATGAGCGCAGGGCACGCTCCCCAGGCGCAAGGAAATCTCTTGATATGCTTGGTGCCCCGAGAGACCGATCTGTTACTCCTCTACGGGAAAGCGTACGAGCCACCCTGATGCCATTCTCGGTCGACGACAATGGTAAAATGTCTCCTAGAATGAGCGGCGAGTTCAGCCGGCCAAGCAAGAGCCCTGGAAGACTAAGCCTCGATGCTGGCTCCCTCGAGTACGGTCGTGCCAGCTTCGATCGCGGCCGCCGCAGTCCTAGCACAGGCAGACTTGATGTAGGCACAGACCGTCGCAGTGGTAGATCGCCACTCGCACGTGTGCACGATTCTCCAGAGTCACACAACCAGATTGCCGATAATGCGACAGACTCTTCTGCTCCGCCTCTCTCGCCAAAGGCGGAGGCCCAGATGTCAGCCAGTCAAATCCTTACCAGAAGCGATGTTTTTCACCAGCCTAGAGTCCAGAGAATGGACACTGTCCCATCAGTATCAACAGACCCTACAAGACGATCATCAGAAATAGAGACTACGCAGTCTAGCTCTCCAAAGCAAGAAGCGACACCCCCGATCCCTATCCGAACGAGGCCAGCGCCCAAGGAACGCGTAATGTCCCAGGACTCCGACTATTTCGAGGCCCGCAACGAGCACTCCCGAGAACGGACGTCCTCTCCAACCATTCAGGATCTGATGAAAGTAGGCTCATATCCCTTGCAACGTGCTGGTGTGTTTGCTGGGTACCTCAAAAGCAAGTCGAACCGCATGAGCAAGCTACTTGCCACAGAGTCCATGTCTTATCTCGAGAAGGTGTCCGGCATGTGGGCTGGCAATCGCAAGCATTACGGAGCGAATGAAACTATCCTCTCCGATGATAGAGACGTCGATCCCGAAGACGAGGAAGCCAACGTTGGCTTTGGCGACCGTTTCCGCATGCACTTTGCTCTGCCACCCACAGAGAAGCTGCAGGCCACCTACTTCTGTTTCTTGCACCGCGTTCTACCTCTGTACGGCAAGATCTACATCAGTAATAGGAAGTTTTGCTTCCGCAGCATGCTTCCCGGCACCAAGACCAAGTTGATCCTACCATTGAAGGATATTGAAAACGTGGACAAGGAGATCGGTTTCCGCTTTGGTTACCACGGGTTGGTCTTGGTCATCCGTGGCTATGAGGAGCTCTTCTTCGAGTTTGCGGGCGCAGAAAACAGAGATGACTGCGCTGTGACCCTCCTTCAGAGTCTCGAGGCTGGGAAATACATGGAGGATGACAGCACGATCCTCAACCCTGATGAAGACAGCGCAGCGCTTGCCAGGGACGAGCATCGTCTGCTCCAGGAGGCTCGGAAGACCTCGACGCAGATTGAGAAAGAGATCGATGCCCCAGATACGGACGAAACGGTCTACAAGCACGACGAACCTCCTCCGATCTTGTTCGATGACCCGCGTGTGTCTATCATTAATTTTAAGCCGGTTTCGTCGTTGCGCGTTACGTGCTTGACCATTGGCTCTCGCGGCGACGTCCAGCCGTACATTGCGCTTTGCAAAGGTCTGCTAGCCGATGGCCACCAGGTCCGGATTGCCACTCACCGAGAATTTCAATCTTGGATTGAAGGCCATGGCATTGAGTTCAAGCCCGTTGAAGGCGATCCAGCTGAGCTGATGCGTATCTGCATTGAGAATGGTATGTTTACCTACTCGTTCTTGCGCGAAGCTACATTCAAGTTCCGTGGGTGGATAGACGATCTCCTGGTCTCTGCTTGGGAGGCTTGCAAGGGCTCTGATTTGCTGATCGAGTCTCCTTCCGCTATGGCTGGCATTCATGTCGCTGAGGCACTCGGCATTCCGTACTACCGTGCATTCACCATGCCGTGGACTCGCACTCGAGCATATCCCCACGCTTTTGCTGTGCCTGGCCACAAGTCGGGAGGCGCGTACAACTACTATTCGTACGTCATGTTCGACAACGTCTTCTGGAAGGCCATCGCTGGTCAGGTGAACCGATGGCGGAAGAAGGAGCTCGGCTTGCGCTCAACATCGCTGGACAAGATGCAGCCTAACAAGGTGCCGTTCCTGTACAATTTTTCGCCATCGGTGGTTCCACCTCCTCTTGACTACAGCGATTGGGTGCAAGTGACCGGTTATTGGTTCCTCGATGAGGCCAGTGATTGGACGCCACCGTCAGATCTGGTGGCCTTTATCGAGAAAGCTCGTGCCGACAACAAGAAGCTGGTATACATTGGCTTTGGATCTATCGTCGTCTCTGATCCCGCTGGTCTTACCCGGACTGTCTGTGATTCGGTTTTGAAGGCGGATGTTCGTTGCATTCTCGCCAAAGGCTGGTCTGATCGGCTTGGTGATCCTTCAGCAATCAAGACCGAGCTGCCTCTTCCGCCCGAGATTTTCCAGATCAAGGCTGCACCACACGACTGGCTGTTCAGACAAATGGACGCCGCGGTACATCATGGTGGTGCTGGCACAACAGGCGCTAGCTTGAGAGCTGGTATCCCAACGATCTGCAAGCCTTTCTTTGGGGACCAATTCTTCTTTGGCTCTCGGGTTGAAGACCTAGGCGTCGGCATTTGTCTCAAGAAAGTCAACGTGAGTCTGCTGTCGAGAGCTCTGTGGGAAGCAGTCAACTCTGAGCGGATGATTGTCAAGGCCAGGGCCGTGGGCGAACGGATTCGAAAAGTAGGACAGTCCCAATACTTCTATCGGAACATGCGTGCTAACACTTTCAACAGGAAGACGGCGTCCAGACCGCCATCCGCGCGATCTATCGTGATCTAGACTACGCGAAGTCGCTCGTCAAGACTCGTGCCGACCTTCAAGGCCGCCCGGTGCCCCAAGACGACGAGGAGGAAGGCGAGATCGAGGAGACTTGGACGTTCATTGGTGATGAGAGCGATGTCGATCTCCAGAGGAAAATGCAGGAGCTAGACGTGGGAAGAACGGGCCGCGGGCCAAGAGTCAGCATGGACCAGTTGCGATCGGTACAGGGCGTCGAACCTGTGAGGTCGGAGGGTCGCAAGAGTGGGGTTTTCAGTCGCTCATGAAGTGGGCACTTGGTCAGATTCAAATGCATGATCTGTGAGAAAGAGCACGAGAATTGAGGTTCCAAACCCTTGCAACACCATGTTTGCGCGAGAGTCGGAAACCGGTGAGCTTGGATGGGGGCTGAGCTTGGATAGGGCGGCGAGCAAAGGACACAAAGCCAGGAGGGCATGAATTGACGACCGTGACGACACAACAGAAGGCAAAGGAAGACGGGCGTTTCTTTCTCCCTGTGGTCGATTCGAGGAAGACGACCAAGGGAGGAATGTCCTGTGAAGCTTTAGTTGGTTTTGGGATAGCATATAGCAGCAATGCTAGCCTGGGCAGCAACAGCATAGAGAGAGGTGGTGAAGCGAGCTTTACATCATGGATTAATACTACCTAATTGGCCTTGACAAGACGACCTCAGATCACTTTTGACTTTAAGAAGCTGTTGTTTGTTGTCCTAGTGCTCGGTATGAGGTTTCGACGTCTGGGGGTTGCAGCTGAACGAATATATTTCACTGCCTAATATTCTTGGCATAACTATATCATCCATCGATACTCTTCCGCCTTGTATCACATAGCCTCACTCTGAGTTCCTGCCTTGTCTCTTCTTCTGCGTCCACTTGCCTATGCCTAGCTTCCCGCATGACCGAACAGTTTGAGATTAAACGATCTTATCATCAATCTCCTGCGGCGTCGGCACCGTCTGCTTGAAACTCTCCCTCGCCTCCAACTTATCGCTATACGCCTTGAGGTTGGGGAACTCGGTCTGCCAGTCTTGGGTTGGGAAACGGACCTGAAAAGCTCGTCACTTCTCGTCAGCCCGTCAAAGCACGAAGCTACTTCCACAATCTCTCCCCCCGTGACGCGAATTCCTCTGGAATCCCCCACAACTAAGAGCAGAGAGGGCACATACCTTCATATACCCCAGAACACTCCCCGCCGCAATATCCGCCAACGAGAATGCGTCTCCGACAATAAAGTCCTTGTGCAGCTGCGGGTCCTCTTCCCCGCCAACCCAGCGGCTCAACGCCCGCAGGCCGCCCTGGACTTTGCGCTGCTGCCGCCCCGTCCATTCCTGCGAGGGCTGGGAGCGCTGTTTCTCGAACTGTGAAGAAACGAGATCAGTGCATGCCATGACAGGAGATGGGAAGGCAAGAACGAGTAAAGGCAACGCACAAACATCAACACACAAGCATCACACATCCCATCCGCCACCACCTGCACCTGCTTGGCCAACAACTCCTGCGCTTTGCCTTCTGGGAACATGGCCGCGTACCCTTGCTCTCGTCCGTAATGGGCCTCGAGCCATTCGAGGATGAAGTGCGATTCGTAGACGGATGTGTCGGTCGAGGTGTCGATCAACACGGGCAGTTTTTCGAGGGGGTTGTGCTGGGGCGTGCAGGTCGATGAGTTCCACGGCACTTCGGTTTGGAGCGTGAAGGGGATGGATTTCTCGAGGAGGGCGATGCGGACTTTGCGCGCGTAGGGAGACCTAGTGTCGGAAGGGGAAGAGTGAGGATGGGTGGGTGATGGGAAGGAGGGGGTGGAGGAGAGAGGGAGAGAGAAGGGGATGGGCTGGGCGTACGGGGTTGCGGAGATGAGTGTGAAGCCCATGGCCGCTGCTGATGTGGTGTTGTATCGCTCTTGTCGTGTAAGTGATCGATCAGTTCAGGTTTATTCGAAGTTGATTGATGTAGCCAGGCAGTGAATGAGTGGAGCCGGTCTGGACTCTCTGAAGGAGGGCGGAGGCAGGCGGTACTCGGGGTGAAGATACTAGCAGTAAAGCTCTTGCTGTGGTTGTAGGCAGGGCGCTCTCTTCCGTAGGTGATCGATGTCTCGCTCCGTCAAGTTACAGGTCAATTCACAATTCGCAATTCCACAATTCAATATGTGCGTGAGAGATATCGCGCCACTGCTTCGTTTCGTCCCTCGGGAGAATGCTAAGAACGGGGGGCATCATGACATCAAAATCCCCGCCCGCCGCCACTGGATTGATTGCTGGAAGGGTTTCCGCGGACTCTCAGCCCGCCAAAGTTGGTGCTGCCGGGCTACCGTTGGGAGAAAGGCTAAAAGTTGCCTTGCTAGTGTAGAGTCGGGTAGTTGATTCTTGTATAGAGTTAGTCGCTCAATGGACCGATATGGAAGGTAGACATGTACTTCTGGCGCATGCGTGGGGAGGTGAATCTGGAGACGGTCACAGATGGATGGTGCTAGATAGGAGGCCAGGTGGGCTACGTGCGATGTGATGTCGGTGGACTTGCGTCTAGGTCCATACACTCATTCTCGTTTTGGATGCACGGAAGTGTGTAATGCATGACATCTCAAATATGAGTAGCATGGAGTCAACTGTAACTCTGACTTTTGAAAGACCTCTACTGCTCCTTAAAAATAAGGCTTTCTGCCTCCTGGGCTTGGTCCGGCAAAAGAGCCTGCCGATTTGAATATCGCACCCAAACCGCGGATCGAACGAAACCGAATCCCACATGGAGTACTCTCCCTCGCCAACTCTGTTCACGACTTCAAAAGCCCCAAGGAACCCGACTCCCTCTTTTATTCAAAGTCCCTCCCCGCCCTCCCCATCCTCAAACGCCCCACTCCTCTTCCTCGCCGCCTCCCTCTCGCGCACGACCTCCTCCCACTTCGCCCTCCCCATCTCCGCCGTGCGCCGCCGCTGCTCCTCCTTTTCGATTCTCTCTCTTTCCAGCATCTCGGCGATCCGCCGCCGCTCCTCCTCCTCGCTCAACCTCTGATGATGCTGCTCGTCTGTTTCTGACTCGGCCAGTTCCGGGATGGGCGAGTCCAGACTCTGGCGAGCGTCGCGCTTGGCGCGCCGGAAGTCGTGCTGCACGGTGTATTCCTTGTGGTGCTTGGCGAAGGCGGGGACGTGGGCGTCGAGGTAGCTGAGGGTTGAGGCCATGGGGTGCGGGGTCGCGATGTGGGCGTGTGTATGTGCGTGCGCGTGCGAGGGGAGGTGGATGGGGTTGGAGTGAGAGTGGGAGAGGGGGGTTGGGTCGGTTGAGGCGTGGGAGGGTTTGTGGTAGCCGGGAGGGGCGGCGGGGTTGGATTGGTCGGCGGTGTGGTCGTGCTTGTAAGGAGAGGTGTGATCATGCGGGTTGGCGTGGTCGGGTTTGGGGAAGGAGGCGAAGTGTGGATCGGAGGTTGAGTGGTTGGAAGAGGCGATGGTTGTCATACTGCTGGCGGTTGAGGCGCTTGCGCGCTGTTTGGCCCTTGGTTGGAGTCTTCAGACGGCGGCTGTGGTTGGAATGGGATCAACTTGGGGATAGATTCGCAGGCAGAAGAAGAAGCAGAGAACGAATTCTGAAAGGCGCAAAGAGAGTCTGGCATTGCTATATAGGACCTGCCTGCCGCAGCATATTGGCTCTCCTCGTGCTGGATAAGCCGTTCAGGATCGGGAAGGTTTGCTGATTCATCGCCTGTAACAGAGCTGTATGCAGAAGAGGGTTAGCTTCAGGAACGGGAGGTGCAAAGCAAAGTCTGCTGGCAACGAGGTCGGAGACTGCATGTGCGCGAGGACGAGAAGAAGGTTAAGAGTGCCAGAGAGAATGATGCACACACGGCTACGAATGGCTGAGTGAGGGGTTTAGTAAGTGGTTCACGAGGGGCAGGCGAGGTAGGGGTGAGTGGATGAGTAAGCCGGGCACAGAACCTGACAGGCGGTTGAGCCTCGGGTGTGCAAGATGCGCCTTTTCTGACCCCGAGCACCGGGAGCGGCTCGCAACGACCGGTGGCGCGTCGGCGAGCAAGGGACTCCAGTCTCCGGCATCGAGCGCTGCAGGAGTTCGGGCCACGTTGTGCTGATCGGGATCCGATCCAACGGCCGGGCGCAGTGTCGGTAGGAAATAACTGGGATACCACGGGCAAGTGACCGTTTTGAGAGCTTCCGCCGAAGTCTGGGGTTGATGACGAGGCGGTCAGGAATCACAGCCTCACAGCCTTGGGACCCCGCGAGACGCCGAACTACAACAGGCAACATGGACCGTGCTCGCAACGCGTAGCTCGGGGTGCGAGATAGATGTAGTAGGACGACCGTTGGAGCATCAAGTGGAAGCCGCGGATCGGTCTCGCGAGCCCTAACTGTTTCTTTAAGCGGCACCCGAGGCGCCCCAAGACAAGACGGCGGTAAGGTGGCTGAGCCTCTGATGAATGCCAATGCAGTCATGCTCAGCTGCATCAGGCAACAGGCAGCGTCTGAATTGGATCAGCTGAGGCTCTCTTTGGAATGATTATTCTTGTTGCATGCAGCATGCAGGCTGCAGGATGACTGAGTGAGATTCCACGTAGAGCCGCACAGCTGCGAGTCATGACGAGTGGCCGCGATAGGCTCTTGGGGCTTATACGAGGTTGGCGCAGGTGAGACTGCGATGCGAAAGGACCACCAGTTATTTGTGCGCTCCGCGATTGCTACACTCGGAATTGCCGTGCTGGTGACTGGCGAGGCGCATTCTGGTGCATGATACAGATTTGACACGAGTCACTGGTGCACGGTAGGGTCATCAAAAGTGGGGAGCTGGTTTGGTGCATCGCATCTCATCCACCTCATCTTGCGAGGTCCGAGCAGCAGAAATAGCATCACTAGATTGTCGACGTGTATCACGGTGTCGCCGTCAACGATCGCCACGATGGCGAAGGGCCGGTAAAAGTGCAAATTGAAGGGACAGATCGAAGTTTGTGGCTCTGATTGCAATTGCCTATCGCCCACTACTAGCAGCACCCAGCGGGTTGGCTCGGGGGGTCGGCGTTCTGGATCTGGGCGCGCCAAAGCACCCGGATCCACGTGCACGAGGCGCACCAGCTCTATCACTCCCCCTATCCCTGCCCGTGTTGGATTTGTTATTTCATAGCTCTTCCAAGATGGATCAGGCGACATTGGTGAAACTTGGGCATCCGGCAGCGAACGTCACTACTGCCGCATGAATACATTAACACACTGCTTGGGAACGGATGATCTGCGGGGGAGGTAATGGATGGGTTACATGGGTGACATGGGTGACATGCCAGGCCTGCAACTAAGTGCCGAGTCACCGATATGCTGGAGTGCAGGAGCATGCGGTGCTCCAGCTGAGGCAGACTGCTGTTTAGGCGGTGCGGATCTTCCATGCCTCCTGCCGTTTTCAGTGGCAGGCTACTCGTGCGCGATTGGCGGGCTCGCTCCACTTAGGCCACGGCTAGCCAGGGTGGCAGCGCTGGAGGCGTGCTAAGGGTTACTTGAAATAGACGTGCACCTAACTTGGAGCGTACTGGCGTGCCTATTCCCAGCATCTCACCTGAGGCGTAGCCTGCTAAGCTTCGCTCTCCCTGACAGTTCGACAGTCCCCCCTGGGTTTCATCTGCCGGTGCAAGTCCAATCATCATACACACATTGGCTCCACCACCACACGCTGTACGCCGTTGTTCAAGTCGCCGGCACGAAGCTTGCAGCGTGCAGTAGTTCCCGTCTACTTCTGACCCAGCGACATGGGTCGCACGGCCTACCACAGCCCGTGTTTTCCTTTGGGCTTCTCGCTGCATTCACCCCAAAAAGACCTGCGCATAGCGGTCGGCCCTGCAGCTCCGCCTTGCGCCGCTTGCCTCTATATTTTGTCTCCGGCCGACCACGCCATTCCCCATTGCACAAGGCTGTCCACACAGCCGCATCCACCTCATTCGCCCACTACCAAATAGCTAGCACCGAGGATCGACTAATCTCTCCCCTGGTACCTCCCAACTTCCTGCCTACTGGACAAGAATAACCCCCCCGGCCCTTCCTTCTGATTTGGCACCCAAGCCCTCAGCCCTGCCAATAGGCTAGTAAAGTCCCTCCTCGTCTATCCGTCTACTCGTCATTTCCCTCCCATTCACTCTATTCTTTCCACGAGACCCATGCATTGACACCTTCAAACAAATCTAATCTTTCCCTGAGGCTCAGAAGGGGGCGGAGACACACCCAAGCCTGCACCCAGCATTCACCTGGCCACGGAAAAGACTCCACCTTGAAACCTTTGCCCGGCCTTTCCACTCCATCTCTTGGTTCGCTCGTATCTTTCTTATAGTCCTACCTCCTAGCTATGGCTCCCAAGAAAAGGTCATCACCGCTCCCTATCAGTGCTCAACCCCAATTCCAGCCATCAGCACACGATTCCCATCACCATTTCGACCACGTTCATTCTTTTCCTCTTGCCACTACCCAACATCTGCCGGAACCTTCCACCACTGCCGCTCGTCACCAGCCAAGAGACTCGTCACTCTTTCACCCCTCTCTCCAGGCACCACCCGTCGATCCTTCTCTTCAACCACAGCATCCGCCCATTGCCGCGTCTCCCGCTCCTTCATCAGAAGGTACTGCGCCTGAAAGCAGCTCCCGTCGTCAAAGCACCTCGTCCACCATGCGCACCTCTTCCATTCCTTTGGAGGGTGCTCCCACTTCCACCCCAACTGGTCGCATCAGTAAGGCAAAGAAGGGAAAGCGCGTCCATGCCTGCGCTTATGAAGGTTGCGGAAAGGTTCGTTACCCTCCATGAGCGCAGTCTGTCCCTGCTGACACTCCTCCCCCAGGTCTTCACTCGGGCAGAGCACCGGAGAAGACATGAACTCAATCACAACCCTGAAGCCATGTTTCCCTGCAACCGTCCTGGCTGTCGGAAGGCCTTCCACCGTTTGGATCTCCTCCAGCGTCATCAGGAGCGACATGACTTGGAACATCAGCTAGATTCTCAGCCCGTCCAGAGCAGGCACATTAACCACGTCTCCGCAGCCGGTGAAGTTCCTTCGAGTATGCCACCCACAAGTATTTCTAGTCCGCAACCAGGTGCCGTTGGCCGGACGTCCTCTGGCGGCCTCTCAATCGGCTCTCTCGTTCACCCACAAACTGAGTACAGGTACAACATGGGCACACCGGCCGTCTTCAACAACTTCAATCGTTCGGCAGTCCCAACATACACCAACGGCTTCGCCTCGTCCGATGAGGGTCTCTACTACACACCAGAGAGCAGCCAATCACCAGTGTCGGAACAGTATGGGCGATACGCTCATCGCCAGTCCATTTCTTCTTCTTCTTCTGTTGCAGCGTTCGATCCCGTTCAGACCTCACCCTTGATCAATGGCTCCAGTGCCTGGGTGCCTTCTTCTGCCCCTCCCAACGTCTTGCCTGCCAGCATGTTTGAAGATCACACATACATGAATGTAAGCAGCGCTTGGTTTTCATCTCGTATCTCTACTGAGACTGATCAGTCACATGCAGACACTTCCGTACCAATACCCCTCACCAACCTGGATGGAGACGAGTTCGAATTCATACGACGCGAGTTATCCAATGCTCCTGGGATCATATCCACCAGTCCAAGAAGTGACCTACCAGGTGCTATAAGGGCGGACGCCATTCGATGGGATTGCTTGGAGCTCTATTGGCTCCACTTCCACCCTTATTTTCCTATCATCCATCGGCCTACCTTCTTACCAACCAAGCCTAGCCCATTGTTGGCCAGTGCCATGGTAGCCATCGGATCCCAGTATGACCACAGAGAAGATGCAAAGCAATACTCTCTGACACTGCTCGAACTGGCGACAAAGCTCCTCCGAAGACGAGACACAATCAATAGCAGGTCCAGACTGTCCGATCTACAGACTGTTTTCCTCTTGGAGGTCTTAAGCAAGTACTGCGCTCGAAGAATCGAAGTAGATATGTCTTCGCGCTTTCGTCAGTTGTTTGCGAGTCTCGACCAGGCAAAACGAACACTTGGGACAAGCTCTCTCGCCGTGTTCCGGACATTACGACCCACCCCGAACAAGGAAGAGCTCAACAAAGCCCATAAGTTCTGGGTAGACCACGAGACGCGGCGGCGGATATTCCAGGCCTTCTCAGTTCTGGATATGCAGCAAACGAATCTCTTCGAGCAACCCCCTACGATCGTCCATCACACACGAACTCGACTGTCCACCGAGACTTCCAAAGCAAGTATGACTATGCCGTGTGCAGAGGAACTCTGGAACGCCAGTCCCGTGGACGACTGGAAAGATATGGCAGATGTTCACCAACATTTTGAACACAGCAACCTAGATGTGGCCCTCGAATCGCAAGGGGAACGCAAACTCGACTATTTCCAGATGCAGACTTGGTTGCAATTCGATCCTGCGGCACTTCAAAGATTCTGCTTCGAGGACGAAAGTCATTTTCTTCCACTCTTGCACCCTGGGCTCGCCCGAGACGGGATTGCTTTCAACCAGCACATTATGACCATGACCAAGCACACGCCTCTGCGACATCTACTGCTTGTGACTGGCGAGTCTTGGATCTTTGGCAAGAAACTCGAGAACGAATCGGACTTCCAGATCGCCAAACAGTCTCTTCGCAATTGGGTTGACATGAGGGCGGATAGCTTGACCGCTCTCTGGCACGCGCTAGCACTGCTGCGGAGTCAAATTACATTCGAGACAGGCAAGGCGAACCAAGAGGAGGTCTATGTGAGCTTCCATGAGACCAAAATGCTTCACGAGCCGTGGTCCATCTATTTGGCCACTTTGGTTTGCTGGGCGTGTTGTTTCTACCCTTCTGTTTCTTTCAGCAACAGCAGAGTCGAACGCTCTCGTACCGGCTCGGTCGCCAGCGCGGCAGGGTCCAGCCATTCTCATGCCGGCAGCTCGGGGCATCCGGCGCTGATGAATGCCACTGAGGCAGCACTGGAAGCACGAATGTTTCTGCAAGCTACGAATGTGGCTAGCGCTCCCGAACTGGGCTATGTTGATCCAGCATCACTCGGACGCGTCAACGGCCTACTCGAGGTGGTCAGGACGCAGAAGATCCAGCCACTGCTGGGCGGTTTGATGAATGAGGCGGAACGAGTATTGTATCGGCTTGTGGAGGGACGGAGCAAGTTGTGCCACTTTTAACCACTGTTACACTTTTCACGATCTGACGATGACGACTAATGATGTTGACAATTCTTCACCTTTACACTTGGATGAGGGCAGAGATACCACTTTTGCACATGGGAGATATGGCAAAACGGCTGAGAATTATAGAGGCGACTCTGCCGCGACACAGCCATGGGATGCATGGAGCATATTGTACACAGATGGGCGTTTTGATGAGTATTTCTACATAGCTTGAACCTGTACAGACTTTGATCATTCGGCAATGCAAAGACCATTGCCCTCTCCTCCAGTAGCATCGGAGTTCTTGGCTCACGCCTCTCAACAGGGGTCCAGGGACATGGCAGTTAGGAGTTGTAGCTATTTTGGTACACACCTTGCCAAACCCCGTGGTCTGATCCATTTCGTAACGAATCCTTCCAGTCTCCGTGCGGATCGACGACAAGGCGCGTTCGGAAGTGTGTCTAGGGCACACGATTTGAAACGCTTCCCCCTCATCGCCACCGTCGCGGCTCGCGAGCTACGGGCACTGTGGGCACTGTGGGGCACATATTGCGTTCGCGCACTTGCAAAGACGTGCCATTATTCTGGATTATATGGAATCTCTAGAGTCTGCCCCAGAGAGCCTAGAAGCCCGGGATCTGATATGATGATACGATGATACGATTATATCCACCCCTCCTGCCTTGCTATACATGTCTGATCCCCAGTCCTTCAAGCGTGGTGTTTGTGAATGGATCAGTTGCGGTACAGAGGCGTGGGTGCTGTACTGTATCGTATCGTACCCACGACGGTACCCTGATGCAAGCGTGTCGAGGGAGTGTCAGATCATCACAACAGTACCCCATAGATGCCGTTGACTGACCGGACAATTTACTTGGTGCAGATGGTGCAGATGCCCGTGCCGTAGGGAAGGATCGAGCCCCGAGTTGCTCATCCCATCGCCCGCTTGCAGTTGCGGTGCTGCTGTAACCGTACGAAGGCCGTCTGTACGGATTACGGAATACGGTACCCCGTGCGGAGGAGCGCAGGAGCTGGCTGCCGCAAACGAGTCCACGATCCCCTGGCTCACGTTCCCCCCCCCCCCTGGCACCACATAACCGCAAACGCATACAACAAACACAATCCGCACGATACGCTGTTTCCTGGCAAGTGGACAAATCCAGCAATGGTGATACCAGCAAATGTTTGTTTCCCCGCTAAACCAGTCTCGGCAAGTGCCCTATATTGGGCCCAAGCCGGCGCTGTCGTAAACTTTCTTGGTAAAAGAGCTTTGCGTTTGTTGCGCCCCCCCCGGTCAAGTACGGAGTAAGCCTCTGTGGCTAGATGGGACCGCCGCAGCCTGTTCGAACCAGGTTACAGGGGACCAGGGGGGGGCAAGCCCGCAATGCGTGCCAGGCGTGGCCGGGGCCAGGGACCGCCGTTGTGCCTTCTTGGCGGGGAGGAAGGGGGCCTCAAATTGCGAGCAGGGGGGTAGTCGAGTCGTAAAAGATGATGGATGGTTCAGCTTTTGGAGTCGGATCTTATGATGCTAACTATTGCATGGATCGTACTTGCTATCCGCACCAATGGGTGGTTTGTTCTTTCTACTGCTACTTCTGCTTCCGACGTGATGACCGTGCAGCACACATGATGCGAGGTTGGAAGATTTGGAAAAAGGGCAGGATATCAAATTGTGTTTTTTTGGCAGTTGTGGTTGGTCCGGGGCTTTTTGCTGCGACTACAATGTTCACGATTGTTAGCAGATGCTGCTGCTGCGAAGTGACTACTGGCGTACTGGAGATGCAGCGACATTCGAGGAGTCGATGTACCTTCACTAAAAAGGGGGACAACAGGCACAAAACCGACACCCGACGGGCAACTCTACTGCTCGTACAGTACGAACTTGAAAGGTAACATCACACAAAACATGCATATCATTTCCCATGCCAGGCCAGAGGTGCTCCGAGGGGAAATCCACTGTTCCTTCCGGCTCCGCAGCAGAAACGGGCGTGCCCTGGACACATGTTCGAGGTTGCAGGTCTGCAGCAAACCGTGAATTCCGCTACTACCGCATCCAGCAGCGATCGACCCGCTAGATTGCAGCTGCAGCTTTCTGAACCCAACGCGGTTCCATCGCGCCAGAAAGGCCTCCGTTCGCGCTACGGCAGAAGAGAGGAGTGAAGGGAAGCGGGCGTGCTGATTGGCGGATGGAACGCGTCGCGCTGGCGTCGCCGTGTCGGCACTTTGAGTGGGACGTTACCAGCGTAGTGGGTTGGGCCGCTTCGTTGCTTTTTGTCGGTTCTGTTGCTTACAGAGTATTTCCGCCCATGTGGTCGATCTCATGAGTCGCTTCATCCCATCTCATACCAACGAAGCATTTGATCCTGTACAACGATACTCCGCGAGATTAATAGCAAGAATGAACTCCCCCAGCCCGCCCGCCGGCTTGAACATTTATGCTATCGTACCCACAGCGCATCCGAAGATTTGCGAGCGTACCTGTTCTCCGTACCTGATGCGCATCGGCCATGGCTGCAGGAGCCTCACATGTAGGTTTACATAATCGACGGACTTTCCCCTGGTCATGACTAGCAGAACGTCAAGAATCTCATGTCTTGACTGCCCGGCGCATCATGCTTCTAGAACCAATTCACAGCTAGACGCGGCTCGCGCGGCTCAGAGTCCGGAAAGGTCTGAAACACACGCTTCTTTCTACCTTTCAAAGTTTGGTTTTGACGGCTTCTCCCAGCTTGGATCGCTGGTTCTCGTGCGTGAAGCGGATCCAGCAGGAAGGGACGGGGAGGGAGGCAAAAGTAGATTATTTGCCGGCAACAGTGGCCCACGGATAGCTTGGGTCACCAGAGATTTGCCCAAAGCCTAATAGAAGCTATTTGTAAAAAGGGAGCCGTCCAGCGCGACATGTCCGGCAATGACACCGACGTGCAGAGATGGATGTACTGCAAATTCAAATCATTATTGAAAAGCTGCTACCGAACGGCGCATCTCAAACCACCCTGGACCATGTATACATTGCAGATCTCCTGCTCACGGCAAGGCTTCACGAAAGGATTGCGCCGCACTGCCGCACCCAAAAAGAAATAAACGCTACGCAACAGGATGTATGTACGAGAGATACCTCCGTACTTGTAGCCAAGATTCCCCTTGTACCCGTTTTCCCATGCTTCATCTCGGCGATCTCGGAGGCTTCGGAGTGTCGGGGTTTCATCAGAGCAAAGCAAAGCCCATTTCGTTTTTACGCATTGTATCCCACCTCAAATCTCCGCCATTTCCAAGAGACTAGCATCGGGCCCAGATCTCACTGTCCCAAAGACTCCAAGGGCTTTTGTGGTGCGTTGGCTTTGTTTGGCATTGCGAGGCGACGTGTGGCTGAGCCAGTAAGCTGTTTCAGAAATCTGATTCCCCGGTTTGCTAACCCATCAAAAACCGTTGGCATTACCTGTACTCTTGCATGGAGGAGAAAGGCGTCCGTGCCTGTCACTGTGGCTCGCAGGCCCCCCCCCCCCCCCTTTTCTCTTAGGTCCTGCTTATTCGAGCTTCGAAACAACAGCATTTCGTGTGTCGCAGGTTGTCAATGCTTCTCGCTTTCTACGCCACGGCCACAGCCAATGGGCGAATCCCTCGTCGTACGACATCTGTCGCAGAGATGGACAGCCGTGGCGGAGCTCGTCTTCCGCGCCGCCTCACAAGGCAACCCAAGTTCTCACATCTGGCTTTTCATGCTGTATGCACGGGCCTGAGGGAACGATGAATCTAGTCGCGTTCAATTCTTCCCTCTTTTATACCTTCTGACTCCGGCACTGGTACCACGACAATGCAGTCGAACGAGCCTTGAGAGATTGAGGCTCAGGTTATGGCCATGGAGTGGTAAGGCAGGGACAAGTCTACGTCGAGACCGGAAGGGAAGCAAGGTGAGGCAGTCCTGTCAACGCGACCTCCCACCAAACGCGGTTGACGCTGTTGTCGAATGGAAAGCTGCTACTTACCTAGTCTCCTCCCCAGACTGAGAGTTGCGTACGGCTTGTGCACCTCTCCAAGGCTGCTTGCCGAAGAACAGGGCGTTCTTTACTAGCCAACGGAGGCGCCGAACTCTTGCGGCCTGGCAGGAAGCTTTGCTGTGCCGCTGATGAAAATGATTTTTCGGCGTGACTGCACAGATTTCGGGCATATAATAATGGTGGATATCACGAAGCTCAACTGCCGAAGGGCGGAGATCTGCACGGTGGTACTTTTTCAGGCGACTCGATGCCTGAAATCGACGTCACCAATTGAAAATTGGAGACGCGCAGAACTTGGAAGGTTTGTTCGTCCGCTGCGTTTTAGTAACGCTTCAGAACCTCTGTTTTTGGCCATAAAATTGAAAGACGATTCCAGGCTCTGTCAAGTGCAAGTCTTACAATTCGAACATGGCATCTAGCAAGAAGATTGCGGTCTTTCCAGCAGCTGGGAAACTGGGGACGAGCTTCTACACTCACCTGTCTCAGATCGTGTCCCCTGAACGACTGATATTGATCTCGCGGCATCCGGAGAAAATCTCGAAAAGCCTGACAGACGCTGGCGCAGAGGTCCGAAAAGCAGATTATGATGCCCCCGAGAGCCTCAACGACGTTTTCGAAGGGGCGTCATACCTCTTCCTGATCTCATACCCAAGCATTCAGATCGACCACCGCTTCAATGCACACCGGCAAGCGATCAATGCGGCTCTAAAGACCAGTCCCGGCATCGAGCACATCTTCTACACCTCTCTCGGCTTTGGCGGAGATGGAAATCCCGAATCAAAGGCGTATGTTATGCAGGCACATTTGAAGACCGAAGCCTTCCTGAAGTCGCTTGTTGCATCGAAACCGTCCTTGACCTTCACTTCGATCCGTGAAGGCATCTACTCTGAGACCTATACAATGTACACCTCGTTCATTGACCTGACGGATCCCTCGGACAGCATCAGAATTCCACATGATGGCTCTGGTCCAGGAATTGCGTGGGTCAAGATCGACGAGCTCGGGGAGGCAAGCGCAAAGCTGGTGAAGGAGTTCACTGAAGATCCGACAAGCTCACAATACAAAAATCGCATTGTGATTCTTACCGGACCAAAGGACTACAGCTTTCGGGAAGTAGCGAGCATCCTCAGCAAGATTGCGGGGAAGCAGATTCGCGTGGAGCAGGTGACCGAGGAGGAACACTCCACTAACCCGGCCGTGGTGAAAGTGATGGGAGCCGATCAAGGCACAGCTGCGGCTTGGACAACCGTATTTGGAGCTGTAAGGGCGGGCGAAAACTCCGTCGTCAACGGTGAGCTGGAGAGGTTGCTGGGTCGTGAAGCGGAAGGTTTCGAGACAACGGTACGGAAATCACTTGCGGAGGGCACCTGGGTGCGTCGGTAGAGAGTTTCGGCAATAACAAGGTAATTGGTTTTCCCCCTTGTATTCCTGTCTCCCCTGTAGCACTTCTTGACCCGTAGGGTACTGTACGTATGAGGTCTTGGGAGGAAGCTTGAGGCAGAGCAAGCAACCCGGGGAACCAATTCGCGCTAACCGAAGCAGTCTAGCTTCGGAACAGTTTCCCCGGTTGCCGCACCTCGACCCTTGCGCTGCTTGACCCTCCTCAACATCAACACGAGGCTCTTCACATACTACAGCCCCAGAAACGTGCGTCTGATATCGACAGCTCTGAACTTTAATAACAACTGCAATTTGTCACAACCATGTCGAAAAAGGCAGGTCCTACAAGCGACGAGCTGCTGGCCCAGTTCGACGACCTCAGCACGCAAGCCACCGCCCGGCCAGCGAAACCCCCCAAGCCCCGTGGAGGCGGGCCTGCAAAGTCTTCACAAACCGAGAACGATCTTCTCAAAGACCTTGGCGACCTCGCCAAGCCGTCGAGTAGACCGGGCACACCCTCACTCAAGCCCAACGCAGCGTCAGGTGCAAGTCGATCGCCGGTGCGCACCTCAACAGCCACCCCTCCTCCGGGACGCACGAGCGAAGACAAGGCTGCTGCGCGCAAGTCGGGGGATAGCGCGAGGTCGACACAGCCGGCGTATACGCCCGCGACGACTACGACCGAGGAGTCACCTGAGCCCGAGCCGGCGCCTGCCAAGTCGGGAGGGGGCTGGTGGGGAGGTATCCTCTCAACGGCGACGGCGGCGGTCAGTCAAGCACAGAAAGCGGTGCAGGACATACAGAAAAACGAGGATGCACAGAAGTACCTGGAGCAGGTCAAGGGAAATGTTGGTGTGATTCGTGGATTCGGTATGTTCGTTTTCATTCTGCGTCTCATGGCCACAATAACTAACAGGCATAAGGTGGTGATCTCAGGTCGATTGCGATGCCAACTTTCCAGAACATCCTTCAAACCATCGCTCCGCCCATCTCGCAGCACGAACGATTGCAAATTCACATTACGCACGACCTGACCAACTATCCGACCCTCGATCCCCTCATCTACCAAGTCTTCTCTCGTGTCATGTCGCAGGTGGAAGGCGGCGACTTGATGGTTGTGCAGAAAGGCCAAGAAGCGACCGCCAGACGCGGGTCCTCAGAGCGGCCAAAAGATTTCGGATCATGGCATGATGGGCCGTGGTGGCGCAGCGGAGAGCAGAGGAGCATCAGCGCTGTAAAGGGCGTTGTGGAGGGCAGCAAGCTCGCGCGCGCCTCCGCTGAATCCTATGCCGCTGAGCACATGGCCGGTCGAGGAGGTGTGGAAGAGGTGGCCAAGAAGGCGGCTGAGACACTCAGCACGAGCAACCCGACCCGGGACTCGGAGATCTTTCTCGCCATCCAGGCCATCGCTCAGACGACTCCTGAGGGCGTGTTCGCAGGCGGGCCCACGAATGAGAAGGAGTCACAGGTTGGAGAGTCGCCGGACGCAAAGGCAACAGAGGAGATTTTGTTCGCCATCTACCTGCACGACCCCGTGCATGGCATTGCGTTCCAGGCTCTGTCGCAGGCAGTGCCTGCACAATGGCTCGAGTGGCTGGATGCGCCCAGTGGTGGCGAGGGCACGCTGCCCGAGTCTATCGAGGAGATCATGAGCAGTGGCGGCGTCGACCCCCGAGAATGGGTCAGCGAGTGGATCGAGGAGACGTTGAGTCTGGTGATTGGCGTCGTGGCGCAGCGGTATGTGGCAAGGCGAATGGGTGTTGGCGAGGGCGGCGCGAGGAAGGGCAAAGAGGTCCTCAAAGCCGGCCCAGGGCAGGAGGACATCGTCAACGCTGGCGGCGGCGAAGCGTCAAGGGCGCTGGGCGGTATGTGATTTGAGATAGAGCTTTCGTCTGCGGTCGCGGTTGCCGTAGATGGCGTAGGCGTCTGAGGTAGTCGAGATACCGTTGGCTTTCGAACGATATCCATATCCAGATAAAACCTCTTCCAGAGTCGCCAGCTTCGACCGCGTTATGCTCCCTTCAAATGCGCATACCGGTTGCTCGGATGCGCCTCACATCAGTCGGAAACACCAACCCAAATCACATCGCCAGAGCCACCCCGCACATCGTACACATATGCCCCCCTGATCTCATTCTTCCCCCATCTCTTATTCTCCCAGTCACTTCTTCCCCTTCCCTCCCTTCCCATCTTTCCCGCCATCCTGCCCCTTATTCCTCCCCTTCCCACCACCAATCATCTCCATATGCCCGGCCTTCAAACTCAGCATGCGCTCCGTCTGCGCCGTCAAGCCACTCGTCAGCTTCTTGGTCATTTTGGCCTGTTTCTGCAGCGTCGCTTTCTTCGGTTTCATGCGCACCGCGCCCTTTTTCGTGATGCCCTTTTTCGGGTTGTGGTGTGAATGTGATGTTGATGAAGAGGGTTTGGAAGACGAGGTGGGTTTTTTGAGGAGACCTTGCGCCATTTTCTCTACTGATCGCAGATGGGGGGTCGAGGATGTGGATGGAGACGGGGGCGTGTAAGTTGCTCAATGTAAAGGCGGTGCCTGATGAGTGGGTGGGAAGGTAAACGGGGAGTTGCGGGAGGCCGTTGGGTGGTTTGGAAAGAAATCGGATGTTTTTTTGGGGGGGTAAGCCGGGCGGGACTTTGGGCGGAGACGTCGGGCTTGTGCTTGGCGTTGGGGAGGCCAAAAAAAAGGCGGCGAGAATTTTTGGGGTAAAAGGATGATGGAAGGAGCTGGACTGCGGGGTAAGGGTCTGGGTGTCGATGATGGTGGTCTCTCTGGTTGTATACAGAGTGAATTTGACTACGGCGGGGAACCTCATCATGGTTCTATGATTCTGCGTCGGTGGTTCGACGGGAAATGGACGGGATTGACGCATGGAAGTTCTTGATACATCTCTATCGGGTAGGAACATTGCCCCTTGGAAGTGATGATCCCCTGCAGACAATGCATATGGGTGTGCAGCCATTGGCCTGTAGATGGTCGGAAGTCCATGACCGAGAATATCAGCACCAGTAAATAAAGGAACCCCTGACAACTTGAGAGAAATCAGCTGCTCTTCGCCTTATACTCCTCCTCGGACACCTCGCCCTCCCAGCTCGTCTTCCCCAGACTAATAGCCAGATGCATCATCATGCTCCCGTCGTCTGCACCATGCCAGTGTCTCGTGCCCGCCGGACACACCACCGTGTCTCCGGTCCTGATGCGCCTAGGCTGCTCCCCCTCGTCGCAGACCCAACCGGAGCCCGCCTTCACTTCGAGGATCTGGCCGTGCTCGTGCGTGTGCCAGTAGGTGCGGCCGCCGGGAAGGAAGGTGACGTGGTTGATGTTGAAGCCTTTCGCTGTATCGAGATGCACTTGGTCCATCCAGACGTCGCCGGTGAAGGTGTTGGCGGCCTTCTTGCTGGAGGCTTTGGAGGGGTCGGTGGTGGAGGCGGTGGTGTTGGAGATGATGGTGCACTTCGTCGACATGGCTGCTGTTCTGAGATGAATAGGATAATGATCGCTCTCAGAATTATGTGTTGAAGTCGGAAGGATCTATAGTGTCTAGGTGTAGAAGGACGGTCGTTGATGATTCAGGCACGCAATTTGTGATTGTTGTTACAGGAGTAGAGTACAAGTGGGTTGAAGAAGTTGAGCCATTTCTCCAACCGAGAACGCATATAGCCGGCATCGGGCACTGGTCGGGGCACAACGGCAACTAAGGGAAATACCTACTTACTAAATACCTGTCTGGCAATTAGAGTCCTGGTTGTTTGCTGCATACAGAGCAGCGCCGGAGAAGCCTCCACCCGAGAGGTCGTTCCCAGATTCGTAGCTATAGTGGAACTCTGAAGAAGCAGCACTAGACCCCTCTAAGGTGGTCTTGACGACGCTGACTCCTGTGTTCTGGAAATGCTCACAGCAAGTCTAAGCGTTGCGAGACGCCTGCACGGCTCTACCGCTGAATGCAGGTTGAATCCTACCTCACCCTTCAGAAGCAGTAGCCGGGTCTGTATAGTATACTCCCAAACATGGTACCCCTCTGAGTTCAAGAGTCGACAAATCAAGGTTCGCTGGCAAAGCCGGCTATCGCAGTATGGCCCAGCCAACCGTCGCGGTCATCGGCCTTGGTAAGTGCGCGACCACAGCTACGCGTCTAAGATGCTCACGAATGATCAATAGGAGCCATGGGTCTAGTAACGCTCAAGAATCTCCTGGAAGAGTCGTTTGACGCTGTAGGCTTCGACCGCAATACTTACATTGGCGGTCTATGGAAGTATACTGACGCTCACACAACCTCCGTGCTGCGAACCACGCGGGTCAACGTGAGTAGGGAGCGCTGCTGTTTTACGGATTATCCGTTTCGTGAATGCACGGGGAGCTATCCTACCGCAGAGGAAGTGCAGACGTACCTGGAGGATTATGCGGAAGAGTTCGGGTTGCTGAAGAGATGCAGGCTTGGCGTGGTCGTGGAAGAGGTGAGGAGAGATGAGGCGAGGGCTACGTGGATCGTGAGAACGAAGGAGTGCGGCGAGGAGAAGGTACAGGAGTTTGACAAGGTGGTTGTATGCAGTGGCAGCAATGCGATTCCGATCATGCCACGTCTCGGTGGGCAGCAGTGCTTTCAGGGGCGTATAATGCACAGTGTCGCGTTCAAGGAGCCGGAGGACTTCCATGGACAGAAGGTCCTGCTCGTTGGCCTGGGTAATACTGCTGCCGATATCGCCAATAGTCTGGTCAGCGTATCAGACAAGATCTGGCTGAGCCATCGAACGGGTGGCATTGTGGTGGGTGTTTGGTCCAGTCTTGTCGCTAAGCCTTGACGCTGATGAGTGCGTGCAGCTTCCTCGGACGCTACCGGATGGTACGTCGCTGGACCACAACACTTCCTACCGCAAGATGTCTATATTCGACACTCTCGAGCAATATGTCCCAAGTCTGGCACAGTGGGCACTGATGAAATTCATCCACGGCGTCCAGAGCAAGATTTGGGTAATGAAACCCGAATGGCGACTCGACCCTGCTCCAACACCATCCCATAAACTGTTCATTGTCTCGGACGATCTCATCAGCAATTTGGAATCCGGGAATGTCAGCTCCGTGGCTGGAGTCAAACGAATCAAGGATGCGCAAACTGTTGAACTCGAAGATGGTCAGGTTGTAGACCCCGACACCATAATCCTTTGCACTGGATTTCGCATCGACTATTCGGTCCTGGGGTCTCATGACCCAACGCGTCACGATCTGACGGCTAACGCGGGACATAGCCCCCTACCAGTCTTGTACCGCAACCTCTTCTCGCTTGACCACCCAGACAGCCTCGCTTGTATGGGAGCGATAGTGTACATGGCGCCGGCTTTCGAGATATTTGACCTTGCCTCTATGGCTATCGCACAGTTGTGGAAAGCAGAACGAGGACAGCGTTCGCCGCGCTTTCCTCCGCAGCACGAAATGCTGGATCAAGTGAAGTGCCACCTTTCTTTTATGCGGTCGCTGCTGGCGAAAGGCGCTGGCAATCCTCGCTGGGTCCGAGGATATGAATGGCTTGCATGGATACAGGACGTCATCGGATGTAGATTGGACGAGCATCTCAGTCCTTGGTCGTGGCAGGCCTGGACCTTCTGGTGGGAAGATAGAGAGTTGTCAAATCTGATGACGCGTGGGATCCCGAGCCCACATTTTCATCGGGTATTTGATGGACAAGGACGCAGAAAGCGGTGGCCTGGAGCAAGGAGCGCCATTGTAAAGATGAATGAAGAGGTCAAGAGTGGTAGGACTAACACGTCGAAGCTCAAGTAGTCCGTCCATCGAGAATATCGTCGCACGTTCTGCCCGAAAAGCAACGCTCGTGAACTCTGTGCTCAGCCAGCATCACAAGCTAGACATTGAGCATTGTTTGATAGTGATTTGCCTGCTGAGAAAGTAAGCTTGTAGCTTGGATTGCCTGGCGGGAAGCATTAAAATGCTTTGCTGGCAGTGTAAGTCGTCGATTCGACATGGAGTCGACAACTATCTTTCCTGCCAGGATGAACTCGAAGAAGTGCAGTTAAGTTTCGACGATCAAGGTGAGCCCAGCTTCTGACGTGAATTCAGGGAGCCCGCCCGTCAATTTTATCGAACCCCTCGTAAGTACGCGAGGAGAGAAAAAGCTACGACTGAACTCGACGGCGAATTCACTGCCTGAAAGTCTGGGCAAGTTTGCATCGTTCCGGCCTTGGCAATCTTGCAGCTTTCCGGACGACATTGCAGAATACATCATCCCACCCTCAGTCGAACGCCGCCGCCGAAACCCTGCGGTACGCTCCTATCCAGAATGGACCTAACACGAGCAATTCGGCCTATTGTCTCCTCCAACCTCCTCGCCCTCCCACCACCAACCCGCGCTGTCCTCTTCCGCCTCTACCAATTCCGACCTCACCCACTCCCACGCCGCAATGCCTACAGCACCGCCACGCCGACCCACGAGCCCTCCATCCCCGCGCCCAAAGAAGGCTCTGGCCCTCTCCTGACACGACATGCCAACCGCGCCCTCCCCAACATCAATACCGAGCGCAACATCTGGCTGTACACCCTCCCCATCTTCGCGCTCATAGTCACGACCTCCGCAGTCGCGTTCTTCAACTACCAAAAATCCACCTCGTCGACCGTGTCGTCGATCCTATATGCTCTACGTACCAACACCGCCGCGCGCGAGCTGTTGGGTGACGAGATCTACTTTGCGAGCCAGGTACCCTGGATCAGCGGGGAGATGAGCCAGCTGCATGGAAACATCGATATCAGCTTCTGGGTGAAGGGCACTAAGGGGTCGGCGAAGACGAGGTTTGTGGCGAAGCGCAAGGAGAAGAGAGGGATGTTTGCGACGGAGGAGTGGAGCTTGAGGATGGAGGATGGGAGGGTGTTGCAGTTGTTGGAGACTGGCGATGTGGAGGTCAAGGGCAGCATTGCTTGAAGAGAGTGTGAAGAGTGTGGATTTGTACATTATGTGGTACAGCTCTCAAAAATGAGAGGAACGACGCCGCGTCGCATATATGCGTTGAGCTGGGTAGCCTTGCTCCATGGGCTAAATGAGCCTTGCTTCGACCAAAAATTATTTCTGCCATACGGGCAGTGGCGATATCGTATACATCTGTCGAAATGTGGGTGATGTGTCGCTGCATCGCCTCGACCCGGTTGAGAATGGCAGCTTCATCCCTGCCACAGAGGCGTTCGTGTCACAACTCAACGTGTAGTATTATAAAACAACATTTAACAAGGCTGGAATGGCACTCAATCGTCGCTCTTGACCTTTGACCCCTTAGTGTTGACACCAGTCTTTGACTGCGACGCCACGCTCTTCTTAGGCATCTTCCCAATGTTCCAGCCCCACGATCGCAGCGTCTTGACGATCTTCGGTGTAATCGCAGCCGTTATGGGCACTCGGACAAAGATGAAAGTCTTGTGGATGGCGTACGCCAATGCGAGCTGAGTCCAGATACCTGCATCTCGTTGGCCATCCGCCGTCACGGTGTCAGCAGTACGATACTTACTAGCTTCAGCTCCCGAATTCGCCTTTTCCGCATCCTTGTACCCATGGTCGGCAACCTCGTAGGCCTCATCTTCTTCCAGAATCCTCTGCTCCTGACCCGTAACCTCCTCGACCGGCTTTGCCACCTGCTTAACAGCCTGTTCCGCCTCTTCCTCAGCCTCGTCGCCGACCGTCGCCGAAACAGGCCATTTAACGAGGTCTTTGACCCAAGTCACGATCAAGTGCTCGTAATGTCCGACTACATCCGGCCCAAGCATTCGCACCGCCAGAAAGCAGAAGGGCAGATCGAGCGCCGTCAGCGCCAGATATACCCCTAATGCAGCCCATCCGTATTCGCGTGACAGCTTCTTCAGCCGCTGGGACAGACTCAAAGATTCTGACTGCGCAGTAGTTGAATTCCACCTGCGGAAACTGAAGTGGCGCGTTTGCTGGCGGAATGTTCGTGTATACGGGAGTGAGGACGGTCGCGGTGCTCTCGGTGCCGACCAAGAGAGGGGTCCGTTCGGTCTTGTACGGAATTGCTGTCGCGAGGTCTGATGTAGTTGGCGGAAGCTTTGCTGAAGGGGTTTGTTGCGGAATAGCTGCTGGAGCGCTCGCCGCTGGGCGACGCGCATAGCCTCCATGTGTGTGGTTAAAGAAGGCAATAGAAGAAGTACAACAGTATCAGGGATTCTTGGACCATGCGTCCATCGTTATAGGAACGGAAGAAAATGGCGCAGGATCAACCACGGTGCCTGGTGGCATGTCGTAGAAAGTTTCCGGAGCTTAAATCCGATGTCCCGCTGCAGCACCGGTTGACGGATAAAGAGTCGTTCGTGCACACACATGCTCCTGTGCTGAGCCCACCACTCTCACCATACGATGTGTACACACGAGTCATAACGGTAGAGAATATTCAAGGTGCAGCAGTCTGAGCCATGGCGCCCGTCCGGAAGCATATCGGCCGCGACAAGTTCGGGGCCCTGTTCGGTGCGCTGAAGACTCAGCAATATGTCGACCCTCCCACGCGCAATCCCTCCGCCACCGTGTATGTCCATCACGATTACACGCACGAATCCCAGACTGATGGAGCGATAGCCACCGGACGATATCATGGAATGTCTCGGGCGGACTGATCGCAACGGGTGCCAACGACAAGACCATACGCATCTGGAACCCCGAGCGCACAAACTCCAAGAGCCAGACAGAGTTACGAGGACACAACCACTCCGTGGACAAGGTCTCGTTCAATCCGGTCCGCGAGTTTGAGCTGGCTAGCTGCTCCTCGGACGGCGTCCGGTTTTGGGACACTCGGAGTAGAGCATGCATTTCCAAACTGCAGGTGGACGGTGATCCGTTTACCCTGACCTGGAGCGCAGACGGGAGCGTGTTGCTTGCAGGAACGAAGGCAAGGCGTATCGTCACAGCTCGAAAAGAACAGAATGCTGACCGATCAGGACGACCACCTCGTACCCATCTCGACCGCCATCCCAGCCTCGCCCACGATCTTGGACCGCTACAAGCACGACCGGCAAACCAACCAGACGGCCTTCTCCAATGCCTATCCGCCCCGAGACCTATTCATCACGCAGAGCGACGGCACCGTTAAGATCCTAGACTACCCCTCGTTCAAGCTGCTACACTCCCTCTCCGCCCACACCTCGTCCTGCAACGCCATATCCTACGCGCCCGACGGCAATCACGTTGCCATCGGTGGAAGCGACGCCATGATTTCGCTCTGGGACACCACAGACTGGGTCTGCAAGCGCACGGTCTCAAGCCCGAACTCGGGAGCCATCAGAGGGCTGAGTTGGAGCTGGGATGGGAGGTACATTGTTGGCGCGGCGGAAGACTTGGGTTCTTCCGGTGGCGATGCGAACAGCAGTGGCCTCGAGATCTACCATGCTGAATCAGGGGATGTGGTGTATACGGTGCCGACGGGGAATAGCGGCATCCCGGCCGTGGAGTGGCATCCGAGTCGGTACTGGCTGGCGTATACTCAGGTGGATGCCAATAGGAAGGGGTCGTCGTCGCTGAGGATAGTGGGCGCCGCGGGTGGGCCGACGATCTGATCTGGTTCGTCAGATCTCTTATGAAGGAGGTATATTGTCAGATTTGGATGTGGAACTGGCATACACGACGCGCAGGATACGGGGTCAGACGTGTGTTTTGTGTCTTGGGACTATTAAATATGCTGTTGAGGTACGACCAGGGTCTAGAGATCAAGTTTCCTAGTTCACGGATTTATGAATGAAACACGTACTCAAGCAAGGAATTACTCACCATTCGTAGCCGAGACCTTCTCTTGAAAAATCATGTAAGCCCGCCAACCCTTCAGTCAACCGAATTGACCGGCTGGCTTCAACGGATTGACAGTCACAAGACACTCACAACGCCATGAAGTCATTCCACACGGATCCTTCGTAGTCTCCAACAGTCAGTCTTTTTTGAACTACAGGCCTACCTTCGACTCTTCCTCTCACAGGTCGGGTCAGGTAGGTATAAACCACTTCTTCCAAAACCCTGGAGAGTATCTTGTAGTTGCCACACGTGGGAGAGCCTTGGCATTGATGCACTGCACTGGCATTTCCCCACAATGACAACGCTCCGTACAGAATCCGACGATGAAAGGCTACGGAATGACTGCGACACGGTAATAAGAAGCATGATGGATAGGGTATCATTCTCGTCAGGCTGGTTCTCGCGAGGCAGCCGCAGTGATGCCTGATGCCTGATGCTTGATGCCTGATGCCCTAAAAAGGCAACCGCCTCTTCCAGTCCAAGCATACACACCCACCATGCACAATCTGATAATGATCATAGAATTCATTCATGCTGGTCTTCGAAAGATGCTCACCATGGTCTGCCATTGCATGCACGTCTAATATCACGTGCCCGCCCCATATCTGGCTCTCCGCCCTCCGAATCCGCTACTCTCCACCTCCTTTCGTCCACGCCAGCCTCCTACACCTCTGAAGACTCAATGAAACTGGTCTTCCGTGACGCCTTTCCCCATGGCGGACGTGCTAGACACTCCCTAGAGGCTCTGTTAGTACTGTCTCGACCTCAAATACCCTCCTGAACCTCGAAGGAAAGGAGAACGGCGAAGGGAAAGGGGGGGCGGAAGCAAAACATGAGGAAAAACTCACTCCCGTGACCATCTTCAGCATATTATCCACATAATTCGCGCCACTCCACTTCTGATGCGTCACCACATCGACCTTCTCCTCCATCTCGGGCTCCTGGATCAGCTCGCCGTAGGCGCGCATGCCGCGCTGCGCGTACTGCTTGGAGAACTTGTTGGAGATGAGGGCCGTCGAGTGCAGGCCTGCAAGGGTGATGAACTGCCAGCAGTAGCCGCTGTAAAATTGAAAGTTTGTGTCAGCCAAAAAAGCCACAACAGAAGAGTTTGGGTAGGGGAAGTGAAAGAAACGTACAGCTCGCCCAGGCGCTTGATGTAGGTTTCCTGGTCCTTGGCTTCCATGGCGGCCTTCCAGTTGAAGGAGGGCGAGAGGTTGTAGGCGAGCTTCTGCTCAGGCCACACTATGATGCGGTCAGTATCTCATTTGGAGCGGCTGTGGGGGGGGGGGACAAAACGCACCTGCGTGCACGCCAGAGGCGAACTCTTCCGCCTGCTTGTAGTCCGGCAACTTGCTCTCCATCCAGATCATGTCCGCGTAGGGAGCGTAGGCGACAGCTCTGTTGATGGCGGCGGGGCACCCGCCCTGGAAGCGGTAGTAGCCTTCTCTCGTCCTCGGAGCGTCCCAATCCCAATGGATGTCCACGCCCGTGATGCCCTTTGCGATGGCGCGGGCCTCGGAGTTGCTCTTGCCCTTGGCGGCCTGCTTGTATTTCTCAATCAGGCCCTTCTTGTCGACGTGCACGCCCTCGTTAATGGCTTTGACGACCGCGTCGTCGAAGAGCATGAGGTGCGCCTGCTCGATCCACTTGGACTCGATCGCCTCGAGCGCGTCGCCCACTTTGCCCTGCTGCTCGGCGGCAACCATCAGGTCGTTGAGCGGTTGGAGGTTGGCGTTTGTGGAGCCAAGAATGAAGCCGTGGTCGCGGTGATCGATGGTCGAGGTGATGAGGGTGGCGGCTTCGGAATCGGTGCGTGCTACGGCGAGGAGGTCGACGCCCATGATGTCGGCTTGGGCTCGGATGGCGACCAGGCGGTTGATGTGCTCGTTGATGGGTACCAGGACCTTGCCGGCCATGTGCCCACACTTCTTGGTGCCGGGGGCTTGATCTTCGATGTGAATGCCCGCGGCACCCTTCTCGACGAAGAGCTTGGTGAGCTTCATAACGGCCGAGAGACCGCCATGGCCGGTGTCGGCGTCGGCGACAATGGGACGGAGGTAATCGACGTTGGCAACCTGGGAGCGCTTCTCTTTGGGAGTGGTGAGGCGTTCTTCACGTTGTTTCCGGTCGTGGAAGAGCTGCGCCATGAAGAGATGCTGGACTTTGTTTGGGACGGTGTTCATGGGGTAGTCTGCCAGATCGGGAGATGGCTCATCGGTAGAAGAGGCGGTTGAGGAGGATTGCCAGCCGGATACATAGACCGTATCAAGATACTTGTTCATTTGCGTGAGCATAGTTGGCTCTAGGCAGCCGAATGTTGCAGAGGCGGTGCGGTCAGCGAAACGCTGTTCCATTAAAACCCAGAGTTTTTCTACACCGAGTCAGCATGGCTCTTCGTCATGAGTGATGCGAAGCGCGAGGGTCACGGACTAGCCAAATCATTGCTGGGATACTGAATCTTTAGGGTGCCTCTCTTTTGCACAACTGTTTATATTAGCGATCTGAAGACGAAGCATTATCTTGACATCTTACTGGCTTCGGCGGTATAAGGTCGTTTCGTGTGTCGCCATCTTGAGTCTGTCCACCACTTCTTCACTGCTTCGACATCCTGCAAGTATAGCTGTTCTTCCTGGTCAACGTTGCCCATCTTGAGTTTCTCCGCAATTTTCGAGAGGGCTGATGTCATTTAATGGTAGTTTACAAGGATGCGGCACGTGAGAATGGAATGCTGGCCGGTAGGTGATGCTACAGCACGTAGGAACGGTGCTAGTAGTAGTAGTAGTTACAGAGAGTATGTCAAGGTCAAAGACTCACAATCACATGGGAAGAGAGGGAGCTCCAGGCTTTTTACGTCGTCCGATGATGAACATGGCAATGAGGGTCAGAGGTCATGGTTTTCCGGCCTCGCCCATTCCTGGAGATCAGGGCCAATAAGAACTGGCGGAGGGAAGGGCGAATAGCCCTTAGACCGAATTCAGCTCTGCGGATAGCGCCCGAAGCCAATCCGTGGCGCTGATGGGCCTCGGCCCTGATCAGCATCAGCAAGGCCTGTGGAGGAGGTGGAGTCGAGCGGCAGCGGCTCTTCCAGCGGGGAGCCTTCAGGCATGTGCCCAGCCTGACGACGCCGAGAAAAGTGACGTCCTTGCCCCAGATTTCCCTTCGCCCGCTGTTGATGATGTTCACCTTGGTGTCCGATGGTGGCATGCTCGGCACTTCTTAAGCGAAGCTTCCATCATAATGAATTGACTTGGTCTTCTGGTAGTTGCTTCCACCGTGCGTAGCAGTGATGGCATCGAAGATGTCGCTGACCTCCTCTCCGATCACGGTCATGCTCAGTCTGGGGAAGAGCCGAGGTTGGCGAGGCTGCAATGTTGTCGGAATTGAACGGATTCTCTCGGACAACTTCCGAGGGCGCCTTTACTCCGGCACCTCCCACGTGAGAATTCATGTCTGGAACAAAGGCATTCTCACCGACCAGACGTTGTTTAGACTCATAAATCATATTGACATCCAAGCAGGCATGGTCTACACTTTCGCCGTTCGACAAGGTGTTACCACAACATCGTCGTGATGGCGAGTTGTACTGACCCTTGTTGGAGAGCAGCAAGCTCTTAAAAGGTAGGTCTCGGCGTTGTATTCACCGTGTTGAACACAACGCATCAATCTGTTGGTGAAGATGTTAGTGCTTCACGTCATTCTGCGAAACCTTAGATCACATGAGGATAAGTGAAGGCAGGTAGGCAAGTGAATATCCAACAACATCAAAGCTAAGACCAGACAGCTGCGTGACAATTAGTCGTGACTATGACTGACCGCATGTCGCTATTCTCTGTCGCTACAACACCGCGTTCTACATTCTGTTCTCCTACGACCTTGCAACTATTCTGAATATACCAACACCCAAGCAAGCAAAGGGTCTATCTGAACAGCTCCAGCAAAGCCTCACGCTCAAGCTCTCCCTCAGAACCATGTCTACCCCCACCACCAACACCGCAGAAGACGAAGCCCAACAATTCGAGCACTTCAGAACCCGCTTCATGACTGCCGGAGCACGCAGCCGCCCCAGCATCCTGCAATTCCAGACCGACAATCGCGACGACTGGGTGAAGCTCCCGCGCGCCAAACGGCAGGAAATCATCGAGAGCTGGCAGTGGGTGTCGATGCCTGTAGAGGGCTGGCTGCCGCCTGTGCAACCCCGTTCTCCTGATTTCTAAGCACGTGAGCAAGACGACGAGGAATTGGTTTGCTTGAGTGGCCTCGATTCATTCCCTCAGCACCAAGTCAGGCGTCCAGGATTGCCATCGCCGTTCAGGTCGGAGCCAGATACGGCAGTTGTCGGTGAGGCGTGGGCGATGCTGTATGTCGCGGTATCCTGTGTGTGTAGACGGCGCATACCCAACTAAAAAGACCTCGATCGATCCTTTTGCAAGCTAGCTGCACATCACCATTTTGGGGATGCCCATTGATTTCCATATCAGCCCAGCCTATTCTGCATCAATGACTTCTCCCCATCCACTTCCTCAGAGAGAAGCCCCCCTGGCAGGCGCTGGCTGAGTACGAGCGCGGGGAGATGTTTTGCCTCCTCGGCTTGGAGGGAAGGGAGGGAGAGGTCTCTGGTGATAATGGATCTTGACTCTGCGACGGCACAAAAATGGCCTTATGCTTAAGATCACTTCTTTGAGCATGAGCGTTGATTGGTCTAAACGATACTAGCACGCGGCAGCGCTTCTGTCTACTGTCTAGCAGACCGCAAATGATATGAGGATAGTTTAAGTACTGTACTCCCTACTGCCCTGAAAGCACCGTGAACGCCCGCCGTGCGTTCGTTTCATACCCACGTCTCGTTAACCCAGCAGCCAGTCCCACTGCAACCAACACCAACGCTCAAGCAACAACAGCAACAGGACCGTCCTGTCCCTCCTCCACCTCTGCCTCTACCACAGCCTCTTCGCCCGCTTCCTGAAGCGTATGCTCATCATCGAAACCATCCAACTTGACCTCGGTGGCCTTCTGGAATTTTGCCCAGGGCGTGAGGATGCCGAGAGCTCGGCGCATGTGCATCGGCACCAGAGACAAGCCGTAGACGTATGAGGCGTTGACCCAACCGAACCTGTTTCGAACGTTAGTCTTCCGTTAAGTGTGGGACCGGGGTGCCGAAAACTTATTACCCTTCCAAAGGCGCGCCACTGAATGCGGCGCCTTGATTGCCGTACTCGGCTTCCACCCGGTGAGCGGCAGACTCGACGGTGACATTGTACTTTTCGACCACGACGCCGTTGTGGTCGACGAAAGAGGTCAAGATCATGTGCAGCCACTTGTAGGCTAGACGCTGCGTCTCGTCCACGTAACCGTACTGCTTGAGACCGCCCCAGGCGAGCATCTGATGAGGAGCCCAGCCTGACGGGTAATCCCACTGTCGGTTGGGCGCCGTGAGCTCTGTCTTGTTGTGACCGATAGAATCTGCGCTGCCACTTGCGAGCCCTCCTACGTCTTCTAGTTTCGGCAAAGCATTGAGCACCAGGGCGGCGCCCTGACGAGGTGTGGCGGCTCCAGCCCACATGGGCCAGAAAGTGGTAGCAGATTTGTATGTCGTTTGCCGCTTCCGAACAGTGTCATAGTCAAAGTACATGCCTTGCTTTTCGTTCCATAAGAATTTGTCCATGCGTGCCTTGCGCATTTTAGCGCGGCGGTCCCATGTTGCGGAGGTCTCGTAGCCGTCAATGCGGTTGGCCTCGGTTTGGAATTCGGGCGGCATTATCAACTGGTCCTTGAAGAATTGCCGGATACACCAAGCAATATCGATCTCATATTTGTAAAGACAGGAGTTGAGATCAACGGTGGCGAGGTTTGCTGCAACTTTCTCCAGCCGATATGTGGTATCATGACCACTCTCTCTGACGGCTCGGTCGTGTAAGAAGTATTCGTCTAGGTCGGGCTCCTCGACCTCATCCGCGTTGTACGCCGCGACAAATTGGTCAAAAGACATGCCGTGTTTCTCAGCATACGGTGTCAGCAGATGTGTGAAGTGGGAGGCTTCAGTTTCGGGCGGAATGCCAGCGCCACGAGGTCGATATCGGGACAAGCCAGTCGCGACATCGTATCGAGGCTCAGATGTCCAAACATTATAGTACTCCTTGATAGCAGCGCGAATAGCCAGACGCAAGAATTCGAGAGCGCCTTCCTGATGCTTGATCTTGTCGTAGACCTTCATGGCCATATCGGTGAGGAAAGGTGGCTGTGATCGAGTGAGGTAGTACGATCGATTGGCGTTCAGAATCTTGCCGTAATGCTGAATGCAGAAAGCAAAGTTGACAACCATCGACTTGGCAATCTCAACCTTGCCATTCTCCAGCAGTCCGAGCGAAGTCATGTAGCTGTCCCATCCGTACAGCTCATTGAATCGACCTCCGGGAACGATAAAGGGCTCTCCTTTCAGAGTCTCCTCCCCGTCTTCCTTCACCAGGTTCATCGCTAGAGCAAGGATACCAGGGGTGCCGTTGAGTGATCGCACGAATCTGGGATCGTCGACACCATTTTCGGGTAATTTCCTCACATCGAGATTGATCTCGGGGCGATCTCGTGCCACCTTGCAGTAATAATCATACTGCTCGGGGCAGCCGTGAGGTACGTAGATTCGCGGACGTGGATTTGGAGTGCGATCCTTGGGATCTTTACCAGCTTTTGCAATCAGGTCACCGTCGAGGCGGCGTTCCAGATTCTTCCAGAACTCGTCACGAATGCGGCGCGACAATCTGTTCACCGGATTCTCATTTAGGCGTGACCGATGAATCTTGACGACCTTCTTGCCCAGCGCCTTAGCTAGTGTCAACTCCTGCAAGAGATTGCTGATCATGTAGTTGCCTCGAACATCCACACTGCGAAACCCCGCCGAGCCGAATGTACCGAGATTGATATGTTTGGGGCCATGGTCGTCGATGGTAATTTGTTGGTCACCATTAATGTCTTCGCGTTCATGCAGATCGTTCAATGTCGCTTCAACGTCAACCAGGAGTTCCTGGTGCTGCTGAGACCACTCATCGTGACTTTGGCGACGCGCAGGGTAGTTGGATCTTGTGGGAGTGAGTGTGAGCTGGCGTGTAGACTTGATGTAGGAGTTTATGGATCTGTTGCTTCCAGTACCTAGCAACTCCTGTCGTACCGCATTATCGTTGTCATAGTAGACAGCAGGTGACGAGTATGGGTTTCGGCGCTCAAGGCTGGTGGATCGTTGGCGGGCGTCTCCTCCTAGCAAGCTCATGGGCGCAAAGAAAAAATTGAGAAAGCAGACAAGGTATCCAAGGGCGATAGACCAGAACAAGGAACAGAGTCAACTTGAAATACAAGAGGAGTAAGGAAACGTAGGAACAATTGCGAATGTGTCGAGGTTTGGGAACAATGCAAGATCGGGGTACCGGTACGTCACTTGATGACTTGCATGGAGGAAGGTGGAAACTGGAAACCTTTGTTGTTTTGACGGTCCAGTAAACGCCTGCCCAACCCCAATAAAAACAGATAACGGAATACACGCAGGCGGGATTTGAGCATCAGACAAGACCCCCCCATCGACTCGGCGGCCTACGCAGGCCTGTGATAGTGGCTAAAATTTCCTTAAAAATCCTCAGCTACGGCTTCTAAGCAGAACTTGGAGATCGGCCCTCTCCACACCGCAAGAAATCTCGTACTGAAGGCGGGACTGGCACACCCGCAACATCAACCCCAAGGCTCTAGTCGCGGATCCCTGCGGCTCTAGAACGGGTTTGCGGAGCTCGGTGTTGCCGCATGGATGGTGTGTCGGTGCTATACTCGGCTGAATGCAAAATAGTACTGCTCTGCACGGCCTGGCAGTAACTTGGCGCCCAAGAGCAACGGCAGCATGACTCTTGGGTGTTGAGGGCCTGCTGTAAGTTTGTATTCGTGCTATATACCAGTGGCGACTACTGCTCATTCTTCCTCGCTCGTCCTACTGGAAACGCCAGTCCGCCCCATTCGATCAGCTAGGCTCATGCTATTGAAGTTGCTCTTGTGAATGTTGTTGACAAAATCCGCGCGACCACCATACTTTGCATTCCGCGCCCGAGCACTATCATCTTGTTCAGCAGCAGCCTTGTCTCGAGACTCGATTTCGGCCAGTCTCCTTTCTCGCTGATTGTCGAGCTCGGCCGCATCATGTTGCATTGCCGCTAGTTTCGCAGCTCTGTCGTCTGTCTGCGGCCCTCCATCACTCTTATCTTTTGAGGATCGAGACTGAGACGGCCGTGGCGCATACCAGCTTTGCGTTTTTCTGACTCCGCCATTTTGCTCCTGTCTCTTTTCGCGATAAGGTGATCTAGAGCCTGACCTGGTTCGTCTTCGCTCCTCGGGTGAATAGGACCGCCTACGACGGTATGGGGAAGCTGATCGTTTGGACCGGCGGGGAGATCTTGAGCGCGAGCGGGAATATGAAGGTGATCTTTGTCGCTGCCGCGGACGCTCGCTCCTATCCTCCCTATCGCCGCGTTCTCGGGATCTGCGCCGCTTATGCCGATCTCGACTCTCGTCTTCATCCTCGTAAGCACGCGATCGATGGTGCCTATGCCTATCGTGATCAACTCGGTGTCTGTGATGATGTTTCCGCCGCTTATGATCTCGGTCTGACGAGCGCGGCTCATCTTGACCCGCGGCTTTGAGTAGTAGCTTGCGCTTCAGAGGATCGTTCATCATGGCCTCGTAGGCCGCTTGTTCCTGCCTTTTGATCGCAAGCATCGGGTCTTCTCGTATTTTCGAAGCGGTGTCCCGAGCTGTGTTGGCGCTCTGCATGGCCATGAATGATTCTTCAGGCGCAGCTTTCTCCAGCTTCTGGTTCTCATTTCCCTTCAGAAGACCATCGATTCGCCTCTTTCCTAGAAGATAGCCTTCCATTTCCTCGGTCGTTCCGACCTGGCCGCTGGAGGGGCCACTGTACATCCATTCGACCCTAGATTGTCGCTTCTTGCCGCCTGCGGCCTCTTGCAAGTCTTGCAGCTCCTGTATCTGTCGCTCCTCTTCCCGCTCACGCCTGATTTGATCAATCTTCTTTCGCTCTTCAAGTGCTTTCTGCTCTTCTTCCCACACCCTCTTCTGATTGCTCATGAGCACTGGGTGCCATGACTTCTTGAGATTGAGATCGCCACCCATCTTAGGGACTGCCGCGGCAGAACGACCTCAATAACCAGAAAGGAATATGGATCTTCGATCGATCCAACTCGTAGCCACTCGACGGGGCCGAGCGCGGACACAACGTATATGAGCGGTTCGGTGGGAAGTCGCAGTAATGCGGTGAAGAAATATGGGGTAAAAAGTTCCAAGATGGCATTTGCCTTGTGGCCTCGCGCACAGACCAGTCGTTTATCGATAGCAGCCTAACCACGTCCGTTCAGGTTTTGACCGCAAATCGTTAAGTGACCGGTAGTAGTCTTTGCGCTGTTTTTACCACAAGAAGATGCCCATGTCGGATGCTGAGGTAAAGCGTCTTGCTTACTCTGAGTATTGGAACGAGCGTTATGCCGAAGTGGGCTCCGATGGCCAAGTGCACGAATGGTTTAGGTCTTTTACCGATCTCGAGCCGTTCTTTACCCGTCATCTATTTCAAATACGAGGGCCAGAAACATTGCCAAAGATCCTGCATCTAGGTTCGGGAGACAGCGTAATTACTCGATTCCAGATCTCGTACTCGGTGTGAATACTGAATCTACAGCAGACCATACCCCAAGATCTATTCAAAAGAGGCTACACCAATCAGATTTGCGTGGACTTCTCCTCAGTCGTTGTCGAGACCATGTCGAAAAGGCACGCTGGTATAAGTGGCATCACCTGGATGCAGACCGATGTTCGCAGTATGGATCAGATCTCGTCGGAATCCATCGATGTCGCGTTCGACAAGGGGACATTAGATGCTATGATTCATGGCAGCCCCTGGAATCCTCCTGCTGATGTTCTGGAGAACACTGGTCAATATCTTCGAGAGGTATGTTGGAATTCCCTGCCGGTCCGATTCATGCCCCTGCATAGAGTTAACCACGTCTATTCTCCAGGTCTTCCGTGTCTTAAATGTTAATTCCACGTTTCTTTACGTCACATACCGTCAGCCTCACTTTGTAAGACCTCTCCTTAATTGCGAAGGCGTCGAATGGGATTTGAAGATGGATGTTCTGGGTGGTACAGACAACACCTTTGACTATCACGGCTTTGTCCTCAAGAAGGTTGCATCATCAGTAGCCTCGTCAAGCGGGCCCAGCTGACGACAGGAGCCTACGCCATCGTGATGATTGATACGATCGTACAAGCCTTGCTCGTCTTTTGGAGTCCAGGTCGACCATCCCGTGAGACGTGCATCAGTGCTCCCAAGGAAACGCAAGGATACTCAGCAACCTTTGCTGTAGGACCGAAATTTCCGGCCTGACCAAAGTGCATTGAAGCTGCTGCGACTTACCCAGCAGTATTAATGTCAACAGCTGCAAACCGTAGAGTCTTCATCTCTGCTTCATCTCCGAGGCACTGAAGTTCAGAGGTGTCCCGGCTGCCGGGCGGCAGATAGAGAGTTCGCAAGCGGCTGTTGATGCCAATGCCTGGCCGACTCAAACGGTCCCACGCGAGCTCCAGGACCTATCCCGAATCGAAAGCGTTGCGGAGCAGTCGCCTCTCTGCACAAGGTGTCCCATTGATAAGACTACACCTTGCATGACGATGGCGTGTTGAGCCACATCATATCTCTCCACGGCGACGAGAACTCTTCCTCCCAAAACAATTTGCTGAAAACCACTGACCATGCGATGCCACGATTGCAGAGTGGAGATTCTGAGCCACGATCTCACGAGCCACTGGAATTTGGAGGCGGCGGTAGACGGTGTCCTTCAAACTGTTGCACGCGATGACGCTGAACATGTCTACTAGGGTTTTACTTCGCTCCTCATCTTGGGCGACACGATACCTTCGTTGCAACACCTGGCCGAAGTTCATAGCTTCCATGGGCAAATGCAACCTAACAGCTTTATCAGTCAAGACAGCATCTGCTGCACCTGCGCCATGCCCTTACCGAGGCTCGTCTGCGGCGAAACATCCATGCCGATTGGAGTGTCTCCTCGAGTATTGTACGCGGTTGCGAAGTGGGCGGGGCGAATCCGGGGCAAACGAGGGAGATCAGATATCTTGGCATTATGTACTTATCGATAACGCGTTTCCGTTAGGCATCATAGTCGATCCCGGTGCTCTAGAGAAGTGAACGCGCACACTTCGCCAACTGTCCAACTGATCTTTGGGTACATCTTCAGTGCATTCCTTCCATCCCTATGCATTCGCCAGTCAGTACCATCGACACGCAATCGCATTGCTAGAGAGGACTGGCCATATCTAGCTCTTCCCCACTTCTCTTCCTTGAACGCACTTCAGGATGTCGGACGACGATGATTTCATGCAAGATTCAGACGCCGAGTATGTCTGGTCAGCCGAACTCTGGCGCCTAACGTTGACAATTCCACAGGTATGACTTCGAGTACGAGGATGATGACGAGCCAGAGGGTGGTGATGTTGATATCGAGAACAAATACTACAATGCTAAGCAGCTCAAGGCTGACAGCCCGGAAGAGGCGGTAGAAGAGTTCTTGGGGGTACCTTCGCTCGAGGAGACGAAAGGCGACTGGGGCTTCAAAGGTCTCAAACAAGCCATCAAGCTCGAGTTCGCGCTCGGCCGTTACGAAGATGCGGTCAAGCACTACAAGGAGCTCCTCACCTATGTCAAGTCGGCCGTGACGCGCAACTATTCCGAGAAGTCCATCAATAACATGCTCGACTACATCGAGAAGACGGCTTCGGATCAGACGGCCTACAAGTGCATGGAAGAGTTCTATTCGTTGACTCTTGAGACCTTCCAGGCGACCAATAACGAACGACTAGCCCTCAAAACAAATGTCAAGCTTGCGAAGCTGTATCTCGACAAGAAAGAGTACAACCAGCTCTCAAGCAAAGTCCGCGAGATCCATAAAGCCTGTCTGAGGGAAGATGGCACGTCCGACCCCGGCAAAGGCACGTATTCTCTCGAGGCATATGCGCTAGAGATTCAGATGTACGCCGAGATGAAGAACAACAAGAGATTGAAGGCGATCTACCAGAAGGCGTTGACCGTCAGGTCTGCTGTGCCTCACCCCAAAGTCCAGGGTGTCATCCGGGAATGTGGAGGCAAGATGCACATGAGCGAGGAAAATTGGAAAGACGCCCAGAGCGACTTTTTCGAGTCGTTCAAGAACTACGATGAAGCGGGTTCCATGCAGCGTATCCAGGTCCTCAAGTATCTGGTCCTCACCACCATGTTGATGAAATCAACCATCAACCCGTTCGATTCCCAAGAAACGAAGCCGTATCGAAATAACCCACGCATCTCGGCCATGACTGATCTGGTTGATGCATATCAGCGAGATGACATCCACCGCTACGAATCGATCTTGCATGACAATCAGGACTTACTCGAAGACCCTTTCATTGCGGAGAACATTGATGAGGTCAGCCGAAATATGCGCAGCAAGGCGGTCCTGAAGCTGATTGCGCCGTATTCTCGCTTCACCTTACGATTCGTGGCCAAGCACATCAAGGTCACGGAAAGTGAGGTGCAAGACATCCTAGGCGTGCTGATTGTGGACAAGAAGCTCAAGGCGCAGATTGATCAGGAGCATGGCACAGTGACGGTAGGAGGCGAGAACTCGGAGCATCTACAGCGTCTGCGTGATTGGACCTCGGCTATGGACTCTCTCTTCACTACCGTTCTCAACGATGGTGAGGGATTCAAGATCAACGACAGCCAGTCTGCACCTGCTGGGGACATTGCGTACTCGAGTCCATTGGAGAGTAACATTTCTCTTGCAGCCCGAACGCACGGCAAGAAGATGGGAGGTCGAGGCCGTGGTGGAAAGGGTATCATGTCGTATTGAGCTAACGCATAGCCACGGCCAAGCACAAATAATTGCAATTTGGGCCAGGGGAGGGGGGGTATTCAAAGACTGGCTAGACATTCGCCAGGGTCTATGCATGTTGGGTCGGCAATCGAGCTTCAACTGCCGCCACCGATCGCTTTCCAGATCAATTCGATCGCCAACAGGAACAGGCAGGCCCGAAGCGGACGGGTACGAGACGGACCGCCTGTGCAATGCGACGCTGATACGACAAAATGTCAGCAAGGCTCTGTCAGCGGCCGGGTGAGTGCAACCACCCTTGACAGAACTATCGAGAAGTCAAAGGCCTTTGACAGGGACAACAGCGGCACCAGTATGCTGCTGAGAATACGAGAACAAACGAGCTTTGAAAAAGTGGCCTGATGATCTGCAAGCACACCAAGTTTGACATACATGACGGACTGACAGTCCCAGTTGTACAGGGATTATTAAGGAATGAGACAGCATGTCCTGGGATTCCCCGGCTAGGCGGTGCCTGGACCCTGAGGGCAGAGGGCGCTCATGCATCTTCATAAGCGATTTTGCAGCCTGATTGGCTGCTGCTGGACCGCAGCGGGAGCGTGGACGTTGAGACGCGATATGGACATGGGCTGAATATAACAGGTCACATTTTCCTATCCCGCCTATCTGTTGCCGCCGCTGCAGTTTGCTTCTTACCCTAGGTGATGTCCAGGACACGGCGTGCACTCTGACCAGTCCAGATGGTGATACTGCCATGACTACTCTGACAAGGCAATTTGCTGGCCTTGCCATTAGCACCTGTCACGTAGAATGTCAAGCAGGGGTCGACTGTCATTGACGCTAGCAGCCATGCATCGCGAACCATGGCATCCACAACCTGTACACCAGTCGCGCAATATCAGGCATCTCGTGCAGCGTGAACGGTATTGTGGGCACGGAAACTATGTTCCGGAGGCGGAATGGGTGCCAACAATGGCGGTGGCCACGCACAAGTCCATGTTATGACCAGGGGAATAATCCTGCAGTTTGACCAAGAAGAGGGGCTCGTTTTCGACACTAATGTTAGTTTAGCCCCTTCGGTCCTGACGATCGAGATTCTGTACAGTAGACTGTGGTCTGGACTAGCCCTTTTTGCAGGCGAGGGCAGAAAGTACTGCGTTGGGTCACCCTGGACGAGCAAGCTGCCACGGCTGCACGCGAATCCACGACTGTAGATAGCGTGCACTGCCAGACCATCAAGGGCACACTTCTGTAGAGACCGAAATTCAGTGCCGACAGATAGCGCACAGCAAGGTGAGGTCATATCATGAAGCCGGCATCGATGGTCCAGCGGCACCCTCTCGCCTAAGAAGTGGGGTTTGCCTCTTTGACAGTCATCCCCGGTGATGCCCCTGGTGTTCCTGTGGTTTAAGCAGTGGCAAGCTGATCAGACGAGGATCTGTTCTTGGGCTTCGCTGCGTAACGGCGGATTGGCCAATCACATTTGACCAGGACCAGTTGACTGCTTGTCGCTGTCTCCAACCCGCCGCCTCAACATCACCCCTCCATCATCCTCTCCTCCTCCCGCCACCAGCTGCAATCCGGACAGCGCTTCCGCCATTTCCTCCTCCACCCGGTCCATCGTTTGGCGCTGCAGGAAACATATCAAGCTTCCCCTTTCGTGTCAGAACCTCGTTAGCGGCTCGTCTACCTTGACCAGAATACAGGCACGACCTGCCATTTCCCCCGTCTAGTGGCTGACTGCCCACGCAGCTCGCCCTCGTGTTGGTCCAAATATTTCCGTTACTTAGCCCGGTACCTACTTGGTTGCGCCATCTACCAGCCCAAGCCGAGGTGCTCATCTTTGCCTTCTCACCATCCTAGTCCGCTGGACCCCGGTTCGCTCCCGTCTGTCATCAACCGCCACCTGCCTCTCTCTTCCACTGGCCCTACACCCAGGGATATCTCGTTGACAGCGACTTCTCCCCGCATAGACAGCCGTGCAGCCGTCCCCTCAAACGTGCTCATCCTGTCGAGACCCGTTCTTACCTCCCGAGAGCTAGCGATTAGCGAGGACTGTGTCATCAGCGCATGGGAGTGCGGGCTAATCATTCCAGGCTTGCCAAGGCCTAGCCAGGATCGCTGAGGAAATAACGCTCGCACGCGACTGGGTGCCTCTGCGCTACTGACTGCATGTTCCGGATCGGCGTTGTCAGATCAGTACAAGACCTCTTTATTCTCTTCCGAGTGTCAAATTGAACGTAAGTCCACCACACCTCTCCCATCCAACGTACTTTGTGCACCATTTTGTCAGATGCTTTTCTTGCACCTCGAGTCAGGTCTTGTACTCCTCAATGGCATGTTACTTCCCTCCCATGAGTGACTCATTAGGACGTGGGTTTCAGTTGCCACCCGGCTCGTTACATATGCATCAAAAGCCAGCTGAGTTCCTCATACAAGGCTCTCGCTACCACCATGCCCATTCGACACAGGCCAAGTTCATTAACCACGGTGGACCTTTGCAGAATCAGTACACCGCTAAAGAACCCTATCGACAGCCGTATTCCAACATGGTGGCGCCAAATCCGGATGAGATGGAAGAATTCCAGCGAGCCTCCGACAAGTATCAGCCAGACCTTCCAGTAATGTCGCCGACCGTCCGTCCACCCAGATTCTCCTGACACTGATAGGGTCCTTTCATCAGTGAAAAACTGCCCATTTCCGCCTTGGCTACCGAGTATGCAGAAGCAGATCCCAGATATGTAGCCAAAACGACGGTATGGAGCTCATCTACCAATCATTGGCAAATGCTGATTCACCAGTCCCTCGCAGTTGGCTACGACGCATATCGTCAAGTCAAAGGGGATGGCCAATGTGGTTGGCGTGGTACGTATGAGCTGCATACTTGGTAATGTGACTGACAAGCTGCAATAGGCGCGGTTTTCCGCTACTTCGAGATCATCGCCGAGTCCAAAGACCATGGCTTAGTCACAGTGGAAGATACTCGCATACGTTCCTTCGAAGACACTATGAAGATGGTTGGCATTGACTACGACCTCCTCGTGGATTTCTTCGAGGAAACTTGGGCGCTCTTTGGCGAGATCAAAACCGCGCTCGAAAACAACACACCGGTCCTGCCCGTTGTCAACGCAGCATTCAACGATGAGAACCGCTCAAATGCCATTGTCTACCACTTCAAGATGATGACAAGCGCCTACATGCAGCTGCATGCCGATGATTTCGAACCATTCTTGGAGATGCCACTACAAGACTATCGCCAAGCACGAATCGATCCAACCAACCAAGAGATTGATGAGATCGGCTTGCAAGCATTGAGTCGAGGTGTGTTCGCCCCGTCTGGTTTTGCTGTTGAGGTTCTATATCTGGACCGGAGCGTGGGAGATGAGGTGACGCCGCACGAGTTTATTCCTGGTGTACCTGGAACACCAACGATCAGACTACTGTACAGACCGTAAGTCCGACTCCCCGTCAAGTGAATCCCAAGTACTGATCTTGGCAGTGGTCACTACGATCTGATCTACAAACAAGACTCAAGTGTCACCGTTCTGATGACGAATGCGCCGATGCAGCCGCAGCAGATGCCTCAGAATCTAGATGAATCGTACCTCGACGATCGACTCTACGAGTACATGTTCCCCGGCACTCACATGGACCCAAGCTATCAAGCCACCGCCAGCTATCACTATAACCAGTCCCCCAGCTACAACTATCCACCCCAGAGGCACTATTCTCAGGATTCAGGGTACAATCAAGCCAACATGTACGGCACACAGCCGTTCAGCATGCCCCCAAGCCAACCGGTCATGTTCCATCCGACAGAATCGACCCCAACTCAGACTCCTGCCTACTATGCTTCCTCGCCTGAACCATATCAGTCGTCTCCAACACCGACTGTTGTGCCAAGCACGCCAGGCCCCACCGTCGCCATATCACCGACGTCAGGAGAGCCTGCCATTCGACATAGCGAGTTCAGTTCGGCCATACGTGGGCCACGCCGTGTTCAACATCTGAACATCCCTCTAAACCCTCGGACGTTCGGCAGGTGATTCATGTCTGGGGATCTCGTCGCGTGCGCTGCTGACCACTTGCTACAGTTCCTCTCAAAGCCGAGCCCATTTCACCAACCCGGACTTTGAGCCAGAGCCCTGGGACCCCAAGAACGACCTGAAGAAATGATAAAGTTCGCCGATAGAGAACGATGAGCAACCCCGTGTGTAGAGGGAGCATCCTTGGAAGGACAATCCCCAATTGCTGCTGACCCTTAGAGAGGCGCGAGTCCAATCAAACATTTGAGAAGGCCACATTATTTAATCTCGGCCCCAAAAAATGGAGACCGAAGAACAGATGACCGAAATTCGGATGAGCATGAGATGACCGAAAACGTGGATGACCGGAAGAGTTTGTGAGATCACCCAGTCCAGAATGCTTTATCGGTAGCTTTCAGACGCCATGAAGCGGTCAAGTGGCTAAGAGAAAAAAAAGACTGTGCGGGAAACCAACCATCTGGCCGGTCAAAACCAGCATGGAAACCCCGCGACCATTTGTCGGCTGGCGGCACTTCTAGCAGCCAAACTAGGTTCCCCATTGTCCATTGTCCATGGACTGGATGTGGATGTGGATGTGGATCGTTGGGCGATGCCATCGGCTGTAATGATGGATGAGTGCTTGCTTAATAGAAGCATGTCAGTTAGAATGTGAAAGAGACTTTTTTTCCTCGTCTCCTCTCCTCTCCGGCCCAATTGAACCCCAGTCCCATGTTTCGCCTGTATCATTTTTTCTTTTTTGGCAGCAGCGTATTCAGAAAGGTAGTGGCGGTGGTAAGTGACTCTTGTCGCCATATAGGTTTCGCCGAGAGCAATTTTTTTCTGATGGCCCGGGGCCCGATATCTCGGTGGAGAGAAGTAGAGAAAAGACGCTTCATGGACGACCGCGCCCGATATGTTGCTTTGATTATGACGGATGCCCTGACCAGAGCAGACCAGAGCAGCTCATTCTCTCCTGGGTACACTAGCTCGCTCACCCAGTTCAGTCATTTGCCCAGCACCGTTGCGATGCGTTTCGTTTCGTTCCGAGTCGGCGCATCATGCTTGTGTATGCGTTCGTGTGAGAAAGAGGGGGACAGAACGGTCACTCGTCCCCTGTGCTGTGCTACCGTTTGCATTTGCTCCCACGCTTGCCCTGCGCCGGCCGATGCGCGTGTTCAAATCACCTGTCCAAGCATTATCCAGTCGAGATTGGCGGCTTCAGCTCTTAATCCCCCTTTCCTCTTCCACCATCTCCTCAATCCTCAACACTCCCGTCTCTAGATCCCGCACATCCCCCTCCGCGAGCTCGAGCTCCAGCGTGCGGACTCCCTGCACCGTCTCCTTTCCACTGCCACTCATCTCATTGAGACCAAGAACCAGCTCCTCCGCCAGCCTGTTCGCCACGGGCCCAACGTGTGTTTGGGCTGGGTCGGCGCCTTCGCGCGTCAGCCACGTGGTGCGTTTCCCTTCGAGGCCGCAGGCGACGATGCGGCCGAAGCCCCATGAGAGATAGCCTTTTTCCTCGGCGTCGCTGCTGCCCCCGTCTTCCCCTACCACTGCCTCGGCATTGGCATCGGTATCGGCACTGGCACCGGCAGGAAGCGGCACCGGAAGCTGGTCATCAAACACAAACCTCCCCCTCTCCGCCTCCTCTATCCCCTCATCCCTCACATTCAACCCCAGCCCATAGCCCCCCACCCCCCTCGAGACCTGCACGCCCAACGCACAGATCTTGCGGTCACTTGCCCCTCCCTCCCCGTCATCAGTCAGCATCCAGACGCCAGGATCCCCCGCGCTGCGCCCCGTCGCCCTCCTCCTCCGCTGTGTCAATTGGTTTCCAGTGGCGAGGAAGGCATCGCACGTCCGTATCACGGCGCCCTCGAGCAAGGAGACATAGCAGCGCGCTGAGAGGCCGAAGCGGCGTAAATCCACGAGCGGGAAGGCGGTGAGTTGTCCCGGGCCGTGGTAGGTGAGGAGGCCGCCGCGGGAGGAGGCGTGGAAGGTGGCGGCGGTGGCGGAGCGGGTGAGGAAGGCGATTTGTGAGGGAGATAGAGGGTGCTGTTGGAGGTGGCGGCGGCCGACGGTGTAGGTTGGGGGGGTGGTGAAGGTTAGGAGGATTGGTGGTGGTGGTGGGGGTTTGTGGGTTGGGGTGGGGGCTTTGAGAGCCGCGCGGTGCCGCCAGTGCAGGTTCAAGAGAGAGTCTTGGAGGCGGAGGGCGGTGGTGTACTGGATGCGTGAGGGGAGCCGGATGTGTAGCAGCTTTAGTGGGTGTGCAGCGCCTGTGGCGGGCGAGGGTGGTGCCATGAGAGGTCCTTGACTTGACTTGGACCAAACTTTGCCGGGACGGCGAAAAGTCGCGCGTGGAGGGCGAGCGCGCGTCACGCCGTTGATAGCATCAGCTGGATGCCCCGAACGGTCGTTGTGATCGTCAACAAGCGCAACACTAGGGTGCTTGAGATATGCGAAGCCCAAAGGGAAGATGCGATTTTGAGGACATGCAAGCAGTTTGACGTACAAAACGTGGCGATCACTCGATCTTTTTGATGCCCCTAAAGCCAACTCAGCAGGCGAGGGGGTGCAGCTAAGATAGGGCTATAGCGGATCGGCCCGTCCTTTTCCGGGCCCGGGGGGGATGTAATTGTCAGGCGCCCAGCGTGCGAAATAAAGACTGTTCGCCGCCTTGGTTCGGCTGGTGATGAGATAACTTCCTGTAATGCCCAGACTTGCTCCGAATGGGAGGCCTGATGTGCCTCTTTTTTTGAGGCACAGCAACGAAAAGGGCGTCGGATGAGGTCATTAGGACGAAGCGCCATCTTTGCGCGGCGGCTCAGGATCTCGACTTGTATTGGGAATGCAAAGGGAGAGGAGATCTGATTTTGAATTAAAGAAACAAGTGTCTTCATTCGAAGTCCATGTACCTTTCTCCTAGATAAACATTGCAACTATTCGACATTGAAGAGCATAATATGGGTATCCTAGCCATCACAAACAAAAGATCCAAAGTCCATAGACATGCGTATATCCTCTCTCGACTCTGCAACGATCGTAAACGCCTGGGTCGAATCTTCTTGAGGCCTTCACTTCCGCCGGGGGCGGTCCTCGACTACCGTCTCCTTTTGGTCCAACCCTCAGGAATTATTGTAGCGACTGCCTGATTACCATGTAGAGGTCTGCCGAGTACTCTACCTTCCGTATTGAGTCCGGACGGGGGGCTCTAGGGCCAAGTCCTCTTCATCTCGCGTTGCATGTTTTACAGGCAATGAACAGACCGTTCGATCGTAATTCGTAAATCATCATCGGAGGTTTCCGCCCTTTCATCTCCCCGCAGGTAGCTCCGACGCAAAGTCTCTGGGATTGTAACGATACTGGCCTGGAGCTTGCTCAACTCTCGGACTAGAAGAGCTAGCTTGTGAGCCACCCCATCCAGAGCTGGCCTCTGTACCTCCGTGAGGGGTGCTCTGAGGTCGCGAACCAAGATTGTAACCGTTTTCGCCCGAAAGCTCCGAATATGTTGAAGCACGATGTCCTTGTGACTGCATGTTTGGTGATGGCATTGGGGAACGGTGATTGAAGGATGTATCGCCCTCCATTTCGATTGCGAGGCCGGGATTACTGTTGTGGAACTGCTGCGTCGGAGCCTGGCCTTGACCGGGTACCGAACCCATCATCTCCATCATGTTGGGGTGAGGAATACCTGGGCTGGGTTGAGGCTGAAGAGTGCCATTGTTGTATAGTGCTTGACGCAGCGACTCTTCCCGCTTCCGGAGAACGTCCGAGCTTGAAATCATAGTATGGCGTTTACTGAAAGGATCCTGACCGGGTCCAGGCGAGTAAGGTACCTGACCTGTTGCAGACAGGCCAGGTGATCCAGGTGGTTGAGGCGAGTGACCGGCCATGTTCTGCTGCTCGTCCTGAAGCTTGTGGGCATCCATCATTTGTCGTAGGATCTCGGCATCAATGAGCTCTGCTTTCTTGATCAGGCGCGCAATCATGACTTTAGAAGCTTCTTTCATTCCCTTTTTGACAAAGGATACCATAGTAAAGTTGCACTTGATCTCGATATCTTCGCGCAAGTAAAGGCCATCGGCGGGTGCCTGACTACCGAGCTCACGGGCCTCTGGCGGCTCACCTGGCTGGTTCCCACGGATGGAGTACTTGACGCGCAGATCGACACCGCCGGGAACATAAACGTGAGTCTGCAGACCCCAGGGCATGTCATGGTAGACACCTCTGAAGCTAATCTTGCCCGAGCCCAGCTTGCCGGTACCGGGTATAATCTGTATTCTTTCGGTGATCTCGTACCATGTTGAGAAGTATTCGTCGGCCGGAGCGTCTCTTGGAGGTTTAATCTGGTTGTAACTGAGGACGAGTGGGTTCAGTTCGATGAGCTCGCCGTGGCTGTGGAGCATGTCGATACCCAGCTGGCGGGGAATATGGGATGGGATTGGGGTCACCTGGGTGTAGGCGACCTTTCGAGGCATTGCGACGGTGGACGATGATGGTGGTGGTGGTGGTGAGGAGTAAGCGATTGCGATATTTGTTCGAGAAGGACGTTTGTCTCAGTAAAAGGTGGTCGAAATTAGCTGCTGACCTGGGCGGCGCAGGGCTGATGTGGTTTGGTTCGGATGTTGCTCACTGCCGGCTGGCCGATGATGCAACAGCCAAGCTCAAGGCGATTATCGGTGTAGCGATTACGCGGCTGCGATTCAAGAAGTGTTGGCGGTGTTGATAATGACCAGGAATCCTTTCGCGAAGAAAGCGAGACGTCGAGAGTGCGTAGTGAGCCTTCGGTAAGCAGAGGGTAGAGGATTACGGTGGTGAGTGGGCGATCCTGTAATCATCTCTAGGTAGGATTGCTTCTAAGTTAAAGCCCGGCTGACAGAGACTCTAGTCCTTCTGGGCATAGTCTGTCCCTGCTTAAGGCGGAGCAAACGAGATGCGATTAGCTGCTCCAGGGGGTTAGTGGAGAGAAAACCTACCCTCCTGCTTGGACGCTTGGATGCTCAACCAGGGTTAGGCCTAAGAATAAGACGGATCATCCCCACCGAGACTTGTCGGATTTGGGCTCAACTCATTCTTACATAGAGGCCGGCCCCCGAACAGCCTCGTCGCTGCAGACCGGCAGGCTACCATTTCGCGGAATAAGTCGCGTTGGGATACAGATAAGCTTGTCTTCGGTCTTTTGGTCGCAACATGCCCTTGAGAAATCAATGCGACGGTCGTCGGCGAAGGCAGCAATGATTTCGCGTTCTGACGGGTGGCTTGGGCTTGTCGTTTGGCATGCTTGAATTAAGAAAAGATGGGCGGCCATGATGAAGCCATCAGGGGCTACGAGCCGCAAAACGTCATTATCGTCGCAGCCCTGGTTGCTGTTGGGCTCAGTCAGGAGTACATACAGTATGGGCTTGGATGTTATTCATAATTCCTGCGCCCGAATTTCATCCTAACTCTAGAGCACGGCCGAACAGGCGACTGGGGGCTGAGGCCTGTGCCCAGACCGTGGTACCGAGGTACCGGGTCTCCGGCGGCTACTCACCAACACCGAGACCGTCCCGTCAAGCATCAACGACACCTTGCAAATAAGCATTGATGATATTCATGAACTGACAACCCTTTCGCGAACCGCCGGCCGCAATTATGGCGGGTCCTGTGGACGAGGTCAACGCTTTGCTGAAGCAGATGGCAGTCGAGAAGGTCGCCGAAGATGTGTTCATTTCCAAGGAACCCCCGGCCCGCATGGGAAATAAGAGTAAATCCCCCTTTCGACGGCGCAACCCGTCCCTATGCTGACCGTGGTCCGTTACCAGAATCAATTGCTTACGGCGGTTGCACGAGAGCCTTCGCCATGAATGCTGCCAGCCAGACCGTGAAGACGGGGTTTAATCTCTACTCTTGCCTCGGATTCTTCCTGGGCCCGGCCAGGATTGACCGGTCGGTCAAATGCACTGTTTACAGAATTCGAGAGACCAAGTCTTTTGCTACTCGACGAGTAGTCGTATCGCAAACCTTGCCTGACGGTTCGGAGCGGAGATGTCTCGAGGTCACCGCTGATTTTCAGGCTACCGAACCTGCTGCATTCATGGTGTTCCAACCAGCACCTCTTCGCCAGTATCAGATGCCGCCGCAGGTACAATCCAAGTCAGAGGCACGCGATCACTTTATTGCTGGTGGGATGGCGACGGAACATTCGGGCACTCGTCTCGATGACATGTTCATTCTAATGAGCCGATGCTGGGAACAAAAGCCATGTCCCGAAGGCGTTTCCGGCCAGAACTTGCTTGGCTTCGCAAAGCATCTCACCACCGATCAAGACCATCTGCCGATTGTTGACAAAGTCTCTGCCGAGTGGTATCGCGCCAAAGGTGACTTACCTACCACTGCCGACCAAGTCTCCGCTCTGGCATTCAACATGGACGGTGGCCTGGCCTTCATACCACTGATCCATGATCACAAGTACCTCGAAGACGTTGGCGCTTGCTCATCACTCGACTTTGCATTGCGCGTCTTTTCCAACAGTTTCGACCTTACCAAGTGGCACCTCAAGGAGCGGAAAGCTATCGCGGGCGAGGGTGGCCGCACTTATTCTGAAGCCCGCTTGTTTGATGAGGCTGGCAACCTGGTCGCTATCGAATCCCAGCAATCAATCATGAGACCTCCACCAACAAAGCAAACGGTGAAGTTATAGGTATGTATTCCGAAAGTGGTCCTGGATATAGATAGACGATACCTAGACCTTAGACGAATGTCACTTCCAGGCGGCGCTTATAGCCTTTACCGTTTTCATTTTGCAGCTCTACAATGCTGTTCAGCAACTAGCTGACTAAGCCCAGGAAGAGTACGAGCCTCTGTCCACTCAGCAAGCAGTGTGACTTGACTGTACTGCATCTGCAACAGGCGCGCCCGAGATTGCTCCACGGAACGTGTTGTCTTACTCAGAACGTTATAACTGAATGTGCAGATATGTACATAAACGATACTCAGGTTTCCAGATCACGATTATATTGTCTCTTCCATCCCAACCATGGTGTTGGAAGGGGGACGGCAGAGACGGTATGTCGGTCTGTATCCCGCCCATGATGGCTACTTCAGGCTGCACATTTGAGCCAGCCAAGTCTCCAGTCACAGAGCCACTCCATGTGCCCGGTAGAGAGCTGTGGCACAAGTATGCGAATTCCCACTTGTCAACGTCCCAGGATGTACATTGCAACAGGCTCCTACCGGGCAGTCGCTTGTTGCAATCCCCGTTCATGCCCTCAAGCTTTGGCATACTCTCGCTGCAAGGACGAATATCTCGAGCTAAACCATGTGGACTTTGCTGAATCACTAATCGACCATACCGACTGCGCTGTCGTCCACAATGCCGGTTGTCCGCCGAGCCAATCAGATGCAGATATTTACTGCCTCGGGCCAAGACAAGCCTCGAGCAAAGGCGATCAGTAATCTTTGTTGGCCGCCATCAACGCCGTCTCCCCAAAGCTAACAGGCGCTCACGGCCGCAAGGCAATGCTATGAGCACGACATCCAAGCGCAATAGAGCGTTTAGGTTGCTATTTCGGCGCAACCACGGCGAGGAAGATGTCACGACTGCACGCTGCTTTTCCGCCGATACGATTACTGAGCTCCCCCTGAGCCCCTTGTGCTCTATAATCTGTTCTACGCGGCAAGGAGGTTAGTGCAGGCTTTTGTCTCTATGGGGTTGCTTTCTTGTGCCGAGAGAGTAAACATGGCTCTGCTAGACAAGTGCTTTTACCAAGCAACTTTCTTTAGGCTTTGGGGATCATCCTACTGCCGCCTCTTTTAAACGCACGCTGTGCCGCCTGTATCGTTGGGGGTTATGTATCAGTTGCTTTCTCAAAGCTCAGACTACCTCCAGGTCCTCTCACAGTTGTCTCCTGCTGCACAGAGCTCACATTGCTAAAGGGTATGGATGAGAAGGCCAAACCTCCTCTACCGGAGGACTCGGCATCCAGCCACTCTGGAGAGCTTGCAACGATCAGTCACACGCCCAGCACAGACGAGAAGGCAGATCAAGATGCCTCGCACCGAAGCTCACCCAACACCGCAACAGGGGATGAGGCGGCTGCCACACCTCACACGCCAAAGACTGCAATGGACTGGGATGGCCCCAATGACCCAGAAAACCCTCACAACTGGCCGATGATCAAGAAGCTATACCACGCCGGCGTGACCGCCATGCTCTCTTTCGTCGTTACGTACGGCAGCAGCACATACTCGCCCGGAATCATTCAGGTGGCCGAGGAACTCAACGTCTCCACGACGGTCGCCACGCTGGGCCTGTCGCTGTACGTCCTCGGCCTCGGCCTGGGACCCATGATATCCGCGGGCCTCTCCGAAACATACGGGCGTCGAGTCGTATACCTCTATTGCACGCCCGTCTCCCTCCTCTTCACTCTCGGGGCCGGCCTCTCCCACAACATCGCCTCCCTCCTCGCCTGCCGCTTCCTCGCGGGCGCCATCGGTGCCGGGCCCCTTGCCGTCGGCGCGGGCACCAACGCCGACCTATGGGCACCCATCGACCGCGCCACGGGCTCCGCGTTCTGGATCCTCATGCCCTTCCTCGGCCCGGCCCTCGGGCCCAGCACGTCCTCGTACCCAACGCAACTTTCCACGTGGCGCTGGGGCCAGTGGATGCTCCTCATTGCCGGCGGCGCCACCTACGCCCTCTCCCTCTTCCAGCAAGAAACCTACAAGAAAGTCATCCTGCTCCGGCGGGCAAAGAAATACAACCTCCCGCCACCCCACGACCCTTTGCCGGGTGGGCTACGCCGCATCACCGCGATCCTCAACGTGACCTGCGTGCGCTCCATGCGCATGCTCTTCACCGAGCCCATCTGCTTAGCCTTCTCCGCCTACAGCGCCTTCACCTTTGGCGTGCTCTTCGCCTTCTTCACATCCGTTACCTATGTATACCGAACCGTCTACCAGTAAGTCCAAACCTTCCCATATGAACCTCAAGCTGGCATTTTCTGTTGCCTCCAAACCCACCGGCTCCTCCATGAGCTCCAATTTCTCCCTCTCATCTACCTATCCCATGAAACACCCCCCTTATGCAGTACTGTCCATGCTAAGCCCCTCTCTCTCTCCAGCTTCACGACCGGGCAAGCCGGCCTCCCCTTCCTCGCCATCGGCATCGGCTCCGTGCTCGCCACCCTCCTCTTCCTCCTCATCGACCGCCTCAGCTACCGCTCCCAACTCCTCTCCCGCCGCCGCTCGCACGACCCCCGCCCTTTACCTCCCGAAGAACGCCTGTATGCCGCCATGCTCGGCTCTCTACTCTTGCCCCCCTCCCTCTTCTGGTTCGGCTTCAGCGCCTGTGATGCGTCGACGCACTGGATCGTGCCCACCGTCGCCCTCGGCGTCTTCGGCTGCGGCAATCTGCTGCTGTTCGACACCACGGCGACGTATCTGGTGGACACGTACGGCGCGATGGGCGGCGCGAGCGCCATGAGCGCCAACAGTTTCGCGCGGTACGGTTTGGGCGCCGCGTTTCCGCTGTTTAGCGTGCAGATGTATGAGGGGTTGGGGATTCGCTGGGCGAGTGCCCTGTTGGGGTTTGTGACGGTGGCGATGCTGCCGATTCCGTGGGTGTTTTATCGGTGGGGGAGTAGGATCAGGAAGAGGGGTGCGTTTCCGAAAAGTGATGCTTGAGTTGTCGTTGGGGGGGGG